TCTTCCAAATCTTTTACTAAGATTTCTGAAAGTTCAGCTTTTTCAAATTGTTTAAACTTTTAATATCCTTCAGAATCAAATTGTGCTTCATGTATTCTCAAAAGTTCAGGAACTAATTAATTTTTGCCTTTGTGTACAGCATTAAAACCTATATCCATTTATTAAACAATAATATCTGTTTATTTTTTCTTATCCCCAATAAAAATTCTAATTTATCCTAAAAGATAATGAATTATTTCTGGAGATATATCTAATTTTTCAGATACAATAGAAATATCATAAAATTTTTACATTTTAATTTTATCATTATCTATTTATAAATTTGGTTATCTAAATATCTTGATTATATATTATTCTTAATTAACGAACTTTTCTACATAACCAATTGATCCACAAATTTAATTTTTATCATTATTAACAACAATGACTTTTTAATTTATTAAATCAATTTGTTTTTCTAATCTATAATCTACTAAATTAACAATCTTTTAATCTGAAATCCATTCTAAAGGCATTACTTCTTCTCTAACATTTAACATATTATAACTATATGTTCTATCTTAATTTCTTATTAATTCTTTATAAAAATAAACAACTGCTATAGCATTAATTTATTCTAAAAATATTCCCTAATTCTCTAATCTAGTTTACATTGTATATTTTAAATGATCATAAATATCATCCTTAACTTCATTTAAAATATCATCTCTAAATTCTGAAAGTATTTAAATATTTTTAAGCTAATAATTTTTTAAAAACAAAAATGATTTTTTACTCACTACTAAAGCTACTTCTCCATAGTAATTTTATGGATATCCACAATAACAATTAAATTTTTAAGCTTGATCACTAGCACTCTCTATTTTATCTAAAAATTCTAAATTTTTTTAAGCCAATTCTACTTTTAATACTTTTTAATTTTTGTGTTTATCTTTTTTATTTTATAACCATGTTTTATTTATTTTTAAAATATTTAAAGAAGGGAATTTAGGTAATTGATTCTCTTTATCTTATTAATCTTAAATATTAATTCTTTATAAAACTTCTTAAGTATCCTATTATATATTTCCATTTAATTAAATTTATATTGTTTTATATTTAGCATTATTATATACAGTTGGCAATATAGATTAGATTAAATTTCCTTTATTTTAAGTTGGGGCAAATAAATATGCATGACCAAATTTACTTCTTTGTTTCTCTAATTCATTTAATTAACTTTTATCAATTTTCTAATATTCTGAACTCAATAAATCAGAATTCATAAATGGAACTTTGCATATAAATTAATGTTCCCATATGGCTCCAAATGGATCTATCTCATATTCATCAGGATAATAATCAAATGGTGACCTTAATGGAGATTCCATATCATAAAGTACTCTAAAAGGAGCAGGCAGTAAATTAGCATTATGAGGAGGTAAAATAAGAAGTAATTATTAATATGGATCATAAGGTTTGCTCTATCCAAATTATCTAATTATAATTAAAACATAATTTACATTTTTTATATTTAATTCCTACTTAAATAAGCACAAATATCAAAACACATTGGAGAATAATAATAACAATAATACCATTCCCATGAAGGTACTCCATGATAATAATAACTCAATACAAATTAAAATCCTTCCAAATATTTTAAAATTATATTATCCAATTCTTTTCTACCTTCTTCAGAATCTATATCTATTTAACATTTATTTTAATAAAATAATTTTCTAGCTACAGCAGAATTATTATTAGAAAATTAAATGTTTAAAGCATCCAGTATTTTTAATTCACTTTCCCATTACATTTAATAATCTAAATATTCTGGATTATCAGTATCTTTTATTTATTTTTTCAATTCTTCTAATCTTTTTTCTATGGCTTTAATTTCAAATTTAGATAACACTTAAACTAATAAGTTCATTGATTTCCAATTTATCCATCCATCTTGTGTTACATATTCATCACATTATTCTAAAAATGATTTAAATGTATCAATTAATAATTCTACAGTACCTTACTTAATATCAAAGCAATAGACACGAGGTAAGAAATCATTTCCAATTAAAAAGAATAATAAAAGAAAATCATCTATTACTCTATCAATATCATAAGGAATCTTCATTTTTATTGTTTAATATTCTAAATCCATATATTCTTTAACAATTGAAAGATTGATTAATTCAAAACTAACATTTTCAACATTTCTTTTACAAGCAATTTAGGTTTTATTTTAATCCATAGAATTTTATTCTCTTATAATAGATACATATTTGAGATGTATTCCTAATCCAAGCATAATTAGATCTGCATCAGCACTATAAATGCAATGAGTCCAATTTGGGTTAAAATTTTATTAATTTTTAATTCCTCTCATAAATTCTAGTATTTTATGTTCTCCTTCTCCAGGAACATCACTACCTGAAAAAATAACTTATAAATTGGCATATTTTTCATCTTCTTTGAATTTACGATATATAAAAAATTTAACTTGTTCATTTAATTCATACATAAATTCTGTTCCTGCAGTTATCTAATTATTTTTAAAAGTCTAATTTTATTACTCTAGATCCAATTATTTAAGTAATTATTTGATTTTAGCATCACCTTTTGAAGATGCAAATCGGCGCTATCTTTATTAATTAGCTTTGGCTCTTGGTGCTACACCATCAAAGGTTAAATAAATGACTAATTTAGGATCCACTATATTTATTATGGTGTCAATGTAATTTAATATGGATGTCCATAGAGCATCGACACTCTTTTCAATCATATAATCTTTTAAAATGGTTTAATTGGTTGCACACTTATATATGACTTAATTCATATCAAGATAGAGAAAATCTATTTAATGTCCATGATGTTTGGTGAAAGGGTATTTACACATTGGATATCGTTTAGATAACCAAGAATAGAAATTTGGTACTCCCATTAATTATTTTAATAAATTTACTTGTTAAAAGATATATATTTTCTCAATTTTTCTTAAAGCCTTATTATTATTATTATTATTATTATTATTATTATTAAGGTTTTCTGTATGGCTTATATTGTTTAGGCATTCTATGTGGCATAACTGTTTCCCAACCCTTATTTTTTATTCATAAAATTATTACATCATCTTCTTAATCTTTCTTTTTATAGTTTTTCTATCCATCACTTCTATTAAATTGTTTTCCATCATGTTCTACATGTTTAAATCATTTATACCTTTTCTATTATATTGATCTTTATTCTTCTATGGAGCATCTACAAATTTACTTCCTGTTTAAGGTAATACATTTTGTTTATTGAGATTATCTGGTAATTTTTAAGAAGACTTCTAAAACCTAGGTGGGAATTTTATCCAAAAACCTCTTTCTTTAATTTTCTGATGATAATAAATTTGTATATACAGTTTCTTTGGTTGTAAATAAGAATTCTTTGGCTTATTCCTTATTCTTGAAGAGCAAACTAAAACTGCCTGGATTGTAATTTTCAATTTTCAAGAATTCAAAATTTGGAAATGTTAATTTTACTTCTTCTATGGTTGCATCGAAATGACATTTGACAATATTGAGTAGAATTTCTTCATCAGGACATTCATCAATTAATCTCTCAATCTCCCCTCTCGATTGCATTTTAGGTTTCGGTTTATTACTTGTGTAATGTTTTTACTCAGGCTTTTGAGGCTGGGATTCTTCATCTTAAATTTGATCCCACTCTATGAATAATATACATGAATACAGAGAGCATCCTTCTAAGGTTAATCCATGATTTGAAATTAATTTAAATAAAATCTTAATACTTTAACACAATACTTATATCAATATAATAAATCAATATCATTTATATCACTCTCTTATACTCAAGAATCGAAATAAACATTAAAATGACTCTATTTCATTTAGGATGTATAAAATATTTAATATTTTATATTGAATTGTTTATTTCAATTAAATTTTATATACATAAAGCTTAATTATTCATTTCTTAACATGTTTCTTCAAATTTTTAGATTCATGTTTTACTATCTTCATTTAAGGAATCTAAAAATGAACATGCTTTTCACTATTAGATTTTCCCCCTGTGCTTATTTTAGAGTCATTTTTTGAAGAAGGAGTTCCAAATCCATAGTCCTATCGATTAAAATATCTGATTTCTGTTTCAGTATTTTTTATTCCCTTTAAAATCTAAAGAACTTAAGTCTAATCTCTTGGTTTAATGATAATTGCAGTAATAGTGCTTACTCCTATACCTTCATTTAGGTTTTCAAGTTGATATTCATGTTTTTTAATAATTGGATTCATGTTATGAATCACTTTTAAATTTTCTTCTTTTACAAAACTTTCTTACTCTTAAGTTAACATTTAAGTGCCATTTTAGTGTTGATTTTAACAAGCATTCCCCATATTAAATCTATTTTATATTTAAAATATGCTCCTTATATTGTAAATATTCTGAAATTTGTATCATAGATAAACTAAAAGTAATAAATCTAATAATCAAAGATATAATTTAGATTGAAACAGCTAAAATTTTTAATAGTTGTCTAATAACATTAATATATGATTCATGCCAGTTATAAAATATTCTTGTAAATTTAAATGTAAGCAATCAATAAATTATAAAATGTAATATTAATTGGCCTCGATTGAGATTATCAAAAATGAATCAATAACATCAAATCAAAATGTGTTTTTGTTTCTGATTGATATTTTTAATAACTTTATAATTTTAATCAAGAAATTAATTTATAGAAGCTTTTATTACAAAAAAATTTGAATTTCAAATTATTAATGATATTGTTAATATTTTATATTTACTTTTTTCAAATGTTATAGTTATTGATTTAAATATTCTTAATCAAAACTATCTTATACTAAATTTATATAAAATAAATATTTAAATAGAATGTCATTTCTAATTATCTCAAATTTATATATCATCTATTTTTTAATTTTCATAAAAAATTTTAAGATAAAAATGTGTGTAATTAAATGATAAATATTAATTATTAATTAACTAAAATGTTTAGTACATAAGAATTCATTCAATAATATTAAAACCTAGCTAATGCTGATAAAACAATTAGTCATTAAGCTAATTAATATATTCTCAAATTATAACAAAGTAATGAGGCATTTAGAATTGCAAAAGAATTATTAGACTAACCTAATATATAATAAGAATATTAATTCATAGCATGTTAAATGATATATAGAAGATTGAAAGAAGAATGCAATATTTCAATTCAACCCTATCTACTAGAATTATTAGCCAGACCTTTACCATCTGTTGCTTTGAATTAAATCTGTTCTTCTTTGGCTGTAATCATAGTTGGTAATCGATCATTATGGGGCGGGTATTATTTATAATAATGCTAGAATATTGTAAGAATTAATTTAGTTAATGAAATCGAAAATGTCAATAGGAGTAGAAATATTAACATAAATTGCAATATAGGGTAAAGAATGGTATAAAAAAAGTGAATAATTAAGAATGTAATAAGAATTCATTACTTAAGAAAATACTTTATCAGAAATATTTCTAAATTTACTATGGGTTTAAGATTTAAGTATATTTAATTAAACAGTTTATTGTATTGAATGTTGGGTATAATTCTCATTTAATATATTCAAAGACTTAAAACTAATTCAATAAATATTAAATTTAATACATTAAACAATATCAACAAATGCTACTGAATATAGTGATAAATTATTTGCTTTATTAAATGAAGGTGTTATTTTTTCATAATACAATAGATAACAAAATGTAAATTCAATTGATTCTGAAGTATTATAAAATTTAAACTTGATTCTTGAATTTATAATAAAAATATACAATCCTCAATTATCAAAGGGATATGCTTCATTTGCAACTAAATTTATTTGTGATTTCTATTCTATTGTTTTTAATTAAAAATATGAATAAGCAGTATTTAATTTGATGAGTAATATTGTAAGTAATCCATCAAGAAAGATAGCTTTTTAAACATTTGAATTTTGGAGTTAAATGAGAGAATATAATAAATTATAAGGATTTGGTTTAAATATATTATAAACAATGATTGATAAATGTAGAATGAAAACAATCAAATTGACAAAAGAATTCTTATTAGGAGAACCTGAAGAAGAAGATACTGATTATAATGTTAAATATTATGAGGGAGGTTAACATTATATTTCTACTTCTGATTTTAGAGAACATTCTAAAGATATTTTTTATAGTATTTATAAAAGTGCTGAAATAACTATGTAATAAGATTAATACTTTCAGATTGTATTAACAAATTTAGTAATTTCTAGTCCTGATTCATAAATGTAAATAATTCAAAGTGAGTCTGCATTATTTTCATTATGTTCTATTATAGATGAAGCAGATATTTAAATTAATAATCAACAAATATTACAAATAATATAATTTATATTGTCATTACCTGTTCATTCAAATTTTGATATTATTGTTAAAACATCATTATAAATGTTTAGTGAATTTACAAATCAATTGTAATTGAATAATGAGATTTTACTTTAAATTACTTAATACTTTTTTAAATATATGCTTCATCCATTATTGGGACCTTTAGCAGGAGTGTATTTATTTTTATATATATATTATATTAGAGCATTTGAATAGATTTGTAATTTAAGTACATTGAATAATATTTAATTGATTTCTGAAAGTGTTAAATTCTTAGAATTACATTTTAGTGAGTTTATTAATTAATCTTAAATAAGTAATTATATAGAAGGAATAATAAAATTATGTTATAGATTATATGAATAAGGAAGTACTGATTGTTTATTATAAGTAAATATAACATTAATATTAGTTATTTAATTTTGCAAATAATCAATTTTAATAAGTAAAGAATGCTTAAATAACTGAAAAGGAATTTAATTACAATAACACTTTAGTTATTACAATACTTTAATGGATGAATTTGAATGCCAAATAAAATGATTAAATAAAGTAATTATTAGATTTATTGTCTTAATCAATATTTGAACCATTAATTGTTGTTTTATAAGGATAATTAAACTTTACTTTTTATGATGAAATTTTTAAATTAATTCGAATTATACTGAAAGTATCAAACTATTAAAATTAATAATAAGTAATTCATTTATTATAAATTTCCTATTAAATATTTTATTCGGATCCAATATAAAAGCATAATTGGTTATAATTAATAACTTAAGCTATTGGTAGATCTACTGAACATTAATTTATTGCATAATGGGCTAAAATAAATGATTATTAAATTCATTTATTTTGTATAGAATAATTTAATTGTTGGAAGGATCCAGATTTAATGAAAGTTTATGTTGAATATGTTAAAGAATGCATAAGATGTTGTTAATAAGTATTATTTGAATCTCCTTATTTGTAAAAAATAATTGATATAATTTGTGATGCATTCTTAACTTTGAATTCATATGAAATGCAAAGAGAAATTCTTCATTTTTTTAAGTATTAATTTATATAAATTAGAACTTTATTTTAATGTTTAGATAAAAATAAAGAATATTTCAATCCTTTAGTTGTTAAAATTATTTAAACTTTATTTATGTCTATTAGTGATATTAATCCTGCAATTGTATTTTAAATAGTTTAAATTTTAATGTTAATTTTATAAAAATAAGTAAATCCAAATGAATTAGAAGAATTAATTTATTAAACATTATAAAAAAGTTGGGGAAAAGATAAACCAATCTAAAAAGTTAAATTAATCAGTTAAGCCATAATTTCATATTTATTAAAATCTGATTAAGGTGAAATAAATAGAAATCTGAAATTATTACTTGAAAATTTAAGACCTATGAGTGAAGAAGAAATCAATTATATGTAATTGGAATTAGTAATAAAACGTAAATGATTGAATTTTTATTGAATGTTTACGATACAAATTTCAATTGATCTATATAAATATGATCTTAAACTTTTCATTTATTATCTATTCAATTCATCTAAAATTGTTCCATCAATTTAGATTTTAATTCAATTTTATGAAGTATAAGAATTTCATTAAATTTGGAATTACAAATTATATAATAAAGTTTTCAAAGTCATCTTTATTCTTTATATAATTTCAATTATAATTAAAAGACTTTGATTTTAGCAATGTTTTTTTCTCCATCTATACAATTTGATCAATTTATGTTTTATGTCTTTAAGTATCTGCCCTGATAAATGCATCAACCTTATAATATTACACCCAAGCTTTCCCTTGTTATAATTCATCAAGCTAAATTATTATAAATTATTTTTCATAAATACTTCATCTGATATCTCTTATTCTGAATAACCTTACTATTTTACAATATCCCAGAAAGCCAACCATTCTTAAACTGTAATGTTCCCACTTTTATTATAATCAACCTATTAAAATAAAGCATCTGTATTTATTTTTGCAAAATTCGATTTCCAAAATTATAATGTCCTTTCTTTATCAATATATCCCTTATTCTAAACATCAATTTTTTAAAATATCATTATAGCTTTTAATCTTAAATTTTCTGAAATCTATTTTTGCTCTTGTCTATTTGAGCAAATTCCCATTTTACTTTTATTAATTATTTTATAATGTTATCTCTCAAAGAACTCATACCAGCCCTAACTAAAGATTTTACATAAGGAATCACAAGAGTAGATAAACATATCTATATTAATCCTAAGAAAGAACATAAATATACTTTTATTTGGGTAATATATTACCTTAAATTAGATGCATGGATTAGAAGATGTTCCTGATAGTTTTTTAGCAGGATTCAACAATCCAGAATTAAATCCTTTTGATAATGAAACCACTAAAGTCATTTTACTATGTGCCCCTGTGAGACCATTAACAAAAAATTAAGGGGAAATGATGACATCATGGTATGATATAATGATTCCAAATTGGAAATAGTTTTGGGGTATCAAAACTGACAAAGAATTATGGGGTGTAGATTAAGCTATAGAATCAAGAAACTTTATTTGGAGTTTGATAGATTAAGAACCAATACCAAAAAAGAATATCTTTATTGGGGGCTTTTCTTAAGGATGTTGTATGTCTTTATTGGCAGGATTAGGATACAAGTTTATTTATCTTCTTAAATTTATTTAGAGAATCATTAGGTGGAATACTTGGAAATTCAGGATTTTTGTTTCCATTTACAGAATTCAATAATAAAACTCCTATATAAATATTACATGGTGAAGAGGATGAAGTTATTCCTTATGAATTTGCAGAGAAATCCATATAACCTTTAATTAAATTAGAAAATGAATTCAATTTAATTAAACTAAAGGGAATTGAACATGCTATGATGATGGATAATTTTAAATTAATGAAAGAGTTTGTTATGAAACATTTATAATGAAATAATAAAAGATAAGATTTATATATTTTATATAAATTTAATTATATATAAAAAGATTTTAGAATAAATTATATAGAAATTTAATTTTGAAAACATTTAAATTAAATTTATGATATCAATTATTCAACAACATTCCCATTTTTGTGATTGAATTGGATAACTCACTTAAACTGACTATCTTTAACTTTTAGGTATAATTTCAGAATTTCTTCTCTTTTCAAAATCTCCTATTTTTATTCCATAGATCTTTTGATAGTAATTTTTAATACTTCATTTTGTGGATCAATTTTACCACTTTAGATTTCTTAAAGTATCTATTCAGTTAGAATTTCAAATATCTAAACTACATTAGATCCTGTTAAAGCAGATGCTTCTATATAATTTCCATTAAACTATTTAGCAAGATCCTATGCTTCTTTTTCTTAAACTTCTCTTCTGCCTTTTAATATGGAAAAAGCATACTTATTCTGTAAATCACTTTTATTTCCAACAATAATAATTTATATATCATTCCCAGTACAACTTAATACTTCATTGTGCCATCTAATTAAAGCTTCAAATGATTTTCTATCTGTCAAATCAAAGACTAAAATACATCCAATTGCACTAATTTAATCTAAAAATACTTTCTATAATATGCTCGAATCATGGATGAAAAAGACTCTTAACCAGCCTATTATTAGTGATAGTAATCTTACTGTATCCCATATATGTAATTTAATAACATGACTATTAGATTTAATAATATTAGTTCCAAATTCTACTCCCATTGTAATTTAGTGGGCATTTCTAAATTTTTGATCAACATATTGTAAAAGCAAACAACTTTTTCCTACACCTTCATCAATAATAAAATTACTAACTAGTGCTTCCTACAATAATATACTTAAAGAGATAATTATAATTTTTCATTAATAATATGATGTAATAATAAATCAATTGGGGAAAATGCAAACCTTATTTATATATAGATGAAAGCATTCCAGCTATTGTCCTTGGACCTAATTGTAAAAGAGGCTTAACTATTAGTTCTACAATTTTTGTTGGCATACATCGCATATGCAATTTATGGCTTCATTTTATTGATAGTGTTATATTCAAGAGATTTAGGAATCATTAGATTATCATTAAGTGTAGTGTCTTATACTTCAACTTTAATAAACTATTTTCTAGCAGCCTTCATGAATCAAGGAGTTAGCAATTATAAATATAACTATTATATATAACCAATTAAATATTGTGAAATTTGCAATCAAAAATAATAAAAGTATACAGAACATTGTGATACTTGTGGAGTATGTATTGAAGGGTATGATCATCACTGTCCATGGATTGGTAAATGTGTCGGTAGACATAATAAGAGATACTTTTATGTCTTTATTTTTAGTTTATTTGTATTCCAAACATCAAGCATATTGATTTTTACAAAAATTTTATGATATATAATTTATGTAATTTTTTAAAGACATTATGAAAGAATTACAATTCAACAAGATATAAGAATGAGTAGAATAAAATAGAATCCACATTAAATTACATTTCAAAGAATAAAACCTTTTTTAAAATAATAGTACAATCAGACAATAAAAAATACATCAAATCAAAATATTAATATATTTCAGAATACATAATTCTTTTATATAGGATAAATTTAGTTTAGAAAATGTAATTATTTTTATTATTTGTTATTGAATTTGATAACAGAAACAGGCTTAAGAGTATATCTGAGCAATTTAAAAATTCTTTTATCATTTTAATTAGTATAATTAAATCACTTAATTATTATTCAATAAATAATTAGACATGTTTAATTTTGAGAATTGAACTAATTAAATAAATTCTTAGTAACATTTTATCTAAATAAAACAATAACATTATTTATGGTTAATTATTCTAAATTGTATACCAAAATAAAATAAAAATATTGAATAAAAGTATAAAGAATCCCTATTATGTAACTAAAGATCTAAGTAAAGGATTAGTACTTTTACTTGGATGAAATCTTACTTTACAAAAACTCTTTACTATTAGGAAATAATAGGAATCCATGTATCAATATTTCCATACTATTTGAATTATGAAATATAGGTAGATCTTTGATAAATTAGTAGATTAAGAATTGGGATTCATTTTCATGATAGAAATGATAATGGATAATTGATTTTAAATCTCATTTAAATTATAATTGTCATCATCATTAAATTCTGACAATTGAAATTTTCTAGAATATTACATCAATTAGTGAGATTGAAATGTTTTGAATATTCAACATATTTTTTTGTATTGTAAAATATATTTTATATGCAAAGGTTACCTCTTCATTTAAAAATAAAGATCTATTTACTAACTGATCTTTTCTTTATTTATTGAGAGTTTAAAAAAACAGATAGTTTATAAAAATAATAATATAAAATTTTGGAATAATGGGTTCTTGTTAAGGGACAACATAAGATATCCAACAAGATTTACGAATGAGAGAAATAATGTCACAATTTTAAGTTCCTATGCCTTATACGGATGAGTATAAAATATTTTAAACCTTGAAATGGGTTGAAATGTAATCTAATATTAAATCATAGAATTCAACATAATAGTATACCAAATTTTGGATTAATATATTCTAAAGCAGCAGATTCATAAAATAAGCTTAAAGAGTTTGTAAGGAAATGGAGAACAAAGAATGAATAGCATAACCATCCTAATTTATTATCAATTCACAATATTTCCATAATAGAATCAATGAAAGTTTTTATCCCATATACTGAAATAATACTTCTAATTGATAAACCAATAGAACCTTTATCTCGACATAAGAAGGTCATAATGAAATAGTAATTTACTTAAGATGAAATCTTATTTCTTTTGGATTGTGTAGTTTCAGCATCTGCATTTCAATAAGCAAATAAAATATATCCTTCAGGCTTTGAAATTGATGATATTGTAATGGTTAAAACTCCTTTTAATATTGATGTGTACAAATTAGTTGATAGATATTAAAAACCAATTAGATAAAATCTATTTCAAGAATTCATCTCCCTTTATGATGATAAGTAAAGTATTTAATTATTTTTATCAATTTAAAGCTTTAAATGAAATGAAAAAGACAGCATTTCTTTCTCCAGCATAAATTGAGGCTATCCCAAGAAAAGATAAAGTATATCATATATTTTAATAAGTATCTTAAACATAATCGATATAAATCAGATGTATTTAATTTTGGATTAATGATTATATATTTAATTTAAGCAAAGAAACCAGAAATATATGATTGGAAAAGATGGACAATAGATGATTTTTAATTAAGAAAAGTATAAGATGAATTGATAACTACTAATTTTAATGAATAAATATTACATTTGATTGAATTGATGTTAAAAGTAGATGAAAATGAAAGACCTGATTTCATATAATTAGATGAAATGGTGAATAAATTGTTTCTAGATATAAAGAAACATCGTTTATTAGAATAACATTAACCTTAAGAATTCTTTATTGCTGGTTTTAATAAACCTTCTTCCTTTGATCATCTATTAAATTAAAATATCTTTTAATCCAAACATCCTTCGGGTTAAGCTACATCTCCAATTATGATTAGATCTAGTTAACATTTATCTAAAAACTAATAAGTAGATTAATAAAAATTTAGACAATAAGATATGAGTCAAGTTTCAATTAAAGATTATGGTAAAACTTAGGAGACAAAAAATGGTTTTGAAAATGCCGTTACATAAGGAAAATTACATTATTCAAATGGTTTCTATTATATTGGATAAATTTGTAATAAAAGAAGACATGGATTAGGTACATATTATGATTCTGAAAACTAAAAGGTAACAGAAGGAATGTGGGTATTTGATGTTCCTGATGGTGATGTTACCTTTTATAATAAACCAAAATAGGAATTAGAGAAATCACATAAGAATTTATCAAGGAAAGATTGGATTTAATATAAAGGACAAGTTAAACATGGATAAAAGCATGGCATCGGAGTTCTCTATTTTGCCGATGGTTCAAAATTTATGGGAGTTTTTTCATGTGATTAAGCTCATGGAAAGGGTCAATTTGAATATTAAAATAAAGAATGCTACATAGGAACTTGGTAGCATGATTTATATGTTAGTTGACATTATTTTTATAACAAAAAATTAATGATTATTATATTATTATGATTTTATTTAATAATATTTATAGAGTTTATGAAATGTAAGAATATTTTGACATTAATATAAAATTATTATACAACTTAATTAAGACTTAAAAGAAACTTGATATTATCAAAATAGAATTATAAGATAAAAAAAAATTAAAAATATAAATTAATAATAAAAATAATTTAGATCTGAATATGCAATCTAAATAAGGTTTAGATTATGAAGGAAGGGTATTTCGATGTTTTGCAGTTTATGATTGTAATAAACAATAAGTGTTAATATCTATTAAACGTCACTGTGGCAATCTATTTACAGAAACAATTTTGAAAGTCAAAGAATATGTTAAATAAAATCTGTTAGATTCCTAACGTAATTAAATAAACATTCCTGGTGGATAGAGATGTGAATGGCATGGAATATTAGATGAAAGAACAAGTATACAATTTATCATTTAAATTAAGACTGTTATTTTTTAATGATGACTTTTCCTGGATCACAACAAAGTGCCATACGATAATCCTTACTTGAATTATAACAAATAGTTCACTATGTACCTAATTACTAAAATGTAAAAATATATTTAAAAATAATAGTTTAATGATACAACATTTCCATAATAAAAAAAAAATGATCTTTAAGCAAAATTGGATGAACTTGAATATAAATATGTGAAAGAGATAGGAACAGAGGGACAACCTGATGAAAATGAAAGGGGAATTCAATAAGAATAAAATAAACCATCTAATAATTTTCTTTAAAGCACTCCTCAGTACTCATTATTAAAATATTTAGTATAAGTTAAATAAGAAATCCTGTATAATAATAATAATAATAATAATCAAAGATTTCAGATCAGTATAGAAAATTTTCAGTATACAGATGTTTTATGGTTTATAATGTAAATGGAAATAAAACACTTTTTTGTTTAAAAAGAGGAACTTCTAAATCTTTTGATGACACAAAAGGATCTATTATAAATTAATTAAAGAAACAATTAAATGAAACTACAAAATTTGAAATTTATGCTCAAGGAAATTAAAGATCTGAATGGCATGGAATATTAGATGAAAAAAAATGTAAAAAATATTTTATAATTTAAGCATGTTATTTTTTAATGATGACATTTCCATCTACAACTAAAAAAAATGTTTTAGAAGCATTAGAAGATTTGAAAAAGACTTTTGTTTAAATTCCAAATTATGACACTATTTTACCAAATGATCTTGAAAGAAGATTAAAATCAGATATCTAAAAACAAATTGATAATCTTGAAGTAAAGTACTTTAATTTAAATGGAAATGAAGGAGTGGCTAGTGATAATGAATAATCTGAAATCAGAAGAGACTTTATAACATCAAATTAAATCACATAAACAAATCAAAAATTGAATCCTCCTAGTGTGATTAAGGAAAATGATAGCTTTAATCCACCAGAAATATCAGAAAGTGGTAAAAACTTATATGAAACACTTGAATTAAATATAAAAAAAGAACTAGAAGAATTAGCAACATTTAAACCAATACTTAAAGATGCTTAAACATATATTTTTGTTGGAATAGGAATCACGTTTACTCTGTTCCTATCATTGATTATAATCATAGCTTGAAAGAAATATAAAAACTATTATATTCTTTAAATTTATATTATAATATTATTATACTTAATGATATAACATTTTAATAATCATTTATTAATTATGATGATAATATGAACTTCTAGTTTGATGTTTAAAATTAGGTTTAATTTGTATAATAATATATTTGATTTTTTAGTATTATTATGGGTTGATTAAGCCAAAATTTATAAATAAAATTGCAATTATAATACAGTTTTTGTTAAATAATGACTCATGGTATTTTGATTTAGTAATTTAGTACTTTACTTTGGAGTAGGAGATTTTGCTTTATAAATGTAGACAATAATGAATGATAATTAAAAGTAATTATTTATTAGTTATTCAGATTGCAAAGAATTGTGTTTCCATAAAATAAATATTCTAGAGATCCAGCTAAAACATCAAAAAAGGGAGAGTAAGAGTTGTGTTTTATAAGTGTAATTTGTTGTGAATAAAATACATTCCTGATAGATTGTACTATTATAATATAAAGTAGCATAATATGATCTTTGGGGGTTTGGAAATTCTTAATTTGCATAATTAGGTTTATAACAACCTTCTGTTTGTATGCCTGTAAATATATCATAAATAACTTAAAATTCTTATAAATTAGTAAATGCTGGAACTGGCTTTGTTGTTGCTTACTCAACAAATAAAAAGATCTATGTTTGGGGTAATTGGCATTAATTAAATTATGGAGAAGTCTTAAAGCTTTCAGAGAAATAAGGTTTTACAGAATAAATTGACACATTTTATTAAATAAGCAGTTTAGATATTACCTATAATTTTTCAATCAATAGATACAATGAATATGAAAGAAGATCTAGTCATTTGCCTGTTCATTAAGCTGAAGTTGTAGCATTAAAATGTGTAGGCACAATAACTTATCTTTTAACTCCAAATAAATTATTTTGTTTGGGATTGCAATAACAATTTACAGTATAATTTATAGGAATTGCTTGTGGTTAGAAGCATATACTGGCTTGGGATGATTAGGGTAAAGTATGGAGTTGGGGAGAATTTGCTGATGGGAAGTTAGGTTATATGGATTTTATATAGAAGGAACAATTAATTCCAAAATTAATTGAAGATTTTTCAACAAAAATAGTATCTTGTGCATGTGGTTCTAATTATAGTATAGCACTTGATGTAAAAGGAGATATTTATGGATGGGGTAAAGGACCATTTTAGATGGATTTATCTAAAGCTGTTATACCAGCTAAACTTTGTTAAAAACAAAAACCATTCATTAAAATAATGGCTGGTGATTCACATTTTGGAGCATTAGATTTATCAGGTTAATTATATGGATGGGGAATAAATACAAAAAATTGTTTAGGAGATTTAGGTGATAAAGTTAGGTATCCTTAATTGTTAGAATTAAAGAATGTCAAAGTAATTGATGCAGCTATGGGTAATACTTTTACTGTTCTTATTGTTCCAGCTAATTCAAAATATAAATTACCAAGTTTAAATGTTGATTAATATACTTCACATTAATAGAAAAGAGTTAGAGAGGAAGCTGCATTTATGAAAGATTTTGCTGATAAAAAAAATAAGATTGATTAAATATAGGCTTAAACTTAGATTCAATAATTTTGTGATAATCTAGAATCACCTTTGAAAAATACATAATATGAATAAACAGCAGGTTTATTAAGGAAGATGAAAAGTTAAGTTGATTCTTTAAAAGGTGCACCTAAAAATAAATGGAATACTAAATCTTTAAGATTAGATACTGATATAATTAATTATCATACTTAAGTAAATTAAGATTATGATGATGTGTAATCCAAATTAAAATAATTAGAATATTAAAATTATCTTTATATACCAGTATGCAATACTTCTACTCCAACATCATAAACTTGGGAATAGCATTAAGATATAGATTAATTATTAAGTCATGAAAATGATGTTTTGAAGTATTAATACATTCTAATGGTTAAGTCTTAAGATGAATCTAAATTTATGAAGACATTATTAAATGATAATAATAAATAATCATTTGAAAATCAAAATAATTTATAAATACATCCTAGATCTTCTAAAAATAGAAGTGATGAATTAAATTAAAGTGATAAAAAGAAGTATCATGATAAATTTGATCAATTTGATCCATATTTTCTTCATAATGTAAAAAGAGATTTAAAATAATTATCATAAAAGAGAAAAGAAATATTTTTAAAGAAATAAAAATTAAGAGAAGAACTTAATAAAGAAATAACTGAGAAAATGTAATTAAAGAAGGTTCCAATTTAAAATAAAGAAGACATTATTAAGGCTATTTAAACATAAGCATATGAAAGAGAAATGAAATTAAGAATTGTATAATAAAAAAAATAATGTAATTTTGTAGAGAAAATTCATCATATTTAATAATAAATATAAGAGAAATCTCCAGAATTTAGATACAAAAAAAGATTAGAAATTATAAGATAATAATAAAATATATAATTTTTTAGGATGATTTTGACTTATTTAAATATGGAAAATATTTATTAAATGATGTAAGATACATCTTAAAGAGGTTTAGAATTGAAAAGATTAATGTTTAAAGAACATATGAAAGCAAGAGTAATATAAAATACAATTAGAAAAAGAAATATAATAAAAAAAATTAAATAGAAATTAGGTTTAAGATAAAAGAAAATTTTATTATCATTTATATTTAGATTTAAAATTCATTTTAGAATTAAATCTAAATATACTCATATAAGAAAAATCAATTTATTTCATTTAAGAAGTTCCTTATTTTTAAAATTTCGAATTAATTTAAAGACTATTGTAAATAAAACATAAACAATTTAAAGATTTTGTAAATGGTATAATCATAATTTTCAAGTTTAATTAAGTTATTTAAATTATAAATGGGATGAATATTTAAAATAAAGTTTTAAAGGTTAAATGACAGAAAAAGATAGAGAAGAATTAAAATTACATGAATTACCTCATTTAATGGAAAAATAATAACATATATTATAAAAACTAATTACTCCATAAAAATCATAAAATTGGAATGATTTAAAATTAAAAATTAATCCAGTATTTAAAGCAACTGAATTGAGAACAAATTTATTAAAAAAAGTTAAAACTGTTGTATAAATAGATGAAGAAATTAAAGATATTGATCCTAAAATTATAGGAAGAGTTTTACTACCATATACAAGATATATAGATAATATTGCTCTTAGTGTAGCAGCTAAAATAAGATTTGACTATCAAATGATGATATAATTATAAGTTCATGAAAAAGTATACATGGAAGAATTAGTAGTCAAATATGATATTTTAAAAGAACATCTTGAAAAAATAAGAAGAGAATATACAAGATAAATGAGAGATGTAATCTATCTATTTATTAATTAAGTTTTATATAAAATTAAATGATTATAAAGAAACACATAAACAATAGATAAATACAGATAGAGGAAAATTAATGATTAGATTTAAAGCTGATGGACCTGAAATTAAATAATTAAAGGCAAAGGATGATTAAGAAATTAAATAAATCTTACAAAAAAGAGAACTTTCAAGAAGAAGAAATGGATTAAATTCTGTAATTTTTAAAGATTTAATTTTTAATAAAATTCGTCAATTACCATAAGATTAATAACCATTTCCAAATTTAATATTAAAATTAGCAGAAAATATGTGTTCTGATATTAGACCAAAATTTAAATTGAGATTAACTTAAAGTGAATGGTCAAGGCTTTTTAATTAATATCAATTAGAATTAAAATAAAGATATCTTGCCATTATGAATGAAGCAAGAAAAGCAGCAGCTCTCAGAACTAAACATTTAAAGTAAAATAAATTGATTAAAAAGAAAAGAAATTAAAAGACAGAATAATGATTAAATATATATTATTTGATAAAGTTAATTTATCAACAATTTAACTAATTAATTTAAAGATAAAACTTATAATTATTTTAATATTATTCTTCATTTTAAATATAATTAATTTTAATACTATAAAAAAGATATCAAAATTATTATAGAGATATTACAATAAGAAGATTCAAATAAAAATTCTATTTTTAAATAATAAAAGAAAGAAAATAAAAGGATCAGTATAATTTTATTGTATCAAACATTAATAATTATAATCTAATCCTCAAAGATGCTAATATATATGTAAACTAAAAAATATAATATTAATAATAATATTATATCAAACCTCATCTTGGGGTTATTTATTTTGCTCTATCTATTCTGAATTTGCATGATCTTCAGTTTATGGTTATTATTCAATTTGAGGTTATTATTACTCTTCTTGTTTTGGTTCCTCTTTAAGTATATTCTATTATACTTCTTCTTATTTTTATTATTCTTCTTATTTCTATTATTCCTCTTATTTTAGTTATTCTTATACATTTTATTGTTCTTCTTAAATTATATTCTATTATTCTTATTTCACTTCTGTTATTTATTCATTTAATTATTCTTCTTATTAGACATCTTATTAAACTTCTTGTTAGACTAATTTTTACTCATCTTATTCTAATTTTTTGGGCTCTTCTTAAAACTCCTTTGTTTATTCAAGATTCTCATCTACTTATTCTTAATTTTAAACACTTTGAACATAGACTGGAGAATCAAATATTTATTATTCATGTTTTTAAGGCTATTAGTCTTCTTATGATTCAATATTTTCTTCTTTCACTTGAACAACTTCTACTGGTGGTTATTAATTTTCTATTTAAGCTTATTCTAAGTCAAATTCATCTGCTTGTTGATCAATTTCTTCTTTTTAATTATTATCAGAAGTATCTTCTTCAGATTCTTTTTGATTTTCATTTGTTTATGAATTAGATGAATTGGTGGATTAATATTAACCAGAACCTAGAGATTCAGGTAATTAAATAGGAGGACTATAAGAATCTACATTTATTTGTTCTCTGAATCTTGGATTTATTCCTAATAACCATGATTATTCAATTTCATTAACTACTTTTAATTCTTCAAGATATTTTAACCATTCATTTTGTATACTGGAAATTGCAATTTATACAATTTAATATTATTAAAGGACATTTGGAGAATTAATATAATTTGTTATTTTAGTTAAGATACCTTAATAACCATGTTTTTTCTTTCTTTCTTCAACACCATTATTTTTGATGAGGAAATTCAAAAAATTGGTATCCTCAAAAAAGAGTTCATGTAAATGTTCATTTTTAGAATCTAAAATAGCAACTATTAATTTTTCAAATAAAATATGTAATTAATTGTTTGTTTGATATTCAATAACTAAATTAATAATTTATTAAAATATTTATCCTTTTTCAATAATAGAAGCTAATTATTATTTTTGGATTAATTATATAATTAATTAAATTAATGATAATTTTGAATCACCTAATGGTTTAATTATATCTCCATATGTAGTTTAAAAAGATTATCTAAATATATCCTATTAAGTTAAAGCTTTGACTGATTCATCTAAAATTGGTTTATAAAGAATAGAGAAATCTATTTCGTAGTTTTTATCTTCAAGCTATGGCATTTTGTTATAAAACTCATATTAAACATTGAGTAAATTAAATAAAGAACTATTTTAAGTTTGTATTGCTAAATTCATAAAGAATATGGGTTTTTCAATTTTTAATAAGAGTTCTCTCAAAACTACCATAGTCTCAAGAGACATCATTACTCTTTTGTATACTTCTATAAGTGATTCACATATATTTGTTATTATTGTATTTGAATATGATTAACCTCTTAAATATTTGAGTATTCTAATGATTAAATTTTGTCTCTCTTCTATATATTATCTATCATCATGTTCTTCTTAACATGTATCTAAAATGATCAATTTTTCAAATATTTCAGTAATATGTCTTATACTTGCATGTTTAAATAGATTAGTAATTATTCCAGGGTTATTTTTTAAATAATCCCAAAACTTAATTTATTAATAGAATTACATCATATCCTCTTTTATGAATAATGGCTGATATTATTTTGGTAAAATACCCAGCTGACGTTATTAGGATGGAATCATTTTCTAATAGAGATAATAAATCTGGTAGTAGATTCTATCTTAAATTTTCATTATCATGTTAGAATTCTTAAGGTTAACTTTCAGTTCGTTGATCTTCAAGTGGATTTTAAACTTCTTCTTAGGATGTGTCTCCTTGTTTTTCAAATAAGAAATTAATTAATTTCTCATTTTCAGAACCTAATATTTCACTTATCAAAAATGGATATCTAGAAATGTATATTGTTATAATATTACTTTATACATAAATTTTTATCCTACTCTTAATCAGTTACATTATTAATAATGTAATGAATCATTTTAAAGTATTCCTAAGGATGCTGTATTATGCTAGAAAATAGTATAAAATTTTTTCTTACAAATCAGCAAATTTACCTGAACTTGAATTTTTTAATTCAGACAAAATGTCTTCTTCATTCAAAATGGTTTCTAATGTTAAATTATCTTATTTTAACAATGTGTCAAATTTAGATTAGAATCCAAATCCGAAAAATCGACCAAAACTAGGATAAAGTCAACATTATACTTTAAAAACATGAAAGGATTTTATTAATTTTATTTAATTATTAATAATGCATAAAATTAAATAGACTAAATAGTGTGCTTAATGTGATGCCATGGATCCATAATATTAATTAGGAAGTTCATATTTCATTTATTAATAGAATGTGATCATCATTTATGTTAAAATTGTTTCAAATAGATTTTAAGCAATACTATTTAATCTAAGAAATCAAAATTTTAAATTAAGTGTCCTATAGATTCATGCAAATAATAAATTGATTTAAAAGAATTCTTAAAATATTTAACATTACCAAATACATGTAAACGTTGTAATTTAGAGTAACCATATACATGTGGACAATGTATTGTAAAAGAAATAGAAGAAATTGCAAAAATTAATTATTATTCAAAATTACTAAAATTTGATACTCTAATCAATTTAGAATCATAAAAAGAACTTCATGAAGAAATCTAAAAATATGAATTAATTTGTCCAGTTTGTAGAGAATTTAATTAAATTCCAATAATAGTTTGTTTATAAGGACATGAAATTTGCAAAGATTGCTATTATAATATTAGAAATATAGAAGATGTGAGATAAGTGTGTCCAATTTGTAAATAAGAATTATTATCAGCACCTCCAAATAGTTTAAGAGCATAAGTATTAATAAAAAATTTAAGTATAAAATGTCCTAATGATAATTGTAAATAAGTAGTCAAATATCCAGATTTTGTTTAAAATCATTATCGAAAATGTATTTCATTTATGTATATTATATAAGGTTGTGAATAAAAAATTGAATGTTAAGATTGTCATGAGAAAGTTGAATAATTATTTTAAGATATTCATTAATCAAATTATTGTATGGGAAGTATGTGTCCATTTAATTGCACAAGGAAATTAGGAGTATTAAAATTATATTATAAAATAGGATCATTAAAATAATTTTATTATGGAACATATATAATCAACAATGAGATAGAGTGATGTTGCACATTCTTTTTTGATTAGAATGCAAATTGTTGAAAAATTCTTATTTTAAGGATCATTTGGTAGTTGTCCTCAATGTGACCTTTAGTATGCTTGGCAAGTGGATGTTAGAGGTATCTAATCGACATTTTGTTTTTTTTGTTTTCGATTTATAGGATGATTATATTATATAAATATATTAATGAAAATAAACTCTGAATTAATATAGGGATCACATCATTTTATTAATCCATTAAATGAAAGACAGCTTGATCTACGAGGTATTAATATATATATTTAATTAATTTAGCAAAGAAAATTACAGCCATAGAAAATTTAGGAGCTACATTGGTATCAAGATTCTTTTATGTAGGATTTTTTTGATCACATTGATTTAGGTGATAATGATATCAAAAAGCTTGGAAATCTCACTTTATTAAAGAGGTATATTTAATTAATTTATCTTTAGACTTAAGACTTTAAATTTATCTAACAATAGAATCATTAAATTAACAGATGTATCTGATTCATTACCAAATATTGAAAATTTAATCTTAATGAATAATAGGTTAACTGATATTAATGAATTGTATCAATTAAAGCATTGTAAAAAACTTAAACGATTAATTTTACATGGAAATCTTATAACATAATAACCTGATTATAGATATAAAGTTATTGCAATTTTACCTAATTTAAAAATTCTTGATTTCAATAAAGTTACTTAATCAGTAATTAAATTATTTAATTCAATTTAGGAACGACAAAAAGCTGAAGAATCTTTCAAACCTGATGAATTAACAGATTATATGAATTTAATTAATTTGAAAGATGCTACTTTAGATAAAGAACATATTAAAAAATTATTAGAGAATGCTAAAACATTTGATTAAATTAATTAATTAGAAATGTTGCTTAAATAATAATAGGTTAAACATTTATCTATTCTTAATGAGTAATGATGAGTTAAATATATATATATAATTATATAATATAATAATAATATTTAATTTTTAATGAACTAAGATGGATTTGTTAGCTTTATGCTAGAAAAAGATGATTCTTATTAATTTTAACCTACTGAAAATAAATTAAAAATTAATAATGACGATGAATTTTATAGATAGTTAAGTTAAGAGTTTTATGGTCAATAATAATAAAATTAATACTATTTTAAAAATACAAAAAAACAAATAAAAACAATCGATTCACTTAAATTTAAATCAAAACCTACTTTCTAAACAACTGAATCTTAAAAATCACAACACTCCTTTACTAACTAATAATAATAACAATAAATAATACAATAAGTAAAATACATATTTATAAATATTTTAGAAAATCTATAAATTATTTTCTAAATAAACTCCATCTCAATAGACAATCCCTAAATAAATTGATAGATCCTCCTAAAAAACTAGAAATTTCAATGATATCACACCTTAATTTACTTTTAAACTAGAATTTTCAAACATTTAAAAAAACTAACATAGATAATCTCCATAAAATAGTTATCGATTTAAATTCAATGAAGAAGATGATTATTAAGGATTTTAATAACAAAATTCACATAGAAATACATTAAACAGTTGTGATAAAAGTATTAAAAAATAAGATAAAATCTCTGACATCTATTATCCCTTAAAACTTAAAACTTATAAGGGATAAGAAGTTGGAAATTTATTTCAGTTATCATTTAGAAGTAAATAATGAATATAAAAACTTAATTTTATTTTTTATATTTTTTACTAATTTAATGTATCAATCATAAATCATATTAATAATAAAGCATAAATCAAATATTTGATTTCTTAACACTTTTTCAAAAATACTGTTTACATTCCATTAATTTTGATATAGCTACATTAAGACATTAAGAGAATGCTATTATTTATTAATAGAATCAATATCTATTAATATTATTCCCTTAATATTTCAAATGAAGTATAAATTATAAAAAATTTTAAACATAATTTTAAAATAATTCAATCACGATTTTAACAATAAGTTTTTTACGAAAAAACTGATGAATTATTTAATTATATCTTGGATCACATATAATAAGGATTTGATTCAAATATTTATTATTTAATTTATTTTAAAAAGACCTTTAGTTAGTATCCATTTGAAAAAAAAAATATATATAAATATCAACTATAAACAATTAAATTCATTATATTTTAGATTTTAACTAATTAGAGAGATAAATTTAAACTATCAGAATCTTATCCAAAATCATAAATTTTTAATTTAATATTTTAGATTTTGATTTATATGCTGAACACGATATGTAAAATAATCTTAATAATTGTATAATATAATTGTTCTATTAATAAATAATCTAATTATTAAATTAAAATTAATGAAGATTATGGATTTTAACTTACAGTTAAAAACTTTATAAGAATACAATAAATTAATAATTAAGAATTCAATAATGTAAATTGATTAAATGAATATCATAAAAGAATCTAATAGTTTTCCTTAATTTGTTAATTTTACTATATTTATTTATTATTATTTAAAGTTATCTAAGAATCAATTTAGAAATAGAAATCTACTCATCAATTACACTTAATTAGAACATATTTCTATAATATAAGCTGAATAATTTAAGAAAGGATATTTTTCATAAGTTATTTTTTTCTTTTAAATCCAATAATATGTTATTTAAGATTATTTACTAATAGTTTAATAAGAGATCTAAATTTCTATTCTTTGTTGTGAAACAAGAAAATCATTTGTTGTTGGTTTTTATTTATCCACATTCTTAGAATACGCAAAAATATTATTATTAATAATGAATTAGAGCAACAAAAGTCTCAATAGTACTATGACTAGAATTAAGCAACTGTCAACAGGTCCACCTATTGAAGTAGTACCAAGCGAGATCATATTTAAAGATATATAGATTAATTAGACTTATGAAATTACTGTGTTTGTGAGAAACTTAACATAGACTGCTAGGAGAATTCGTGTATTTCAACCTCATTCTAATTTCAGATGCGATTATGAAATGCAAGGGTATGTGTCTATTTTATAAATTTATAGCGCCATAGCAGCAGGACTTTCAATGAAACTGATAGTAACATTTGAAACAGCCAGCTTAGAGTAGTATTAAGATAGTTTGAAAATTGTGTCAGATGGTAACTATACAATTGATGTGCCTCTTTTTGCCTTCCCTCCTCAGGCTGCGTATTTTTTAACGTTTAATTCATTTTAGTATAGTATTTGAGCCATTTATAAATTTGGGATTTGTTCGTGTAGGAAAAGAGAAAGTAGATAATATATACTTTAAGAATGAAGGTCGATCAACAGGTAAAGTAGAGCTAAAAATTGATCGTTTACCTGATTTCAAAATAGATCCAACTTCATTTAGTTTAGGAGCAGGATAAGAATATGCGGTTAAGGTATTTTATAAACCTAAAGATGCTGGTATCTTTAGGGGTTTAGTAGAAGTAATTGCAGATGGTTAAAGTCTTCAAAAAACAATTGACATCAATGCAACATCAATAGAATTTACTCGTTTTCTTATTGACGATACTGGAGTTCAAAATAATTTCTTTGATTTTGGTTAGATTTACTATGGATAATTTAAGCAAATTGAAACGTATTTGGTAAATAATACTCCTAAATAACAAAAATTTAAGGTGAAACTCAAAAAAGGTTTGCATTAATAAGAAGATGCACTTAAATTGTAGACACCAGCAGAATTAGGTCTTGAACAAACAGAAAGAATTATGGAATGTTATCCAGAGGAAGGTGTTTTGGAAAGCTATTCATAAATTGAAATAGTTTTTAAATGTAAACCTAAGGTTTCAGAAGAACAATAAGTATGGACAAGATCATTTGCATTGTCTCCTGATCAATTAAAACCAGATTATGATGAATATCATTATTCTGCAATTTTTGATTTTTAAGATAATGAACCATTGATGAATCATTTATAGGTAAGATGTATTTGTCCTACAATAAAATTTCCACCAACTCCTATTTTATAATTTGGATTGTGTCCTGCTAACTAAAGTAAAGAAATTGTTTTTGAAGTTACTAATAAATAGACAGATTTGCCAATTTAAATTCATTGGCCTGTAGTGCCTTATTTCTAAGTTAATCCATCATTATCAATTTTGTAACCTGAAGAGAAATAAAATTTTTGGGTTAGTTTCAAACCAAAGCACACTGGAAATTTCACTACTGTTATTAATGCTGAATTGCTTGGAGGAATATTCAAAATTCCTGTTAGATTAGCAGGAGTGAGTTAATAATTTACAAATAAATAATAAGTTAAAAGGGGACCTGAATCACTTCCTGAGGATTTTGAAATGAAACATACAATAACCAAAGAATAAAGTATTAGCAATATTAAATCTATTGAAAAAGTTTAAACTTTAGATATTTCCCAATCAGTTTAATCTTTGGTTCAATAAGGAATTTCATTAGATAAAATTGAAGAATTAAAACAAAAGTCATTAAATAAAGAAATATATAATGAATATTTAAAAATGCATAGAGAATAAAGGCTTAAGAAAGTCAAGGATAAAAAAATTAAACAAAAATTTACTTAGATGAATGAACGTTTAAAGGAAATCAAATAAGAAACTGTAAAACCTGTAGGTGCTACTAAGAAATAAGAATAAGAAGAAGAACCTAAACCAGAACCTCCAATTGATTATGAATTTGCAGTTGGAATGTAAGATGATGGATACGAACAAGAATTGCCATTGCCAGAAGCAAATGAGACTCTTTTTGTAACTAAACCAATATTTCATTATGAACCACTTAATTAAAATTAATTAAAGGAAGGGAAACAACTTAAACCTTTTGAACCTGACCTTAAAAATATTTAAAAAAAGAAATTCCCTTTTGAACCTAAGACTCATAGTGAAATTAGAGATACAAGTGCTGAATTAAATGCTGATTAATTATAGAAAATATAAGCTGGACCTGTTAAAATAGAATTTGGAAATGTTTATATCAAAAGTACTGTAATAAAATACTTTTATGTGAGAAATGATCTTAGAAATTCTATAAGTGTTAGATTGCATACTGACAAAGAAGATTTTAATTAATCATATATCAAGCCATAAATCATTCCAAGTGGTTAAACTGCTTAATTTGATGTGATTCTTTGCTCAAAATAATTAGGATAGATAAAAACACATCTAAAATATGTAATAAATGAGAATCATATTTTTGAATTTCTTGTTTAAGCAAATATTGAAAGAGTCTTCTTAGAAATGAATAGAACTCAAATTAAATTTGCATTTAATGAAGATAATAATGAAATGGAAACTGCTGAAATAGTTCGCTTAACAAATAATGGAAATGCAGAAGCCAAATTTAAATGGATAACAACTGAAAAAAAGATTTTTTATGTCCAACCTGAATCTGGAGTTGTACCAAGTGGCAAATACCTAGAATGTTAAGTTATTTACAAACCAAGTTAGTTATAGCCTTTACCAGAGGTGAAATAGCCTATTGGCTCATAGCAATAACAGTAGCAATAATAAGACAAAAATAATTAAGGTTAACAATAATAATAATAACAATAATAATAATAATAGTAATAATAATAATAACAATAATAATAATAGTAATAATAATAATAATCATAATCTATATTATCTTAATAACAGGCAACTATTGCAACTATTAGGAATGAGGAAGAAAAATTATTATTAAAAACAGAAGATGGATTGGATTAGACTATTAAATGCATGGGAGTAGTTTCTGAACCTAAATGTGCTATAAAATAAGCTGTCATTGATTTTAAGGAAATCGTTGTTTGTAAGTAAGAAACAAAGGTCTTAACCCTAAAGAATCTATCTAAAAGTTCTGCAGTGTTTTAGGTTTAAACATCAAAGCTTCCAGAAGGAATTGAAGTTTATCCTATCAAAGGAAGAATAAGTTCAGAAGACTCGAGAGATTTATAAGTAAAATTCCTTTCTAAGGATGAAAGAATAATTAAAGGAGAAATTATAATTTTGATTAGAGGAGGAAAACAACTACAAGTACCTGTAATAGGCTCAGCAATAATACCTAAAATTGAAATTCTGGAGGAAGAGTTTGATTTTGGTAATATAACTACTTTAGGAACAAGTAATTAGTTAACTATGACTATGGTTAATAATTCAACTATTCCTGTTGATTTGGTTTTGGATTTAAGACATTAGAGCGAGAATCCAAAAGCACCTGATGGAATTGATTGTTTAGAAGTAAAACCATAGGATGAAGATGATACAATTTTACATTCTATTCATCCTGAGAATGAAGATGAACCTGCTCCAAAATTGGATGAATCGTTAGATAATCAATCTGAAAAATCTGAATAAATTGATTTGGAAACTAAGGAATATAGATCATATAACTTAACAATCTTACCTGGTAAAACATAAGTTTTCTTGATGAAATTTTCTCCTAAAGATGTAAAACATTATCAATTTGATATGCCAATTACATTAGCAAGATTTAATTAGAATTTACCTTCATTAACTAGAAGAGTATCTTGTAAAGGTCTTAAACCTAAATTTTTAGTTGAACCTCAATCAATAGAATTTAAAAAAAAAATAATCACATCCCCTGATAAATGTTATCCTACTGTAGAAGAGATTAAATTATCAAATCCAGATAGAAAGGATGTGAAATGGCGTATTGATACAACACCATTAAAAATAGAAAAGATATTTACAATAGAACCTAGTGAAGGAATAGTTGGTTCTGGACAATAAGTAAGAATTAGAGTTAAATTTAATCCATATGGACCTGGAGTATTTTAATCAACTGTTTCACTCTATATTGAATCAGATCCTGATATACCAAAGACATTGCCATATGTTGATTTACTTATTTAAGGATCAGGTGCATATCCTAGATTATTATTTGATAAAAAAGAAGTTATATTACCAGTAGTACCTCTGAATGTAGTTTCAAAATGTTCATTCAAAATAATTAATGATGGTTATGAGAATTTGAATTTAAAACATAATTGGTCAAGTGAGACGAGTAACTTTAATTTAGAACTAAAATTTCCTGAAGGACAAACATTAGGAGTTGCTAAAAGTAAATTAAAAGTGGATGTTTATTTTTCTCATAAAAAACCAATTTCATTTACTACAAGAGCAGAATTCTAAGATGAAGGGAGAGTGTATTCTATATATGTTTCTGGAACTACAGATAATTGTTTATTAACAAATTAAATATACTTGTAAAGAATACAAAAGTATTAAATGATAGCAGAGGAAAAAAAACCATTGATGTTTTAAGAAGATGATGGAGCTGATAGTGATAATGAAAAAATGAAAAGAAATCATACAATGTCTGTAAAGAGTACAACTAGTTCAAAAGGAACTTCTCATTTAGGTTATAGACCTTTAGATGCAGAAACCTAGAATGAAGCTTGTGATTATATAATGAGATGGATGAATTATCATGTTCTTACTTAACCTATTAACAAATTTCCAGAAGATATTGTTACTAGTTTTGGATAACAAATATTTGAATTATTGACATTTTTAACAGGCAAAGCCAATTTCTAATATAAAGCATAGATTGATTAAAATTGGAAGAGATAACAAAAAGCAGAAGCTTAATTTAAATAATATGATGAACTAGTAAGACAATTAAAAATAGAAGGAGCCCTTCTAAATCATATTAGATCAGAATACTTATTAGGACATAATGATTATAATGCTTGGTTAAAAACAGTGCCTAAAGAGAAATATGAATTTGTACCAGATAATAGACTATAATTAAGTTAAGCTAAATACAACTATTTACATTATGATGCATGGATTTCAACATTCTATTAAATTATAAAAATATATTATTTAAATAGAATAACTGCAAAATCATTTAAATAATTACCAGGAATTCCAGCCGAAAGATTGAATATACCAGATTATTATTTAGATGGATCTAATGTAATATCTCATGCTGAAGGTGTTATTCTTTGGTTTTATGAGGTTTGTTATGAACAACAACATACAGGTTAGATTAGAAGGATAAGTAATTTTGCATCTGAATTCAGGGATAGCTTACTTATAGCTGATGCTGTAACTTAATTTATAGGTCCTAGTATGTAGAAGTTTTTTAGTAATTTAAGAACTAATATGTAAAGTGAGGATGATTATAGACATAATGCAGATAAATTAATGCCAGCTTTAAGTGATTATGGTTTATAATCACATGTTCAAGCCAGAGACATCTACCATAAACCTTACCCAAGAGAAATGTTAATGATGTTAGTATAATTATTTTTTTCACTTCCTCATTATGTACCTTAGAAGGAACCCATTATTTTCTAATGTATATTGGGAGAAGAAGTAATCAAATCAATTGAATTAAGAAATCCAACTCCAAAACCAATTAGTTATTTTGTTAAATATGAGGGTCATCCTGACTTTTAATTAGAAGGTGATGAAAGTATTAAAATTGAACCAGACATACCTTATAATTATAAAGTTAAATTCACTTCTCGTATATCTCTTCCTGTTACTGGAAGAGTTATTTTTACAAACAAAAAAGAAACAAATGTATAGGCAGCAGCATTAGTATTTGATTTAAAAAGTAATATTACAGGAAGGAAGTCTGAAAAATAATGGAATGTCAGTTCAATCCTATATGAGATATTTGACTTTTAGATTTAAATTACTAATAAGTTTCCTTAAGATGGAGAATTTTAGATATAAGTATTACATGAAAAAAAGTAAATAGAACAAAGGGGAAAAAAGAAGAAAGCTCCTCCAATAAAAGATGCTCCTCCTGAAGAAGAATTCCCTTCATTTTTCTGTACAATTGATAGACAAAGAATTAGAAAGAATTAAACTATAAATTTTTCATTGACATATATTCCATTAACTATAGATACACATAAATGCTCACTTATATTTACAGATCCAAATGTAGGTGAATTTCAACATGATTTATAAGGAACTGTTGAATTACCTAATATTATTGGAGAATTCAAACCAGACAAATCATTGTATGTTGATAGTGTTTAAACTATTTCATATACAATTCCATTTAGAAATGAATAATTGGCTCGTGCTCGTAATTAAATTCAATAATTGGTTTAGATGAAATAAAAAGATAGATATTTAAAAGGTGATAAATAGGCTTCAACTTTAACAGCATCTAAGCTTAATTTTCCAGGCTCTAATTTAGATATCATAACATTTGAAGTAGAAATTTATCCATAAACACAATACTTAAGTCTTCCTCCTACACTATAAATAACTGATTTAAATAAATAAACAAAGAAGCCAGGAACTGAGAATATTGATTGTAAACTACCAATTTTATATGCATTCAAAAATGCTACAAAAGATTTTAGTGTCATCTTAACTTTAAAAAATAAATTTGATATTAGAAGATATAAATTATCAGCTATAGTATTACCTAAAATTGTTAAAGCTATGTTAGAATTTAGAGTTCCTGCAAGATAATCTGTAACACAAGAAATACCTATAGTAAATCAAACAGATAGGGATTGGTAAATAAAAGTTTAATTAACAGAATCTAAAGGGCTATTCTCTTGTCCTTAAAGAGATTTCTTTGTTAAAAGAAAAGGCACTAGCAATTTCCCTATTTCTTTTAGTCCATCTTGGTTATAAGAGAGTGAAGCTAAATTAGTTTTAACAAATCCAATAACTAATGATGTTTTTGAATATGATCTAAAAGGTTATGGAGAAGAACCAGTAGCAGAAGAACATATAATACTGAATTGTTAGGCAAGGAAAGTAACTAAGAAAGAAATTGAATTGAAGAATCCAACAGATAAATTAATTACATATGCTGTAGAAACTGATTTAATCTATGCAACAGGACCATCATAAATAGTTGTTTAACCATAAAAGAAAGCCACTTATGTTTTATAAGTATAGCCAGTTTTAAGTGGTTAATATACAGGTTCAATAACATTTACAGATGAATAAGGACATTATCTATGGTACACAGTATTCATGAATACTGAATCTCCAAAATCAGTTTAAACTCTTGAAGTTTCTTGTTTAATTAGATAAGCTACAGTTATTCAATTAACACTTGCTAATCCTCTTTCAGAAACTGCAATTTATGAAGTTATGATAAATGGGGAAGGTTTAATTGGTGAAGAATAATTTGCTATTGGTGCTAGAAAAGAAGCTGCATATGAATTAACCTTTGCTCCATTAAAAATTGGTAGATGGAGAGGTAGTGTTGCATTTGTTAATAGATTATTGGGTGAAGTATGGTATGAATTCATTCTCACAAGTGAAGATTAACCAATTGTTAGATTGAATGTATTAAAAGCCTCATTAGGTAAAGTTGAATAATAAGTTGTTGTTCTTGAAAATCCTTCTGATTAAAAAATCCAAGTCTAATGTAGAATAACTAATCCTACTAATTTTGATATATATCCTGATTAACTTTAAATATAACCTTATGATTCTTTAAAAGTTGCTTTGAGATACACTCCATCTTCATTAGATATCATTGAATAATCAGATATTATTTTTACTTCACCAATAGGTAAATGGCATTATTTAGTTTTTGGAAGTGGATTACCTCCTACTAAATTCCCAGCAACTACTGTTAGTATTGGATTAAATAAAGATTATAGTTCAGTTATTCATTTTAAAAATCCATTTAAAGAACCTATTTAGGTTTCTATTTCATTAGATGCCGAAGGTCACAATCAAGAAGTTTTTAAGTTATTGCTTGTTAGAAATCAAAAGAATGATAAAACTCTAGTTCCAGGAATGAATGTCCTTTAAGTACCTTTCTCATTTGTTCCAAGAGAAATTACAAGTTATTATTGTGAAGTTGTAATTTCTATGAATGAGAAGATTTAATGGCATTTCCCTGTTAAAGGAGTTACTGAATCTGTTTCTACTTAAACTCTATTCCACTTCAAAGCTAAATGCAGAGAAAAATGGGAAGATGAAATAAAAGTTGGTTTATAAGGAATTGCATAGAGTTTGTAAGCAGATGATAAATTTGATTATGAATTAGGTGGAATGCCTTTAGATTTATAAACCATGATTTAGAAATGCTTTACTATTAAGTGTCTAAAAAATCATCTTGATAGTCCTCATGATAATTTACTCTATTTTGTAAGATTTCAACCAATGAAACCATTTAAGACTTCAATGGAATTTATAGTACTGAGATAATCAGGAGGAAGATGGAAATATAAAATATAGCTTGAAGCTACTGAACCAGAAGAAGATGATACAATTTTAATTAGTTCTCCTCTAAATAAAACAACTAGTGTCTCATTTAAATTAACTAATAAAACAAAAAACTATAGTAAATTCACAGCAGCCTTTTCTCCTGAATCAGATGCTGAATTTTCAGTTATCCCAAAAATTGGAGATCTAGAGCCTTATGGAAGAGAAGGGACAACATTTATTATTAGTTTTACACCAGTTGAATATGGTAAGATTAGAAAAGGTAAATTAATAATTTAGACAGAGGATATGTATTGGTAATTAATTTTAATAAAATTTTAGGTCATATTCTATTAAAGGTGTCTTACCAAGATATATTCCTCCTTAAATTAAGTAATCATTAGTTGATAATAAATAATAATAATCTTAAGTTCAAATGTCAATGACTTTGAGTAGAAACTTTGTTGTGGATAATATAAAGAAGGCAAGACAGTTATCACCAAAAAGTGCTCGTAATTAATTGAGTTTACCATTAATTGAAAAAAAGTGATAAGTCATGTAATTTATTATAATTTATAATTATTTATAATAAATTATATAAAATTATCTTAAATAAATTTATATCTACTAAATAAATTAGATATTAAAAATTATTTCATAAAAAATTTTGAAGAATTTATATGAAATAATTTTTAATATCTAATTTATTTAAAGAAGTTAATATGATTTATAAATAATATAGATATATAAACTTAAGATGATCTAATTAAGTTATATAAAATAGATAAAATCATTTAAGTTTTATTTGGTTCGGGAGAAAATGTCTAATATAATAAGAATATATTTACACAAAAATTCCCAATTTAATTTTATTATATTTGTTATACAAACTAGAGTCTGCCTTATAATTTTCACTTATTTCAACACTATCAAAATCATAATAATGATTCTCCTCTTAAAGAGGTTCTTCACATATTGATTTTTAGTAATTTGGATTGAGAGATTAGCAATAATTTATACTACTTTATTGAGTAAGACTAGAATTCTTTCTGATATCATCTCTTTAAAAAGTTCCTCGAGCAGAACCTAAAGGAGGAGGTGCCAATAAATTATTAGAGCTAATATTTAATCAAAAATAATATACCTATGTTAAATAATACCTGAAAGTTGTTTTTCAATTGATTTTTTCATTTCAATAGAATTCATAGGTATATTGTTTTTGCTTTAATTTTGATTAGAATCTGTCTAATAATGAGTAGATTATTTAATCTCTGTCCAATCAAAATTACCATCTATTGTTATATTTGAAGATTCAGCTGCTCTTCTAAATTCTTATACTATCATTTTGTAATTTGGTTCTTATTTGAATTAAAGTTTTCTGATATAACTTAAATGTGAAATTTGATGAGTACTCAAAATTGCGTTATAACTCACTTGGCTAATCTTTAAAAACTTCACGTTCCATAGATAATTTCATCTCTCCAACTTTCTTTGTTCTTTCTTCATCTGTAACATTAACCATATTTTACCAAGGTAACTATCTTATTTAATAAATAATTTACTACCCTCTTAAAAAATACAATAGAATATACATTAATGATTCTAAATCATCTTTACGTCCTAATTCATGTCCTAAATGTGCTGCTATAGAGGCATATCGAGTTGTACCTAAGAAAGATTTTTGATCTTTAAATGATCTTAAATTATAAATTAAATAAATGCTCTATACATATGCTTTCCATTTGAATCTCTATATACTTTACTAATACCAAAATCTATTAGATATAGTTTTGATATCTCTCTTCCTGTTCCTAATATAATATTTTCAGGTTTCAGATCTCTATGAATTACACCCTTTTAATGAGATCTCTCTAAAATCTATACAGCTTGAATCCCTAATGTGAGAACAGTTTTCAGAGAGAATTTTTTTAATTGCTTAAAATGATAGGACAAATCCTTTCCCAACAATTAAATAACCAGAATGTTATAGCCTTGATCTTCCCCTGACCAAAAATATTTTGGGAACCCTTCAGCACCATCTAATTTCTTAAGTATCTAAACTTCTCTTTCTAATGAACGCACTTCTTCATTTTCTTCTTTTTCAACCTTAATTGCTACCTCTTATTTAGTTAAAAGGTCAACTCCTAAAAAAACTACTCCAAAAGAACCTGAAGATAGTTTTTTGATTATTTAGTATTAGTTATTAAAGATTTTTTAGCTAGTTGATGTCCTTTGCTGCATTTTGATGATTATCTTTATAATTATTAATATTTTATTTATTCTAATCTTTAAATATTTTCCCACTCTAAATAAGAATTAGTATATCATATATATCATCAAAACATAAATAGACATATAAAATTTACTATACAATTCAAGTCTTATGTCTATCAATTACTGAAGTTGATAAGTTTCTTTAAAAATTCAAGAAGAAATCAGAAAATACCCTATATACTTTGTATGATTATTTTAGAGTAAAGCAATACAAAATAAAAAACTATATTTGATTAATTAAAAAAATAAACGAGGATAATTAATTCAAAAATAATCAAATGTTAAGAGTCAGAATTTTCTAAATAACTATAACTTTTGGCTTATTTGTCCTTGAGTTTGATTCTTTTTATTATCTTTTGTTAATTTTTACTATACTTTTATTATTTTTTATCATGCTTGTTAATTTAATATTTATTAAATTAAATAAATTAATTCTAATTTAATAATGAGGATATCAATGTTTATTGTTTAAATATTTATTGGATTGGCTGATAAATAAATTCGAGAAATTCAAATTAGACCTATACTTATAAATTTCAGTTAAGTAAAGGAAGATATTTAAAGATTATAATATTTTTGACATTAAATTGCAATATAATGTAAAAAGATTTGAGATAAAAAATTATTTAGATGGATTTCAATATTAAATAATTAATGAATACAAATTAAATTATTATTATTATATCAGGATTCTAAAGACAGTTCTGATTAATATTTTTTCTTTTAATTTTTTGCATTATCCATTAATTAAAGATTTCTTGTTTACATTGTGTAAGTATTTCTATTAAATATAATAGATTTATAAAATGATGGATGATATCTCTTTAGGTAGATTCTTTCTTGGGCATCAATAATATCACTTACTGAAGATAAACATTAATTTTCTATCTCATATTTTACTTACTATATTAAACAATATTTTTTTACTTTTTACAAGTCTGTTTGATTTGATATAAAAACTTTTAATATATTTAATAATTCAAATTGAGGTAAATCTGGAGTTCTATAATTAGATAATAAAATAAAAAAGAACTCTATTATATAAATGAAGTAATGTACTTGTTTAACTATCATATTCTATTAAATATGAAGCAAATTAAGTAGTAATAGAAATTATAGAAGTATTTTATTAAAATCTATTCATAATTAGTTTTTCTATCCTAACTCTTTCTTCAATCCAAACTTAATCATTGTTAAATCCTTTTCTTATCAACATTAGAAAGTATCGTTTTTTCTAATCATACATCATGAATCCTTTAAAAGGTTTTTAAATATAATGATCTATAGGTTATAATCTTTGTTATTCATCATTTTCATCAGTTAGACATGTATACATTTTCGAGTTTGAATTATCTTCTTCATTAATGTTATATTAAGTAAAACTACTCAATAAGATTAATTTTTATTCATAAATGTTAATGATTTTTTAGATTTCAGATTTCTAATAAAGTTCAAGTTCAGTGATATTAATCTATTAAATTAATGTTAAACAATACGTTCTAATAATATGTAATTTCAAAAAGATGAGAGTAAATTTATAGTAGAAGTTCAGCTTAGAATATTTCCTTTATTTTTTAGCTAGAAATTAATACTAGTAATCTATCTATATGGGAATATAATTTATATTACTTGTAAAAATATCAAATTTGCCTCTAATTGATCCAAAGTTTGACTTCATTTAGAATACTTTTTCCTCAAAAACATTTTATATATTGATTTGTAATTTGATTTCTTCCAAAGTGGCTTTCCATTCATCATCGAATTCAATATCTCTCCTTATTTCTAAATAAAATTTAGACATTTTAAAATCAAAGATTAAAAATGCACGAAACCATTGCATAGTTTACAAAAAATAATTTAATTCTTTTAAAGGAGTTTATTTACCTTAAAATTAGATTTAGATATAAAATAATGGTAATATAATTTTGATTATAATTTAATTAATATATAATAAATTCTAATTGATTTTTTGATTAAAATATCTCTTTAATATTATAATCTTCCTAAATTCATCCTAATTAATAAAATTATTAGATATCTCATAAAATAGTATTCAAAAAGAACATAAAAATTTATAATTCTTATAATATTTATATTAAAATATTTTGTGAATAGTAAAATACTATTAATATTTAATTTTAAGAACAATTATTATATGAAGTAATATTTAGATAATTAAGCTTTGAAATATAAGAACTGGAATATTTGAATATATACTGAATTAATATATTATATTAAACAAAACAAATGCTATAATTCTTTCCTTACAAAATAAAAATTCTATCAATATAAGATATGTTTACATAAAATAATATTCTTTAAAAATATTAATTAAAATCATAGATAACTCTAAGTATTAAATTAATGAAAATTAGAAAATACTTATATTAAAATACATTATCTTAACAATAACTGTATAAAATATATAATTATATATTTGAATCAATAAAAGTTCAAAAAATTAGTTTTGACTTATAAATATCATAATACACAATATAGATGATGATAATGTGATTTCCTTTTGAAAATGAATTATTCTTATTTAAAATAATTAAAATAACATTCTCTCCTATTTAATGCTATTTGATTATTAAACTATTTAAATTATTACTTTTCATGGAAGCTAGAAATAATTGTAATCAAAAAGCTTTGCAGCCATCGTTACATACTAAAATTTTGAGCAAATAATATTCTATCAAATCAGAAAACAGAATAAAGACATCTCAAACTGATCTAATAAAATCAGTTGACACATAAAAAATAATGAATGACTTTTATGATTAATGTAAAAAAAGATTAAGTAAATATCATTATACTAAGAAGGAACTTAAAATTTTATGCATGAAAGAAATAAGTCTTAATAATTATAAAGTGATTCTTTATTACAATCTATTGATAGTTGCCCATCTTTTAGAAATTAAATTAAGACAGCATAGAATTCACCTCCTGATAAATACTTCTTATTTAATACTTGTGAGAAGGTTTTACTTCAAAAAAGCAATGGATCTAAACGTACATAAACTAAATAAGCAGAAAAACTTCTTTTACAATAAATAAATTAAAATAATAGAGCAGAATTATTATTGAAAATAGAGTAATATATAAGAAACTTTTTCACTGAAGAATGTAAAGAAATGGCTAATTTATTTGACACATTTATGAGAGAGTTAAATTATTAAATATCAGATCAAAAATATTAATTAACATTACATGAAAAACAGTTAGAAATATAAAAAATAGATGATATAATTAGAATGAACACTAATCATGTTTGGGCACATGAAGATATGGAAAAATAATTAATTTCATTAAAGTCTTAAAATACAAATCAATAAATGCAAATTTAAAAAAATGATAACGATATGAAAGATTTACGAGCTAAAATTAATTAGTAAAAATAATAATTAGATTAAAAACAAAATGAGATTCTTATTAAAAACAAAAAAATCAAAGAATTAGGATTTGAAATTCTTTAATTATAAAGAAAAATTGAATATTTAGAAAATAAAGCACACAAAGATCATAGATAATCAACCTAATAAGTGAGGTATTCAATATTTTAAAGTTAATAAGTTGGATCTAATTCTAATTTAAGTTAATAAGGTAATACATTATCAAATAAAGAAAATAAATTTACATCTTTAATTGAAGAGCAATAAGAAGATTCTTCCCCTTCAATTACAGAAGAAGAAGATGAAGAAGAAAAAGAATTAAATTAAATTGAATTTAATACTGAAAGAATTGTAGAAACAAGAGAAAAAGAATCATAAGTAGGTTTAGATTTAATTGTTAATTATACAAAAAATAAAGAAGTTTAAACACATTTAAATTTGATAGATAAAAAATTTGATGATCTAACATCAGATATTTGTGATCAAGCTATTAATTTTATAGAATTCTTTAATATTCCAAAAGATAAAACAGAAAGTGAGCTTTCTTAACCAAATATTTCATTTTTGAACATCAACACAATTGATTAATTGAGTGAAGAAGAAATTACTAAATTTGTAGATTAATAGATATCTCAATCTGGAATATCATAAAATAAACCCTAAATTGTGAGGTAATCTTCCATAAGGACAAATATGAAAAGGGCTTCTATAATTATGGAAAAATAACCTATTCAAACTTAATAAATATAAATTAATAATACTAAAGTTAAATCTATGATTACATTTATTAAATTATAAGGAACTAAATTATTATAATTAGAAAATACTATTAAAGATAGTAATTCAACAATGGAAGAATTAAAAACTATTAATGATAAATTAGAACATTAAAATAAGGAACTAAAAGAACAGAATTCTAAATTAATTGATTAAATAACTAATTTACATATTAAAGTTTCAGATTTTGAAAATTAAATTATGTCAGATGCTATGGATTTAAATTAAGTACTTGCTTAATAAGAGAAGAAACCATTAAATTAAAAAGTAAATACATTAGCTTAAAGGAAAAATAGAAAGGTTGCACCATAATTAGGATAAAAAGTAATATAAATTAATAAAATAATAGGTCACAATTAGTTATGATTTCTAAAAAAATTAATCAAAATTACTTATTGAAAAAATTAAATCTAAGACAATAGGTAAATTTAATAATTATCTACCACTTAAGCTAGTACTGAAAATGATATCTACTTTCTATTTAGAAAAAATAGCTAATTAAAAAGAAAATAAACTATTAAGAGATTAAGATATGTCAGCTTATATTTATAATTATTATTTACAATAATTTGGATATACTAAAGTTACTGAATAAAGATTTATGATTCTTGTATTATCAATTAAAAAATATGTATAAATTGTAAGAGTTAATATGTTTGCTAAATTTATGAATTTATTAGAGGAAAAATCAAATTATAGAGTTGAAGAATTATAAAGATATTTGGAAGCATTAGAATATGTACATAATATTTAAAATCTTGGAATTGCTATTAAAGATAATGAATAAGAATAAAAACATTATATTCCTTATGTTAGAGCTTTAGCTTATTTAGGATAGTTATAAAATTTTAATTTTACTTAAGAAGAATTAAATTATTTAAAATAAGATTTAGAAAATTAAAAAGAACATGATCCAAAAAATATCAATAAAGCAGGAATTATTGATTTTGATTTACTTATGATAAGAGTTTTAACAATATTTAGAAATAATGTAGAAAAAACTAAATTATATGTTATTAATGCATTTTCAGCATGTGATCTTGATGGAAATGGAATGTGTAATTTAGATGAATGGCTACTTTTAATTAGACATATAGAACCTGATAAATTTGAAGAAGATAAATTTGTAGATATTTTTGAAGAATATGCTGATTTAGTAGAGGATGATGAAAAAAATCTTTCTTTTGACAGATTCTCTATATTATGTATGGAACATGAACTTTTTAGTGATGCTTAATAAAATAAGTTTTTAAAAGTGAAAAGTATAGATATATATATATAAATTAATTAGGTAATGCAGATGCTGAATATCAATATGAATAATTAAAGGAAAATTGGATATCAGTATATACTGAATAATTGAAGAGATTAAATGAAATCAAAATGGATGAAATTGATAAACAAAAATGGTAAAAAATACTCAATGTTTTGAACAGAAAAATAGCTTCTGAATATAGTAGTAAAAAACCCCTTCTTATAGCCTTTAAAATCTTTCTAGAAGAGTCTAAATGAATAATATTCTGTATATTAAGAAGGTATTTATTTGAATATATTAATTAAATTGATAAATTTTAATTTAAGATCATAATTCTTTCCTTTAGGTAAACTCAATATCTTTTTGAATAATTGTTTAAGAAAAACTATTTCAAATATAATAGATAAAAATAACCTAAATTAATAGATTATAGAGATTGTTTTGTAACTTTTTAAGACATTAATTCATTATTAGTTATGATTATATTTGATAAATCATAATCATAGCTTAATTATACATAAAAATAAAACATGCTTCATATAGAATCTTAAATGTAAAATAAACGATTCAGAGATTATTTTAAAAATAACATAAATAAAAATTGAATGTTTTTTTAGAAATTTGATTTTAGTTAAATTTAAAAAATATAAACATTATGGCTAATGTTTATTGTTCTCTGAATTTAATTTAAACCTTCTCTAACATAATTTTATCTGAATATTTCAATGATATGTGAATACATTTAATAATAAATTTCTTAAATATCGTTTATTATTATTGCATATTTAATAGATACATTATTCCAACATTAATTATAAAAATGAAAATAATACAAAAATGTTTCATGGTTTTTGAGAATTCAGAACTTGAGAGATAGTATTAATTAGAAAGATCTCTATCTATAAAAAAACCTGTGTTCATTTGTTTGCTCTTTTTGTCCTTCATCAGCAATTTATTTGCAATTATAGTTGAATCAACTTACCTTCCAGTATAAAGCTTATCCATATATTTGATCTTGACCATATTCACAATAATAGAATTTATTACTATTGTTGTGATGAAAAAAATTTAATTCTTATAGTATGGAATAACATTTTCAAATATTATGTTAGGATTTTTATAATTCAATGTAGATACTTCATCAGAAACAAAAAGTGAATTTTATGCTTATGGAAATGCAATTATGTAATTATAGGCAGTTTTATACATTATATCAAGCTTTAATCATGCGATAATTTAAGTTACCATTCATTTAATTTTACGAATATTAATTACTATATATTAATCAAAAAAAGTTGACTCTTTATTAATTGGAATAGGATTTTTTGGAGGATTAATCATTCTGATTACTGTGCATTATTATGAATCTAGATCAAGAATAAATTTTATTTAAAATTTGAAAGAAAATTAACTCTAGGATGCTTATTCATTTATTATATAGAGACCATTTTTTAAAATATCATTTTCAGTAGGAACTTTGATGTTTAATTTAAATACAAAATATTAAATTGATTAATTTCCTGGTTTTGATGAATATTATTGTGATGGATGTAATGCAAGAAATTTAATGAGATCATATACAAACGAAAAAAAATAAAGTATCGAAACTCTATTATTATCTTAAAAATTAGAAAATAATGGATAATTGATGATCACTTTTAAAAAACAAACTTTTTAAATAAAATATTGCAAGGTTGATCTTTAATAATAGAATTATTTAATTATTTTATAAGATATAGATATTTAAGATAAAAAATAAATTAATATAGAAAAAGAATAATTGAAACTTTAACTATTTTTAAAGTTTAATTAAGATTTTAAACATAAAAAGTTATTTAATTGGGGGGTTCTTTCTATTTTGTAGTTAAATAATAAAATAATTTAGAAAATAGATTTAAAATAAATTATAGCTAAATTAATTCATATTTATAAAAAATATTTATTTCCTAATTTAAATATAGAAATATAATATGATGAATAGAATTTACAAATTTATACGTTTAAAAATCAATTGAAGATTTATTTAATTTAAATTTTTGAGATTATTTCAAAAATTTAACATTATGAAAGAAGAAAGGTATTAATAATATTAAAAAGAAAAGGATGTGATGCTTTAATAAAAGTTAAGAATATCAATTAAACTTAATTTAATTTTAATTATTGTTAAAACTTTTTTATTTAGCATGTTTAAAGTCTTGTAATTAATGATATATAGATCTCTGATTGTATTGGTTTACAAATTCGTAACCATCCAATAGGTTCTTTTTATAGAAAATGATATATTCTTGATTATTTAAAATCTATATCTTTATCAATAATTAATTTAAACTTAATTTATAAACTATTTTTAATGATAAAAGTCACATAATCATATTTTTTGACCAAATGCTAGAAATAACTTTGTTACCTGATTTAAATGTACCAGGTCCATTAATCATATTGTCTTTAAATTGTCCTTCAAATCTAAAATTAAATAAAAAGATTTACCTGTCTCCATTTGTAAAAATTAATACACCTTTACCTTATTTTTTATCAAGAACAAAGTCACCTGAATAACTAATCCAGCAATCACTAATAGAAGTAAAATCTTCAAAATTAATATCTTAACAATCTTTAGGATTTTCATTAAAAAGCATTCCTTTACCTTAAAATTTTCCATTAACCCAACATCCTTAATATGCTAATTTACCTGAAGGATAATATAATGAACCATATCCATTCATAACATCATTTTACCATTATCCAATATAAAAGCCTCCATCACTATAATAAAGACTTCCTTATCCATTTTTTTTTTAATTCTTTTTAAAACCTTCATAAATAGAACCATCTAGATATGTTTCACATATATATTCTTCATTTTAGAAATTAAATTGTTTTGATAAAGTATTAACATCTGATTCTCGTTCTCTACAAAATGGATCAGATTATAAATCTATTTATAATCCATTAGAAAAGGATTTAAGATCTTCAGATCCTGTTGAAGATGTTTCTGATTATTTTTCTGGACTTTTACGATACAAATACATTTATGAAGTTTATTATTAATGTTTATGATTAAAATAGGTTGCTCTAATTTATTCAATTTTTTCTTATAATACACTTTAATTATTAGATCTAGTAGTAGAAATAGGAGTAATATTTTCTTTTTTTTAAGATATGGTATTTGAATTGATAATTAAATTAGATTGTGTTAATGGAATAAGTGGAAGTGGTTAGCTAGATTGTGTTTTGATTATTTATTATTATTATTATTATTATTATTAAGAGATAGCTTCATAATATTTTGATTGTTCTTGAATAGAAAAATTAGTTGGATGTTGCATATTTTCTGGTTATATTTGGAATGCAGGTATTAATCTTATTATTTATCCATTTAATTCATCTCTTAATTGAATATAATCAGGTCTTTATATTCCTCCAAAGATATATAATAAACATTATTTAAGATAAGGTTCATTGATTTAATCTAATAAATTAGTAAATAGATAAGTATTTAAAGTTCCATCAATATTAACTAAGTTTGTCATTAAATTGAGTGTAATCATTTCTAATAATATAATACCTATTGGCCATGAAGAAAATACAGAACCAGTTTAATCTTTGTAATGTGGTAATTGAGGTGATTTGAGATCGAATATGTATGGATCCATGATTTTGATTATTGTATCAAATAGTAAGGTGTTTGAAGATAAATTATAATGAATATTGTAGTTTTAATAGATTGCCATGGCTTCAATTAATTGTTTTAAGTTGTATACAAGTTCTTGATTAGTAAAATGTTGAGAAGCAATACGTCTTCTTCTTATTTCATTTGATAAGTCAATCTCACTAAATTCTGTATAGATTTTAATTGTATTATTGGAATTGCAAAAGATTCCAGAGTCATCTTTTTATACAGCATGAATTTTAAGGAAAATTGGTTCTCTCATATTCTTTTCTTTGAGTCTAATAAAATTGGTCAGTGTGCTGACTTGTTCATCTGTTAACTATATTTTTCTCTCTAAAATGCCTCCAGGGTAATGTGTTCCTACTTTGGTTTACTTAAGAGGCTAACCCAACATCATTGTTGATTGTGAGGTTCCCATAATTAATATGTTTCAGTTAAATTTAATAAATGAACAAAGCTCGAAGACACAGTTTCAATGAAGGAGATGGTTAAAAACTTAAGACACTCAATGTTCTATATCCAAATACTTTTGTTAAATAACATCAGTTGGACAAGATAAGAGAGCATGAAAGAAAAAAGATGGAAAGATTAGCTCTTTAACTTAGAAAGTAATTTGCAATAACTTTGAAATAGAAAGAATACAATTTTATCCTCCTGTTAGAAATAACCAGAAGCTAACTTTAGGCCTTGTTAAAGACAATTGATACTACATAATCATGAAATTAAAATCTAATCATTATCATCAAGACATAGTTCTTATGAAGGAATTAAATAAATATTTTAAAGAAAGTAATTTGTAGAATCCAAATATAAAATTGATAAATTAATAACAAGTCCATAACCAAATGCAGAAAAAGAAAATTTATGCAATATTTACAATTTAAGGCCTAATTTAGTTATAAATAAATTGATTGATAGTGAATTTTAGAGAAAGAGTATTATGTAATAATTTAAGAGACTCTCAAAAATTGGAAAATCCAATTCAACTCATTACAGTGTGAAATCTATATTAATATGAACACATATAAAATTAATTTACTTGTCTCCACGTCATAACTTTTATTAAAAAATTATTGTATTTTCTCTTTGTTTTTAAATAATTATTCAGATATTAGCAATATAATAATGAGTTTTATTGATTAAGAAGAATACGATCTACCCTTAGATTGTGATGATATTTTCTTCTAAACTAACATTTTTGATAATCTACAAACACCTTAACATAGTATATCTACAGAGGATTTAGAATAAAAATTCAAGGATGAAAGAAAATAAAGGATACTAAAAAAAAGAATAGAAAAAAAATAAAAAATGAAAACAGATATCATTTAAACTATGTCTAAAGAAGAATTAAGAAAATTAAGAAATAGAAATTCTGCTTAGTTATCAAGAGATAAGAAAAAAATCATCTTTGATAATCTAGTTCAAGAAAATAAGAATTATTCTAATATAATAAAGAAGAAAGATGAGTAAATTGAATCTTTATAAGAAGAAAATAATCATTTAAGATTAAGAGTTCAATATTTGGAAGAAAAAAAGTAAATTATGAATAAATAAACATAGTTAACATTATAAATGTATCCATTGTGTATAAGAAGAAGAAGGAGATTAAATATCTAGAGTTAATGTAATAACAAAATCAAAAATGATGAATTATGGATTACTCTCTCTCTTAGCTATAACTTGTATATTGTCAATAATAAATAATGATTATCAATATAATCCTTAACCAATTTCTTTATCATAACTTTCAAATTAAAGGTATGATTTTTTAGCTCCAAAATATTCATAAAGAAATCAAACTGCTTTATTTAGTGAAGAATCTAATTTTGCTATTCCTGCTCATACTTTTTAAAATTAAACTTTATTTTATAATTGTACTGGCAAAGACAAGGAATGCCAAAACTTTTTAAATATAGTCAAAGCTGAAAATGCTGATAATATTTATTTTGTAAATGATGAAACAGATCATATGCCAGCTAGTCGTATTCATAACTTTGAAATGGGAGAAGATGTTTATCTAATGAAAATAAAACAGGATGATGAAGATAACTTTTTAATATTTCGAGCAAGATGTCAAATTACAGAAAATAATTCACTAGCACTTGAAAGAAATACATATGAAGCATATAATAACAGCCATTAGTATTGATTTACTATTTATTATTATCTTTTTAAATATTTTTTTTAATCTAATTTCTATCTATCTATTTAACTTATAGAAACTAAATTTATTATAATTCATATAAAAATAATAGATTTCTGCAATATTTAAATTTGTGAAATCTTTATTCATATTTCATAATATCTCATTATGGGTTTAATTCTAAAGAATTTGTTATTATTTTTAAAAGATTGATTAAAGATAAATTCAACAAAATTAGTTTTGTGTAATTCCTAAGCTGTAAAATATTATTGATAGACAGGAATCCTAAGATAGCCTAAAAGTTATTTTACATATTTATAATAATATTATTAATTTAAGGATACTAAGAATTAGTTTATCAATACTTCTCTTAGTTATAATTCCAAGATTCTAATAAACTTATTTTCATATCATAAAGAAGTTACATCTTTTGAATTATAGTTTACCTATCTTTCTTTTCTTATTTCTTTCATATTTCACAAATCAATATTAAACATAATTTATCTGTTAATAAATGAAATTACGATCTATTAGCACTATTGATCATCCAAAAGAATTCTTGTTTCCTATTGAACCAGATCTATCAGCTTCAATGACTGTAACCAATTCAAAGATTTATCAAATATATTAAAAAAATAGGCAAACAACTCCAAAAAGAGATCCTTTATAATCTTAATTCAATTTTACTAATACTTTTAGGTTTGAAAATAATGGTTAAATCTCTCCATTAAGGTTATATCCTGAAAAAGCAGAATTGATTAATTTATCTTCTAAACGATCCTTAACCCCTTCTTCAAAACCTCAACAAATTAAAGTAAAAGGGTTCACTGATAAATTTAATGAAATTTAACTAAAAAAAACTTTGAGACATCAAGGAGTCGGGATTGTTTATTGCAGATAAAACTATAATAAAATCAATAATAAAGTTGATGGAACTGGAGAAATTATGCTTGAAGACATTTAAAATCTCAATAATGTCAAATAACGACTGAAAACCTTTGGACTTGAATTAGAAAATGAAGGAATACATCATGGGGTTAAACATATAATCTCTGAAAAATTTGCAAGGATCTTATAAACTGAAAAAAATAAAACATCTAGAAATTAACACAATTACTTTAGAGCATGATTATTATAAAATATATTCTATATTCATCCTCTTCTACTTATAGTTCCATATTATGATTTAGCTCCTACTTAGGATTTAGCTCCAATTTAAGATTTACCTCCATCTATGGCAGATCTATTTAAAATTTCATCTTATTATTATTATTATTAGACTTATGGTTTTGTTAAATCTTATTAAATTGGTAGTTATTATTTTAAGGGTTTCAATCTAGCTTAAATTAGTAATTATCTTATTTCATCATGATCCTAGACTGGCATTGAGAACAATAAACTTAAAGCACTCAAAATTGTTATAGGAATGATATATAAATAAGATCTAAATAATAGATGAGTTGGACTGCATTCAGATCTAAGATCAACATCAGCCTAATAAATAAGCGCTAATTATTATAAATATTTTAAACCTATTAAACCACTCTAACCTATTATTGTCAACATTAATAAAAATCGAAACAAATTTGGAATAGTTAACTTTTTTGTACAAAATAATCCAATATTTAAAGGTAAACCAATTAAACAAGAAACTAAAGCTACAAATATCAATCCAAATTCGATATTAGGAATATCTCTTGAACACAATTATTATTATTAATTTGCTGTCAATATGAGATAAATAGCATAAAATGAATTTGGTAAATTTGTTATTCTGAAAGCAAACAATATTGGAGACATTAGAGTTAATAAAACCTATTGATCATGTATTCAGTAATACTTCTAGATGTGTTTTCAAATGAAAAAAAAGAATCAATTTTTATGATAAGATGACACCTTCACATTCATTTGGCTATGTAGTTACATCTAAATATGTCTAACCAGTCATAATTCCACTCCAACAAATGTTAATTGCATACATTACAAAAAATTCAAGTCTGGTGAATTAATAAATATAATACCTTGCAAATGGTTCTTTAAGCCATATAAATAGAAGTGATATTAAATTTAGAATTAATAGAACTATGTCACCTTTGTAACTTAAAGCAATCAATTTTATTCCCTCATCTTATGAATGATATTTGACTTACTTGAACAAACTTAATTTGTCTAACTTATTATAATTGGTAACAAATTAGAAAAAACAGTTAAGTAGAATTGCATTCTAGCAAACTAAAAGAAAACATTAACAGCTTTTGTTTTTGGAATGTTTATGTCAGTTTCCATTGTTAATATTCAAAATTTCTATAATTTATTTATTTAATAAATAACAACTAAAAATTTAACATAATAGTTATAATGAAAACAATATCAACTTTTGAATTCTTTAATTACTCTTTAAGATTCCACAATTATTGGTATATAAGGATAAATTGTGTAAATTTAAAACAATAATTTTGATTTTATTCATTAGGAGTATTTTATAAAAGTTTATAGAAATGATATTATTCTTCAATCGAATTTATTTAAGATAATAATTGTATCTTATTTTTATATTGATTTTAAAACTATTTATCAATTTGAAATAACAATTGTATTCATTATCTCAAAGTTTTACATAAAATATTCCCTTCATAATTAGTAATTTAGGAATCAATAATGTATATGTTGATAATCTATGTATTATTGTTAATTAAATTAAATAAAAAAGATAATCATATATTATTAAAGATTAATAATAGAATTCACAACAATATTTTGTTATTCTATAAATACAAAAGTTTGTTCATAAACTATTTCTATACTAGTTAGTTTCATTGTTAATTAATTAAACTAAAGAATTTATTTTTTTAAGTTTATAAATCATGCCCAATATAAATTACAAAATTATTATAAGTGAAAACTTGTTTAAAATTAAGTTAACAAAAATATCTAATTAGAATCTAAAATCAGCAGAAACTAATTGTTTAAATTATTCATTATATTCCTATTATCCTCTATTTTTATTATTCTAAGAGTAAGAATATTATAATTAACAATTATTATTTTTTATTATTTATGAGTAAAGCACTGCAATACAATACTATATCTAAAGGAGATTATCTTACTTAAAAGAGCATACCTAATTCAGCACCAATGATGAGACCATAATCAGAAATGGTTAAATAATCTCAAGTATCTCCTCCTGTTTAAGCTCCTACAGATGTAATAGCAAGTTAACCGATTTATAAAGAAAAGTAAGAAAAACCTTAGAAAGATACTCCATTTGAGAGAAGTATATTTCCATAGAGTGAAATTCCTTAATAAAATGCACCTATAAAAAGCACAATGATAAATACATAGTAGTAAATTGCTAGTTAAACTAATATTCCCCAATAGCAATCTAATGTATCTAATTAAAATTAGATTTAAATTTTACAATAATTGAAAGGTTTACAATTAGAAAATTAAGAATTGAGGGCTTAATTGATAAATTAAACAAGAGAAATAATGAATGCTGGAGCATTAAAGAGTGAAAATGCAGCTCTTAGAGAAAGAGCTGATGAATTAAAAGTTATTGCAGATCATGTTAAAGAAGCTGATGCTTAAAATTAAATGATGAAGAGATAAGTGACTGAATTATAAACTTAATTAAGTTAACTTAAGGCATAAAATGGAGAATTATAGAAAGTAGCTGATGAAGTGGAATAAGTTAGAAAAGAAATAGCCACTTATAAGGCTTTTGAAATGTAGTATAAGGAACTATTAAGATAAACTTTATAATTAAAATCTGATCATGATGCATTAAATAAATAGTTTAATAAATTATTGAGTGTTTAAGATGAAAATAAAAGAGTAAGTTAATAATATGATTAATAAGTAACAGAAAATGAGTAACTTAAAAAATAATTATAATAACAAGAAAAAGACAATTAATTATTACTTAATGATAATATTAGTATGAAATAATTATTAGATCAACTTAACTTTGATCATAGAAGTTTAAGGTCTTAATTTGCTAAATTGTAATAATAATAATAATCATAATATGAAGAAAATTAAAAATTGAAAGATAAAATATCATAATTGGAATTAGAAATTGTATAATTAAGATCAAGAAATGATGGATTATAAAAGTTTGTTACTGCAGTTGATACTAGAGAATAAGAAATAGGGACTTTAAAATATCATTTAGGAATGTGTGAAAATAATATGAAAATTGTTTAATAAAATTATGATGCTTCACTTAAGAAACTAGAATTATAAAGAAAAGATATAGAATAATTATTAACTGATAATAATCTATTAAAAGGATAGTTAGAACATTTAACTTTATAAAATAGATAATTAAATGAATGTAATGTTATTTTCAATAAAATTAGTATAATGGAAAAATAAAGAACAAGATCATTAGACCAAATAATTGAGTGAAGAAATTAAAAGATTAAATAGTTTAATGTTGATAAAAAATAATGAATGTAATTAATATAAAAATGATGCTTAAAAGTTTCATTCTTAATTAATGAGTTTGTAGAATACTGAAAATTTGAATAAAAGAATGAATGAATAAATATAACAAATGGATTAAGATATATAATTTTTAAGGAAAATGAATTAAGATTAATAAATGTAAATTAAACAACTTGAAGAATTCAGATACAATACTATTTATAATATAAAATAACAAGATTTTAGTAGTAAATAAAATCCTTATTGAAAAATCTTAATATTTTTATTAAAAAATTATATTTAATTATTTATAAATCATTAAGATTTAGAATGCATTTGCATCATAATTCATACAATCCTGAAAACAAGGTTGGATTAATAACAGGTAATTCTTGATTAGTTTAGTTAATTAAATCAGTGTTTGTTTATTGGGAATCTTTAATACTTTTAGAAGCAACGAATGGATCTTCAAGAATTTAATCATAAAATTATCCTTTATAGAACACTGATAATTCATTTCTATAATAACAAAATATTGCTGCTAATATTGAACTAGGTATTACTGTGAATAATAAACTAATAATTTAAATATAATCCTATACCTTGTTATTTAATATTTACTATTAAGAAAAGTGATAGATAACCAACCAATTAATCCTAAAAATAAACCCAAAAAATAAATTATAAAATAAACATATGATTATGATGCTTTTGCATATCTTACAGTATATGCTATCATTAAACCAGGTAGAAACAAAGTATTAATTTCAATAAATGCACATTTTCTTGTTGGAATATAATTGAACATTGGAGCTTATAGAGAGAAAAATTAAGTTAAATTTAGGATAAGGGATACTTTATTTCCATATTCCCATTTTAAGTAGACTGCATAATTTATAAGACAATAAAATAAAAGAAATGGAACATAAATTGTTATGCAATCTTTAAATGATTTTACTTTAAAGAGCTTAAAATAAGTTCCCAAATTTAGAACAAATATTACATCATTAATTATCCAACTAAATCCAAATACAAAAAAAGTGATTATTGGGATGCTACCCAAAAACCATCCTAATATATAAAATAAACTATCTTGCAAATGATTCCAATAATGAATTTTTAAAAAGCAGCAAGTGTCAATTAAAAAAAATATATTAGATAAATAAGATATACAAGCCAATAAATAGACTTCCATATCCATATTTATATAACTAAATCCCACTAAGGCAAATAAAGTAAAGATGAATAATATGAAATACCAATAGTTGATTAAAATTCCTTAAAATTTTTTATTTGCTTTCTATAACGATGCTATGTGACCAAATCTGGAAGTTAGAAACACAAATAAAACGCCTGAGATTACTATTATCAAATAACTGAAATCAAATCTTAACTGTTGTTGATGTAAAGTACTTTTTTGGTTCATATTGATTGCTACATATACTCTCATAGTATATTTTAATCGATTCATCATTTATTTATAGATCTACTCTGATTAGACCCCAGAAATTGTAATTCTCAAGATCTTATGGACATTCATGTGTAATGTAAATAACTTATCGGTTTGAAAGAGTTAAATTCATAATTTCACCTAATGTTGTTATTTAAGTTTATTTATACTTTAATTCAAAGTAAAATCATTATCAATAACATTTTCAACCTAATATTGCAAACTAAATTATTAATCTGCACTTATCACTAATTCTTGAATAAATAAGTTATTTGATTATGGATTGTCATTATATACTTATTGTAATTAAGGTACTCCACAACTATTAATATCATAATTTCCTAATTCAAATTTTGGATTCATTGATTAGTTTTCAAAAATTATGTAATTTTGAGTTAAAGTGTTAAGTGTAATAACCAATCCACTCAAAATCATTAAATAATTATTATATATATAAAATATTCTGATTTCTGATTTCATATTTGATTATCATAAGTTAATTAAAATTCTAATTAACTTTACTTCTTCTTCATTTTATTTGATCATTCATATCAAATCAATAATTGAAATCCATTTTTGTTATGTGATTATAATATTAATTTTTTTGAATTTCAAATGTCAGGTATCACTCCATATCTATAATAGAGGAATCACAATATTCTGAACATCCAGGTGGGTGGATTGAATGGTTTTGTCAATTACCATAAAATCAATATCTGACTGAAGTGGATTCCGAATTCATTCAAGATCCAAACAATTATGGTCACCTTATTAAATAATTCAATCTCTTTTAATAAGCCTTATAAATGATAATATCCTCAGAATAGCCAGATACTTTAGATTTAGAAAATGAGAAGTATTTTATTACACAACATTATAGGTTCCTTGAATTATATACAGAAGCCAGTGATATTTATGGATTACTACATTAAGCATTCATTTAAACACCAAAAGGTTTAGCAATTATGAGAGAAAGATTTTTGAATGGAAGATTTGGTCATTGTCCAAGAGTACTTTGTGAAAAACAAAATACTATTCCTATTGGTTTGAGTGAAAGTCTCAAAACTAGCAGAATTAAAGTATATTGTCCAAGATGTAAAGAAGCATATGCCCCACGAAAAAGTTAAGCTGACTTTGATGGAGCATATTTTGGTCGTAGTTTCCCAATGTTGCTCTTATTGGTAAATTTAATTATTTATCTTTAGACTTATCCTGATATCCATCCAAAATTCACTATATAATTAGGCACTGAATTATTTACACCCTTCTAACCCACTCTTTATGGATTTAAAGTAAGAGATGAAAGATAAATCTAATAATCATCTCCATAGTTACAATAATAATAACAATAGTAATAAATTATTACTGAACAAACAAATGGTATAATAGAAAAAGAAAATCATAATTAATAAGAAAAATAAAATGCAGAATAAGAATCTAAATAGTCTAAAAAGAAAAAGAAAAATAAAAATAAATGAATATGTGAATTTATATCATTATCGATCTAAATAAATATAGATATTGTCCCATTCTCAATATTATAAGTATGATATATTATTCTTTTTAAGTTATGTATTTTATATAAATTATATATCAAAATTTCTAAACTATTTTACGATTGTCATATTATCTTCAATAGAATTTCTGTATAGTGAGACACTTATCAAAATTATAATTATCACATTTATCATTTCTTAGAAATTTAATGATGATCTTTGAGATAATAAATAAGAACTATTTAGAATTTGATTTTCTTTTCAAGATCCCATTAATTTTATCAAATCAAATTTTTAAATACTATTAATTTACTCTTATAATAATACTTTTAAAATAGTTGAATAAATCATACTATTTTTCATATTATATTTAATGCTTTCTTAATAAGAATTGTGCAACTAAATTGAATTAGTTTATTATAAATAATAATTAGAATAATATTTAATTCATTAAAATTATTCCTATAAAATTAAATATTAAGGTAATTTTTATTTAAATCTAAATAATCTATGATATATATATATTTATAATTATCAAGGTTTATCTCCTAATTTGTTATGTGCCAATTTATCCCAACACTTAAATTAATATTGATAAATAAATTACATGGTAATAGTCATGGTCTAAGTTTACTTAGTCATCCATGACAAACGAACATGTCTTAAACATATATGAGCTTTCAAACATAAATGCTAAATTTTCATAAGGATATCTGATAGGCTAGAGAATAATAAATTATTTATACTTGCAAATCCATATTTGACCATTTAACAAATGATTCATGATCAGGACCATGACCTTACAAAAGACTATGTAATGAACCATATCCAGGTTAAAAGCCATCTTCTTTAGCATCATATTAACCAGAAATATTTCCCATGTATTCACTCATAATATTTCTATGATAATAAGGTGGTCTGAAAGTATGTTCTGCAACCATCCATCTTGGTGGAAAAATAGCAAAGTCACAAACTGCAACTCTTTGAGAAATATATATAATAATACCCTGGTTCATCTGTTTAACATGTAATAACTGTGAATATAGATGGATCAGGATGATCAAATGTAACAGTTCCCATAGCATTGAAAAGATCTAAGTTATATTTGTAAGGATAATAATTTCCATGCCATCCAACAACATCATAAGGAGATCCTTTCTTTGTACATTTATAGAATTTTCCTAAATATTTATTGATAATTTAGAATTCTTCCTCTGTATTCTCATAAAAAGCAACTGGAACCAAGAAATCTCTTGGATTGGCTAAACCATTTGCTCCAATAGGTCCCAAATCTGGGATTTTAAAATGACCTTTAAAGACTTCACATATATATCCTCTTATTGGTTTAGTCATTTCTACACTAAACTTGATTCCACGAGGAATGACGCAAATTTCTCTTGGCTTTACAGTCAATTTACCCATTTCTGTAGTTATTAACATTTCTCCTTCCCAAGGCACTAAATTTAATAAGAATATATACCTATTAAGAAGTCTCCATCACTATTAAACATACTAGAGTTAGTCATACTCTTATTGGCAGCATATAAATATATTGCAATTCCTTATTTAATAGAAGGATCACCTGCTCCACAAACAGTGACTAAACCTTCAGCAAATGTTGTAGGCTTTTCAGGTAAGGGTAATCGTTTCCATCTGATAATTATATATTTATATTTACCTTAGTTAATTAGGAGTGATGGTGAGTCCATGATCATTCATAAAATCGTTTTTTACATATTTTCCAAATTCAGGAGCTTCTACAAATGGACTATGAGCAGCACTGGGTCTAATTTTATATAACCAAGTCTTTTGATTGCTTGCTCTAGGTAATGTGAAGGCTGTGCCTGAAAATTATTCAGCTATTAAATTGTAAGCACATTTTTGAGGACTATTCTATCCTTTTGGGACTGCTCCTTTTAAAGCTTCTGTTTCAACATGATTGCCAAATCCTATGGCATAATCAAGGTTTTCATAATTGCGATGTGTATCCATTATAAGATATTTAATTAAATTTATCAAACAATTACGTATTATCAATTTGCTTATATTTCACATGACATACTATTTATAGTTTTTTAATTTAAATATAACATAGATTATCATTATCATTACATTTTATTTATAAGAAATAAATAGAGATTAATTGTCTATTCTCAATTAATACTTGAATTAACATTTATATGGTTTTTAAATATGTAAAAAAAATAAAATATATAAATAAATGTAATTTCATTTTGTTTAAATTTTTTATAATTGAATTTGAGATGTAATTAAAAATAATCTGTAAGTATACTTAATATTATTTTTTTATAGATTTGCAAATCTTTCTTATATCATATCCTTCTAATATTTTGAATGTTTCTTATAGTTGAGACAAAGTTAATATGAAATATTTATATACTTTAACTTCTAGATCACTAATCTCATTTGCCTTATATATGAATCTTTTTGTTGGTGTTTCAAATTCTAAAATATTGACATCATAAATGTCTTATCAAACTATGAAAGCACAAATAATCTCTAATAATTGATTTTTCAAAATCAATCTATTTTATAAAAATTTTCCTCTAATTTCTTCGAATACAACTATATTTAATTTTTGTTATTCTATGATATTTACGAAGTTCTGTATTTCAATTTTTTACTTTATTCAAAATTCTAAATCTGAATCTTTAAATCTGTATTAATTTATGATTGTTCAATTATTTTGTTAGATAAATTTTGCTTAATATCATGAATATTTTTTTGATTATCTAATTAAGATATTTGCGTGATCTAATTCTTTGCTGAGTCTACCCAATATAGTAACTTTATTACTTAATTCTTTCTATAAATTTTTTAAAGCTAATAACAAATTAAATTATATCCTTATTCAATTTATAATATACCTAATTATGCTTAAAAGTTATTTTATAAAATTATAATTTCTCTACAAACTTACTATTATAATTGCTAATTCATTTTTATAATACTTTATAATTATCAATCTAGAGATCCTTTGCCTTAATTCTTCTACAAGTTCAATATTTTATTGTTTCTTTTCAATCTCATATGATATATTATATTTTAATTCTTCTCTTTTAATACCTTATTTAATTCAATTTATAAAGAATAATTTGTAGTTTCTAATTATTCTTTTTACTCTCTTAATTTCAAATACTGCCTTTTTTAATACTTAGATTTTTGTCTGATCTCTTATATTATTACAGTAATCAAATACACATTCAGATTTTTGATATTTTTAGCATTTTTGATATTTTATATTTATAATAATTCAACAATAACATCCAGCAATAAATATGTCTAAAGATGCTACTGTTTTACAGACACAATTTCTCTCTGCACATTCTTCTCTACCTATTTAAATTAAGAATTCTGATATGCATTCTTAAGTAGCATATGCTTATGGAGTACTACATTTATCATTTCCCAATTTTGCTGGTTCCTTACATGTAATTGGACAAGTGATATCATTTTAACACAAAACTGAATTCATACACATGTTATTTAATGAACACATAGCCAATTTCTATACAGTTAATGAATTTGAACTGAATAGACATGTTTCGAGGCAATTCTCTTATCCAGATGAACATTCTAAAACTATTAATAAACTATATACTTTCTTCACAAATTGCCAAAGTTTATTGACAAGCAAGATCATTTTAACAAGTTTAGTAAGGAACAGCACAAACAGCTTTTGAACATGTTCTATAATAGTTAAAGTTATTTGCAACAACATATGCTGTCATCAATGACAAAATAATAATCTTGTTCATTTCAATTTATTATATAATTAATAATAAAAATTATTCTAATAAAGTAACACTTATATAATATATATGTCAACTATATGAAGATTACATTTAATATATTAAAATAATACTTCTAATTTTATTATTTAATGAAATTCTGAAAATAATAATGAAATATATAAATTTGTATATATAATCATCTTTTAATATACAAATAATAATTATATTATAGTAATTATGTTGATTTAGTTTTATATGTAAAATAAAAGAGTTTAGAAATAGTTTCTAATTAAAAGGGTTAAAAAATAAGAAATTAGAACAAAATAAAGTTTATTTTATATCTAATATAAATTTATCAAATAAAAATGGACATCAAATCGACCGCATTCCATCTCTACAAATAGACATTAATTAGAAAGAACACTTAACCTATTGGATAAATCTATAGTTATGAATAAAAAGATGTAATTATTTTATTTTAATCTGTGTAGAAAATTGGACAAGGTGCTTATGGTAGTGTATACAAAGCAATTCATAAAGTAAGCAAATAGGTTAGAGCTGTTAAAGTAATAAATAAACTAAACATAAAATATAAAGAAAGACTTTTAAGCGAGATAACAATAATGGAATTATTGGTATAATAATAAATTAATATTTAGGATCATCCTAGTATATTGAGATTATATGAAACATTTGAGGATGCTGAATACTTATACATGGTTTTAGAGTAAATTTATTTATTAATTAAAGAATCTGCCAAGGAGGTGATGTGTTTGACAAAGTTCTAGAAAAGGGAAGTCTACCAGTAGAAGATGCTTTTAAAATATATATTTAATATATGCGAGCTGTTAACTATTATCAAGGATTTAAAATAGTGCATAGGTAATATACACCATAATTAATTAGAGATTTAAAACCAGAAAATTTTTTATTTTAGAAAAAAAATGATTTATCATCATTAACATTGATTGATTTTGGTATTGCTAAGAGATGTATTGATAAATTAAAAACCAAAAGTGGCACAGTAATATTTTTATATATAATTCAGGCATATTATGTTGCACCTGAAGTTTTAGATGGTTTGTATGATCATAAATGTGATGTATGGTCTGCTGGTGTTGTTCTTTATGTAATTTTATGTGGCTATCCTCCTTTTTATGGAGAAAATGAAAAAGAAATACTTACTGAAATCAAAACAGGTACATTATAATTTGATGGTAATTATTAATTATTTAAATAGGTGATGAATGGTAAGGAATATCATAAGAAATTAAAGATTTCATTCGATCTCAAGTCTGTACTGCAGAAAAGAGATTGTTACCAAAAGATTTATTAAGTCATAAGATTATTACTTAATACAATCAAAAATTTATTTAAGATAATAAATTATTATCTATGATTACACTCAATTAATGGGTTAAATATCATCCAATTAGAAGATTAGCTCTCTTTTATTTAGCAACTTAACTTGATTCAAGTGAATTAGTGAATTAGAAAAATTGTTTTTTCTTTATAAATACTTCTCAAACTGGATTAATTACTTAATAAGAGTTATCAACTTATTTAAAGGTAAATAAATAGGATGTCCAGAAATTATGGCCATATATTGATTGTAATAGCAATGGCTACTTAGATTATTTTGAATTTGTAGCAATGACACTTACATAGTAAGAATATGTAAAATAATTACAATTTATGTTCGATTTTTTGAGTTAATAAGATAAAGTAATTTCCTAAAAGAGTATCAAATCTATTTTCGATTAAAATGCTAATTTTAATAATAAATGGGACAGCATCTCTGATACAAAGAATCAATTGGCTTTAGTAAACCAACATGAATAATAAATTAATGTTAAAAATATTCTTGAAAAAGATATGGATTTTAATGCCTTTAAAGCCTTAATGTAGTGAAATAAACATTCATATATTAATATAAATATATATTATGGTTGATATAATAATGATATCCTAATGAATTTCTAAATTTAACACATCAAATAAATCACTCTTTTAATATTATTGATAAGTATGTGAAATAAGAATTATAAGTACATTTCTTCATTCAAAATAAATTAATCCCATGAAGATTAATATATATATATATATCTTAAATTTATTGATATAATTTATTTAGTTATTAAAAAAATTTATATGAATTTAGGTTAGCGTTATAGTAATTAAGTTGCCTAAGTATAATTGTTAATTGAATATGTCAAATTATTTTCAAAACTTTCACATTTAGAAAGCAATCTAAAAATATTTTCTAAATGTTATACATTTTAAAAATTTTAAAGAATTTATGAATTTTTAAAGAAGCTTATTATATGAATTCATTCTACATTATATTTATAGAATATATATAGTTAGAACTAGCATATAAGTTTTTGGCAACAACATATCATATAAAAATAAAATTATCTTATATATTTTGAAATGAGTAATACTTCATTTGATGATTTACTTGATTCAAATATTAGTGAAGAAAATCAATCTTAATCATCCGAGTATAAAGTTGAATTGAAAAAATAAAGAGGAAATTAGGGTGCCAACGCTGAGGCTAAACATTACCATAAAATTCCTTTAAAAACGTAAATTTTGTTATTTTAAATGGTCTTTATAAATGGAAGAAGTATAAAGCAAGTACAAGAATATTTAATATATTTAGGTTGCCAAATCTTTGAATATGAATTACTCAAGTGCAAAGTCATTAATTCATTATTATAAAAATAATAAAAGACCAATCCCAGCTGCAATATCAAGTATTCTAAACTAAAACAAGATTTGTAAGATCAAAAAATCAAAAAATGGGAATGATAATATGTTTGTAGCTGTTTAAATCTAAAAGAACACTATTAACACATACAATTTTTATTAATTACTAAAAATATAACAATAACTCCAGAATAACTGAAGAATCAAACCATGATTCTAATTATATATTTTATATCCAATAAACATCCTTTCAACTATTTAATCAAATTAAATAATATTAAAAAACATCTAAAATTCTTATTCTTAATGCAATCCTTTTAATAAGTTTATCCTTGTGTATTTTTTAGATTTACATAGTTTAACATTGAATGATCAATTATTTATATATAACGTTTTTCTTTAAATGATAAATTTATGTTAATGAATATATAATTTAAATCTTAATTTAATTTAAATCTAAAATGTGTGATAAAATAGAAATATAATTCAATATCCCATTACTTAACCTAATAAAAATTTGATTTTAACATAAATCAAAAATAACTTAAAATCCTAAATGATAGTGACAAATATAAACATAATTATTTTTAAAATTAACATTAATTGATAATAATTATTTTTAGTTATTTTTAAATTTGCTTTCTTAAACTTTTTTAATATGTAAAACACCGATTAGGAATCTTTTATTCATAATTCTATTGCAAAAGATCTAGAATAACAAAATTCTATTTAAAAAAAAAGAATACAAAAAAAGTCATCAAGACAAATCCACAAAATACCAATAAGAACTTAATAATTATTATTCGTTTAAGTTTTTTAGGAAGGTAAATAAATTAAATAAGTAAAAGTAATAAAATATTATATTAGGTTGCTGATGATTTAAAACTCAACTATTCTAGTGCTAAATCCTTAATACATTATTATAAGTATAATAAAAGACCTATTCCTTTCTAAGTAGCTGATGTATTAAATGGGAAAAAACCATGCCTTTACAAAAGCATGCAAAATGATTAGAATACATATAATAATCTAAAAATAGAAGTTTGGCTAAAGAACTCATTTATTAAGGCTTATAACTTCTTTGAAAGAATCAAAAAGCAAGAGTAACTATTTGCAAGAAAATTTCTTTAGTGATATTCATTTATTTAGAAATAATTGTTTGGAATTGTATGATTCTTGTTTTTAATTACTTCCATCTTTACTTTTTAAATTGTTCTTTAACCCTAAAACTAAAACAATGTATTAATTTTCAATCCTTTTCATTTAAATCTTAGAGAAAATATACATAATATGTTTGAATATCATCAAAAATTTAGTGCATCTCATTTCTACTATTTATAGTATAGTATGATTAAATTAAAAATGATTAAATTCATTTAAATATTTATCATATTTTCTTCATGTAGTTATAAATAAATGAATAATAGTAAAGATTAGTTTATTTAAAGTTCACTATAAATGAATCTTTACAATACGTAAAAATATTAATCTATTGAATATTGTTTCTCTTATTTACTAATAGTTTTAATAAAAAAATCTACAATTTATAATCTCATTTTAAAAGCTAAGATTTTAATTTAATAATATAAAATGTCTAGATTTCTATAAATAACATATTAATTAAAAATATCATTTTATACATCATTTGATTTTAAATTCTTTGTAATTGTATCTAAAGATTCTTTGCATCGAAATTATTAAGGATTATAAATATTCAATTTTTTAATTTATATCATAGATTGTAAATTATGTAATTTAATTTATTTAAGAATTATATTTAATCCATAATGTTAAAGAAAACCATAGAAAATAAAAATTTCTAATTATGATTATTAATAAAGTGAATTAATTTGAAGAAGAAGTAATTATTTAAAGATAATGTTTTTATACATTAATTGAAATAAAAAATATGAAATATTTATTAATTTTATCAACTTTAATAGTATTAGGGTCGTCTTTGTCAACATAGCTATCATAAAAGCCAACTTGCTTTTTAGTTAATTCACCTGAAGAAAATTCACATTTAACAGTTAATTATATTGTATCAGGGTTAGATGAAAATTAGACAGATGTCTTTATTAAAAAAAAAGATGGAGAAATACTAATAAAAGTTTAAAATACAAAGGATGGAAGGATTAGAGAATTATTAAAAGATAAAGATAATTATTATGTTTGCTTTTAAAGTAGAGATTAGAGTTATAAAATGGTGAGTTTTGACTTTGATATTGAAGGAGTTGATAAAGAATATGCATAATCTGAATAATTTGAATTAATGTCAAAAGAGTTATAGAAAACATAGAAGAATTTCTAAAATATTTATAGAAATTAACATTGGATATCTGATAGAGAGAATGCACATGCAATAATATTGGATTAGACAGAGAAATCAGTTTAATGGTGTGCAGTTATTAAAGTTGGAGTACTTATTGTAATCAGTTTATCATAAATATATATTGTTTATAATTATTTTAAAGATAAGGATTTAAGTGGATAAGTATGAGAAATTATAGTATATATTATAATTAAATTTATAAATATAATTGTAGTTTATAAGATGATCACAAAAAGGAGTCTATAAAACACTCATAATCCAATGGATTAAGTGCTGTACTATTATAATCCACATATGGGTTAGGAGATCCAATTTTAGATTCCTAGAATTCCTCCTCTTTTATTTATTTGTATTCCCCTAAAAACTTGTTAGTTTGTGTTTCGCTTTTATCTAAATATTTGAAATAATGATACTTTCTTATCTTAATTCCTCATTTATGGCATGCAACATTTAGCCTACTTATTTAAATTTGACTTCTATGTCAACACTTTAATTGTAGACAAACTGATAATATTCATAATTTTTTACATGATTTAAGTTCTACATCTAATCAATAAGATAGGAAGATGTTTCTTATAATAATTTCATATCTTCTTTTAACTTATTATTTGTCTCTTTTATATCAATTGCACATTCTTTAAATAAGTTCTATTCTTCCTTAATTTAAATTGCTATCAAATAACGAAAAATTAAATACTTGGTTCTTCCTATATAGCAGGAGTAACAAGATCTTCTTGATTTCTCCTCTTAATAAATTATAACATCGATCTTATAAAGTTAAGAAAAAAGAAAATACTTCATTCCTTTTCTAAAACATTTGTGTTTAAAAATTTATCCGTCATTTGATCGAACTTTCTTGAAATTATATAAGTTTAACTGTCTAAAATACTATTAATATTAGACAGTACCTGACAAAACTTGAATAATTGCTGTGTTTAAAGAAATTTTATAAAACCTCTTTCTCCATTTACTATTGATTATATACAATAAAGGCTGTGCCCTAAGCAGTCCAACTTACAATATTAGCATGTTTTTGTTCCTTAAAACTATTTAATAGAGTTTACTTCAAGCATTTAATATGTTTTCAGAATGAATGTTGGAATAGGAGTTCTTGCACTCATAAATTGTTATTATATAATATATTTTTAAGTAAAAATGAATTAATCGATATTTAAATCCTATCAATTTGATAAAATCTATATTTTTCACCAGAAATAAATCACTCCTTATGATTAGGATATTTAGTAATATATATATATTTTATAAATTAATGAAGCATTTACTATTATTTATTCTAGTCCTCTATCTTTTAATTTTTAGTATAGATATTAATAATAACTAATTTGATCACAATAATAACTAAATTAATTTCATGATTAAGTCAAAGATATTGTTAAACCTAAAGAAATAAGAAAAATAATAAAAATATCAGTAAAATGAATATATCATAAAATGCCATTTGATGAAATATATTGAGTAAATGAAGAATAGATAAATTCAAATAGTATTAAATAATCTAAAAAAGAAAAAATGAGAAGTTAAGGTTTTGATGATTAAATTTATTAAAAAATGAACTTATAAAGTGAAAAGGAAAGGTATACTAACCTATAATCTATAGCATAATATCTATTTATAAAATAAAAACCAAAGAGAAAGTCATATTTATAAGAAATTTATAAAATAACAATTATAGTTGGAATTATTGCCTTATCCATATTTTTATGATTATGCTATTATTACCTTTGGATTAAAATGTTGTTTAGAATGTATATTGTGAATAAAAATCAAACATTAAACAAAAATTTTAATAGTTTAACTTATAATACTTAAATTAAAGTAAAATTAGCATCACATATATTTGATTTAATGATAATAAGATATAAATCAATATAAAATCCAATGATTAAATTAATGTTTGAAATTAAAACAGCGTTAGTTTAGTATATAACATTTAAAAATAATGTTATCCATAAAATTTTTTGAGAAAGTTCTATATTTGTAGAATAATATAAAATATATTTTACTTAATATATATATACAAATAGTATCATAATAAAAATATTAGATTATACTTATAATGAACTAGATTTGTTATTTAATGGATTTATATCAAAAATTAATAGGTCTTGGATTGATAATTTAGTTATTTATTATATATTAATGTTGATTTATTATTAATTTTAAATTCAAAATGTCTTAAAGCAGTAAATGTTTCATTTTCATTTCCAATAGATATCTCTGTAAATGAGAATGGATGGATTAAATGGTATTGCAATTTGGAAGACCATCACTTTTTTTGTGAAATTGATGAATTTTTTATAGCAGACTAATTTAATCTTTATGGATTGAAACAATTGTTTGATCATTTTGAGTAAATCAATATGTAATATATTAGAGAAGCATTATAAATGATATTATCTCCAAATACACCAACAGATGAAGATTTAGAGGATGATTAGTATTAAATGAAAAATTATAATTAAGATTTTTAGAACTCTATAATGAAGCATCAGAATTATATGGTTTATTACATGCTAGATTTATTATAACTCCTTAAGGCTTAACATTAATGAAATCCAAATATTTATAAGGAAGATTTGGTGTATGTCCTAGAGTATTGTGTGATAGATAAAATGTATTACCAATAGGTTTAAGTCATGATCTAAGAACTTCTCGAGTCAAAGTAAAAAATCCTTGTATTTAATCTAGATATTTTGTCCAAGATGTTAGGATGTTTATTCTCCTAAAAAATAAATGAGTGATGTTGATGGTTCATTTTTTGGTTCTGTATTTCCTCATATATTTTTATCTGTATTTTCTGAATTAAATCCAACATAACCAGCAAATGAATATGTTTCAAAAATATTTGGATTTAAAGTTCATAAAAAGAAAGGTTCAAAATTTTAAATTCAATAAAATTAAACTGAGATGTATTATTATGCAGAGGATCATATAAAGCGACTGTCTTAAATATAGACTTCATAGTAATAATAACAATAATAATCATAATAATAATAATAATCTTAATAAAAATAATCTCAGAAAAATGATGATGAGGCAGAAAAAAAATAAAAAGAAGCTTTAAATGCCATATAAAAATTATAGAAATAAAAGTAAAAAAAATGATTTTGGTATAATTAATTATTTTCATTGTCCTCTCATTATTTTTCTAAAACTAGTAATTCTAGTTCTACAAATTGAACATTTTTAACTTCTCTCTTTCAATCCTTAACAAAAAGTTTAACAAAATCTCATATGTTTGCATGGTAATATTAATTAATTTACTTTATTACTGAAAAAAATAACATAATCTTTATGTAATCTTTTTATCCACCATAAATATCTCTAACACTATATGCTTTATAATTCTTTTATACTTTAATTTCTAATGTCTATAATTATATATCATTTTAATTCAATTTGAATAAAAGTATTAAAATAATGATTTTTCTTATGTTTCCTATATTTTTAATATAGATAAATACCTATTCTATTATTAAAGAATATTATCTTTCTTCTTAATTTATGTATTCTAAATCTTATAGTTTGATTGATTATATATCAAATTGAAAAATTATGAAATTTATATAATGAAACAGGTTTATAATGGTAAGTCTATTATTAAAAGACATTTATATTTTAAGTTATAAATTCATTATTAATTATTTCAACAGCTAATAAATATATTTTTAGTGTCATAGGTTGTTCTAGACATTCGAAAACAAATTCTATTTAATAAGTTCTAGCATCTATTTATATCTGAAATCTTATATTCTATGTATACCAGTTTTATGGAATCCTTTTTAATATAGGTATTATTTAGTTTATTAATAACTTTTTTGACTTCTACATTATGTTTAAATATAGTTGGATGTTGATTTTAATTTTATATTTATTATGGAAGATCCTAATGTATTTACTATAGATTATTTTAATATAAATCTCAAAGTACAATTAGGATCATTGATAAATGTTATAGACTCTAATTATTATCTTTAATATGATTATTTCTCATTTTAATTATAATATATAATACATTTTTATGATATCAATCAATAAATCTTTAACATTCTGACATTCTATCTAATATATGTTTAATATTGTAGAATCCTATCAAGTTACCTAAAAATTGATCATCTATCTTTTCTCCTTATCTTAAACAATATAAACTTTTAAAAATATTGTCACTTATTGAATAATGCCACTCTGAATTTATTTTCAAATTAGCATTTTAATCAAAATTTTAATAATGATTTTCAATTTTAATATTATCTTGAGGATCTAATTTTTAATTAAAGTAAGGTTAAAATCTATCATTGTATTAATCATCATCTCTTCTCTATTCTATTTTTATTCTTTTTTTTGTTTTTCTACCATTACTATCTAATTTAATATTATCATAAATTGGAAAGTTTTTCTTTAGTTTCTCGAAGAATTAAAATAGCTTCTTATTAGCTTAACTAATAAATTCTTCTACTTTAGTATCATCTACTGACCAAGTTGATTCATCATTTCTTTTAAAAACTACTGCTGATAAACATCCTTTCACAGTTCTTGTAGCCATTCCTGTAAAATTTTTTCCATTCTACTTTCTTAAAAATGGTAGATATGGTTCTGTAACATTTATTAGATTATTTAATGTGGCATTCCCATCTTACAATTGTATTGCTTTAATCAAATGTCCTGTCAATGACATTTAATATAATTCATCTTTATCCACCATTTCTTACCATTTATTTATGTCAAAAGCTTTAGCTTACTAAATAACTTTTCTGAAAATATAATACTTATTTAAGTGTTTCTGAATGATATCTACGTTCTTCTTAACGAGGTTAGTTTAATCTAATGTTGATAATTTAACTTAATTATAAGGGCAAACTCTATTTAAAATATTTATGTTAGTGATCACATTGATCAGCCTGCTTTATTATTTTATTAATGTACTTCTACTTTAGTTTTTTAATCCATAAGGTCTCTTTTTTATATATATAATGTTACCCCCTTTTATAATTAAAATAACGGGGGATCAAATAATCACATAAATAGTGATCTCCTCTAATTGTGTTTATATTTATATAATATCAAAACATTGAATCAATAATACTATCAATCTTATTTGGTTATGGTTATGGATAAGCTTTCAATTATGAAGATTCTTTAATTTTATCAATTAACTTGAATATAACATAAAATATCTATACTTCATTTTATATATATCTAGTAGATTTTATTCCACATACTAATTATTATTTTGTTAATGCATTAAATAATTCCATTTAATGATTATTCATCAATGTGTCATTATTAATTACAATAATTTTTTTTTTTAATTTTAAGCACTCTAAAATTGTACCTGCACCACAATGACAAATTATTAAATCTGCATTTTGATAGTCTTCACTTAAAGATGATTTAAATCTAAAAAACTCAGTTTTAGGTTCATAATTACCACTAAAAATATTTATCTAAATCATAAACCTTCCAATTTAACATACTACTTTATTATAACCCAATTATTTCAATTAGTTTTAAGTTTCTTAATTATCAATTGTTTTTATCAATTCATCAAAGTTTGTACTACCTACTGTGACAAATATTGATTATTATTTCATTAAAATATAATATTTAAATAAGTAATTAATTAATCTATATTTTTCCATGTCCTTTCATTCAAATAGCCAAGATTATTATTCTAATCCTTAGATCTTAGCTTCTCCTAAAGGGCCACAAATATCATTAAAAAATACATTTGGAATAAATTAACCAGATTCTTAAGTTTGTTCTCTTTATTCTGAAGGAAATGAAGCAATAGAAAAAAACTTGAAGAAAAATCATTAATAGTAATCAATAATTTTAAACTCTGATACTTAACTAGAAGGTCATAAAACTAAGAATCCATTAAATCCATTACAAAAATTACGTCAGTTGGCTACTAAAAACACTCTTGTTAAGCAATTTAAATAGAGATTATTTATGAATTCATACATTTTATCAAAGGATTATTAGTAAAATAATATTATCAACAATTAGCGACAAAATAATGTAATTTGAATAATTCCTATCAAATAAAAATCTTGATAATTTTCAAGATAAATCTTAGTAATCAATCATACCTGTGTTTGAAGCTTTTAGCATTGAAATGAAAATATGGGATTTCTTAATGATATTACAATATCTTTTATAATTATGGTTTCTGCCATTCAGTATTAGCTTTTATAGATTAAATTATAACATCATTTTCTTAAAAGAGATTTTGTCAATATTAACACTACTTAATATTGCTATTACATTAAATCGACAGATTTTTCATAAAGGAGAATATATAGCAAACAGATAGAAAATTTTTAGATAATATATAAAATCTAATTTAATGGGAGATTTAATTTAATTGATAACTTGGATGAGCCTCATATTTTTAAATTAAAAGTTAGAAGATTAAATCTATATGGTTATTTTAGGGATCTTTTTAGTTTTTTCTTGTATAAATTCTCTTCTAAGAAAAACAGAATATTATATAGATAGTTATTATAATAAAGGAAATCTAAGTAACTTTTTAGATTTATTTATTCTCATCATTTAAATTTATTATGTTGCTCATTATATGGCATGCATTTGGCATTTAGTTGGAGATTTAGGTAGTTATTTAGAAGAATCTACTTGGTTAACAGAATATGGTTTCATAAATGAATCTATTAGTATAAAATATAATTATTCATTTTATTGGGCAACTATGACTATGGTAACTGTTGGTTATGGTGATATTACAGCTAGAAACAAATATGAAATTTTAACATCTAATATTATGATGATATTTTCAAGTTGTATATTTGCTTATTCAATGAATTCAATTGGTATAATATTGAAAAGTATTAATGATAGTAAATTAAACTATAGGTATTTGTTTATTAATAAAAATAGGAGAACTATTACAAGTATTAATAGTTATATGCAATAAAATTAAGTAGATTAATCTATATCTGAAAAAGTTAGAAATTATATCAAATATCTACATTAAAGAGAATAAGATACTTTTGATGATTCAGAGAATTCTCTTAAATATTTACCAAAAGGATTAAAAAGTGAAATGAAAAGAGATATAGCATAAAAGCTAATTTAAAAAATTAAGATTCTTTAATAAAATTTTTCTCATTCTACTCTAAATGCATTAATTCATCATTTAAAAATTTAAAATTATGCACCAGGTGAATATGTTTATCATTAAAATGAATAATAACATTTTCTTTGTTATATTAATTCTGGATAAGTATAAATTAATGAAGAATAATCATAAACTTAAATTCAAATATTAAAATAAAATAGTACTTTCAATGAATATTCTTTTTTTACAGAATAATAAACAAAAACTAATGCTTAAAGTATAGGATTTACATAAATTATCAAAATTAATAGAAAAACCTTTTTAAAAATATTAAAAGATTGTTAAAAAGATTTAGAATAATTTTATAATATTAAAGATACAATACTATTATATAATGATTATTCACAATTATAAAAGAAATGTTATTATTGTGGATTAATGAAGCATGAAAGTATTAATTGTCCTCTATTAACATATTAACCAAATAAGTTAAAATGTATAAAAAGATAATTTCAATCATCTTAAAATTAGGAAAGAAAAAGTTTTAAGAGACATTATCATTATGTTCCATCCAGAATTAAGTTTATTGAAATAAAAAATACTATATCTTATGCTCAAGATTATTATTTTTCTGATTAAATTTTGAGTGAGAAAAATATCGATAAAAATCCAAGAAAAAATGAACCGATTTCTGATTCTCCAAATAATGAATTATTATCATTGGAAAAAAATGTAAAAGAAGAAGTTGAAAATATTCCAAAAAAGGTTTCTAAAATTAGAATAGGAAGCATATCAGTTGAAGGAAATAATATGACTGTTAAAAGAGCAAGTAAATTGTAGAATATATAATAACCTAATGCAGATTATAAAAGTTATGCAAACAATTAATTAGATTAATTCCTTTATGTTGAAACTGATCTTAAAATTGATTCATATTAAAACTATCAAAAATATATGAGACATAACAATCTAATACAAATTCTAAAGAGCATGTAAAGATTTAAAAGAAAAACTAGAATAAGTTAAAAAAAAATAAAAATCATAGAATCAAACAAAGGTAGTGAAAAATCTTGATTGATTTATAATTAAGATTATTTATTTGAATTAGGGTTGAGTAATTATTCTATTTAATTTTCTTAATTAATAATTCTCAAATTATTATTAGATCTTATTTCTAATTTAAAATATAATATTATTTAATTTAAGTTTTTATATTGTATTCAAAAGAATATTAAATCTAAAGAATACTATTAATTTTAAATACAACAAGTTTATAAAATTATGTTAGCATTTAATTAGCTGATTATTATAGATTTTATGATTAATCAATTTTAATACTGTTATTATAATCTTTATTATTATTTCATTATATTTTTCATTCTCAATGACTATCATGATGTATATTAACGATGTAAAATGCTGTTTCAATACTTGATACAAGAAATGCTCTATCTTTAATTTCAATTCCAAATTCTTTTTCAAGTGCATCATGAATATGAATGCATGTTGCCACATCAACATAACCTGCAGCATCATTCCAATTTGTATTAAATGTAATTGGAGTTGATTCCCACTAATTTATTATATTTATATACTCTCTCTGGGTCAATTTTTCTTAATCTTTCTCCAACTACTTTGATGATTCTTTTTGCTGTTACAGCTGGCTTTGAAATTAATAGATTTTTACATTATTGTAAACTGAACCATTAGGGAAATGATATGAATAGATGGGTGCTTAAGTTGATAAACTTTTAGCAAAATTTGATATCAATTTATACATTATTTTATATAATTTAATTTAACTCAAAGAAATATTTATGATTTGCATTTTATTTAATAAAAATAATATATTGTTAAAATTCTTCTTTTTATTTTAATTTGTTTGTTTAAGATGATAAATCTAGATAAGAAAGTATGAATAATTGATAAAATATGTGTACTTATTATATTTTATGTAATTAATATACGTGATCATTATTTTTTTGCTTAAGGTTTCTTTGTTTATGGTTTCTTAGTTTCTTTTGTTTATGGCTATTCTTTAGATTTTTCTTCTTTAGGTTATTATTTCTTTTCTTTCTTTTCTTCTTTAACTTCAACTTCAGCATCATCTTTTAATTTTTTGATTCTCAACATACCTTATTTTGCAGATAAACCAGCAGGAGTGCTAAATTAATAGCTATTTATTAATACTTGACTTCCCATGCTCCACCAGCTATTTATAAACCTGTTTAAGTACATCTCCAAATACCAATAGCTTATCTTCTTAATGAATGCTAAATAATAAATAATTTAATTTCATACAGCTCCTGTGAATGTATTGAAATATCTTTGATGTTAGGAAATTTCAAATTTCTTGATAATCTTTCTTAATGATGCACCATATCTGGTTCCATATTTTCCTGTAATTCCAACCTTCTTTGTCTTCTTTGTCATTTCAAATAAAATTTAAAATCTTTAATTTATTTACTATTTAAATTTATTGTGAATATATGAGTATATACAAAATATGTATATAGTTTGATTGACAGTTATTTATTTATTTAGAGTATATAAACTCTAATTGTTCAATTAATCATTTATTTTTTAAATTATATAGTTAAATTTATAAACCATGGCTTCATTTAAAAAATAATAATAAAAGACTCAAGCACCTTAAAAAAAGAAAGTAAAAAGTGAATTGACTGATGATTAAAAACAAGAAATAAAAGAAGCATTTGATTTATTTGATACTGATCGTTCTGGAGCAATAGATTGTCATGAAATTAAAGTTATTCTTAGAGCATTAGGATTTGAAGTTAAAAAGTAAGAAGTATAAGCATTGATGAAAGAATATGATAGAGATGAAACTGGCAGAATTGAATATAGTGATTATATAGAATTAAGTAACATAAATAATTCAAATATTAGTGACTAGAAAATATTGTGAAAGAGATCCTTAAGATGAAATATTTAGAGCATTTAAATTATTTGATGATGATAATTCAGGAAAAATTACATTAAGGAAATTAAAAAAAGTATCAAAAGAATTAGGAGAAACTTTGAGTGATTAAGAATTATAAGCTATGATAGATGAATTTGATAAAGATGGTGATGGATAAATAAATATTGATGAATTCCTAAGTATTATGAAATAAACAACAATTTATTGAATCAATTAATGAATATTACATCTAAAACTTAATATTATTATTATTATTATTTAATAATATCATTAAATTTTTCTATTGATTTAGAAATTAATTAAATTATATATATTATATAATTTATATTACTTTCAAATTAACTAATTATTATAAATTTATTTGTATTAACAAACTTAATCATTCTATATCTATTTATTATTTTTATTTTTAAACAATATAACATCCTCTATCTACTAAAAATCTGTAGTATTTAGCATTTGGATCCTATTTTTAGGATGTAATTGCAAAATTTTGAATCTATTCCAATCTCATTGCTCGAATTAAAAGTATATTATAAAGTTTTGGATATTTTGTTACACATTTTAATACTTGATCAACACAATCTATTATTTTATATAATATATATATATACTCTTTTCTTCAATTTAATCTAAAATTTAATGTAATCTTTTAGAATTATTTAAATATAATTCATTTTAATCATCTTCATCTTGATATATATTATTTTTCTCATGTTCAAAACATAAATCAATAAATATTTAACATAATTATTCATCTTTAGAAATTATATCAAATATTTTATCTAATCTTAAATTAGTTTACAAATAACATTAAAACAAAATTTCATATAATTTATTTTCAATTAAAATATCTTAAAATTATTCTTCTGAAATTTAATTAGAAAATTCTTAAATGACTCTAAATTATTATTGTGATATTTTTCTTTCAAATTTAAACACAATTGATATGTCAGTAATGAGAAATTTAAACAAAGTAAAAATTTCTATTTCTTGTATTTCACCCAATTTAGATAAGGCTTCAAGAATTAAATTTAACCATTCTGATTCATTTGTCCAAAATTTAGGAAATTAAATCCTATTTATTTGCCTTTCTTCATTAATACTAGTGTAAATAATTGTCAAAATATTAAATAAATGATGTTCCTAACCTTGAAGTCTTAAAAGTTATTCAATTATTGTTGATAAATCTTCTAATTTTGAATAAAATTAATATTCATATTATGAAAATACTAACCATTTATTTAAACACTCCTATATTAATTACTTTAAACTATTTTCATTTTTACTAATATATTCACCAACACTTAAACAAATTCTAGATCTAATTAAATTTAAGATAATTTATTAATTTTTAACTACAGTTTTTGTGTATTATATCCAGAGATCTAATTTTTTTTAGTTTTCTTGCAATTATGTATTTACATCTGAATATTTTGAAATAGGAGTTTCCATAAAATCCCATACAATTTAATTAATGACTTAACAAATTATTTATTCTGAAAATGCCTAAAATTCTAATTTTAAGAATGACGAACTAGTATTTGAATGAGTACAGAAATCTTTGAAACCTTCCTTTAACAAATTGAAAATGATTTCATTCATGCATCTTCCTTAAAAATGGGTAACTCTAATAAAAATAATAAATATTATAATTATACAATTGCTCAGGATGTTCATGATAATTTTCTTCAAGAATATATATTTTCCCATTCGAACAAACTTTCAATTGAGATAATCCATTATTTAATGAAATACCTACACCTTATAGATTTCCATTAAAAAGTTAATGTTCTTTAAGGGATGATGATAATTTATTATGATAATAATTAGTATCTAAAATTGAGTATAAGACAACTAAATCCTAATCATTTTTAAAGAAGAATGATTTAAGTTTATTTCCTTATAATTTTACTTCATTCAAATCATCATATATTAGTTTATCTATATTAGTAAAATCAGAATTTTAATCAAAAATATCCATCTCTTTTGTTATCAATTTAATTTAACTAATTGTATCAATTTAGTCTTTGTTTTCTATAATAGCAAGAAATATTAAATTAAGTCCTTTTGAAGTCTTTAATATATGAAAATTATTTATATTCACTTAACAATTTGAATTAGTTGATTCACATACAAAATTTCTTTAAGATTAAGACTAATAAAAATGAAATAATTTAATACAATCAAATTATATGGATTCAAACTACATTAATAAGATTTTATCTAATTCACTTATGTTTATTATAATATAAGTAAAGTATCTTCAAAAACTGAAAATTTAAAATTAGCCTCTTTAATATAAAAGTCTAAATTGTTTTAATAAAATAGATTAGTGATAAAGTTTCCTTTTTTTAATAAAGGTTAGTAATTGAATCTATTTTCTTTATTATCTAATTTTAATGTTATTAAATCAAAATGATCTGTTAATATGTATAAATTTAAGTCTTGTTCAAGTATTTCTACATTTTAAAATTGTAATTTTTTTTTAAGTCTATAATCATCATTCATTTAAATTTTACAAGTATGTTATTATTCTATTATGTCATAACCAATAATGAAATCTTTCAATTAATGAGTAATAATTACTATTTCCAATTAAGATCATTTACTTTTAATCAAATTATTCATCCGCAAATTTGAAAAAGTAAATTTACACTTTGCCGCATTAAGTTTTACCAAATAATTAAGTGAGATCTATTTCATTAGCCTAAATTAATAATTAATAATTACATCTTACTATCCTTCTTTATAAAGTATTAAATCAGAATCTTTTTATATAGCAATCCAATCAAAATTACAAAATTAAACATGACTTTCTGGTTTAATTTAAAGTATTTCAATAGATCTTTTAAATGGAACATATTCATTCTAATATATGTAAATATATGTACTTCATCAAATGATTTTGTTAAACTGAATTTCATATATTAATATTTAACACAATATTTACTTCATTAATAAATGTTATTATCAAAATAAAACTATGAAGATTTTTAATAATACAACATTCACAAAACAATGAAATAAGAAGAGTTCTAAATAAAGTAGATGAAACATGAGGTTATGAAGACTTCACTTGAAGAATAAAGATAAATACAAGAAGATATGAAAAGAAGAAATTTAGAATTAAAATAAAAAGAAGATAATGATGAAATTTAAAGAATATAAATGATAAATAAAGAATTATAAGATTAGTAGAAGTAAAAGAAACTATAAACATAAGAGTCTTTATCTAAAAAGTATTCAGAAATTATAGATTAAAGAAATTTTATTATGAATTAAAAAGTAAAGATCATAATTAATTATATAGAGAAAAGAAGATTTAAATATTGAAAATTAACTTATTGATAGTGCTTAAAAAGCTTTATAAGAAGAAAGATAAATTTAATTGTAAAAAAGACTTTTGTAAAAATAAATTTATGATGAATAAATGAAACTTATAGAAGAAAAGAAATAAAGAGAAAGAATTAATAAAAATTAAGAAAGATTATTATTTTAAGATTATGCAATTAAAGATTAATAAAGGATTATTTAACAGGAAGAAGATTATAAGAAAGTATTCTTTTCTCTTATTATTAGTATTATTAAAGATTAGCTGAAAGAAATGAGCATTTGTAGGATATTTATAGGAAAAATGTTGATGATCCAAAATCTTCATTAGACTATATTATAAATAGATAAATTAAAGAAAAGATGGAGAGAGAATAAGAAGAAATTAATACTAAAAGAATGAATGATAAGAATCTTAAAGATTAATATTTAAATACATTATCTTAATAATTAAAAGAAAAAGAATAAAGAAAAAAAAATCAAGATATTTTAATTTCTCAAAATCAATAAGAAATTCGAAAAGCAGCTGAAAGCTTTAATGATGAATAATAATTGGAGAGAAGAAAAAAAAGAGAATTTTAATCCTAATATTATGATTAATTAGCAAGTTTGGTAAAAAATATATTTTATTAAATCAATATAGGGAAATGGTTAAAATCAACATGATAAATTAATTGATAATAATAACTTATCATAGTCATAGATTCATAATCCACTAACAAATCCAAATCCAAATCAAATATAGAATCCATATATTTTAAGATAACTTGGACTAAACAAATCAAATCATATTTAATCACCTCATTAAAGTTAATCGAAACTAGCTTAATTAGGTTAAAGTAGTCTCTTCAAATGAGATTTATGTTTAGGCGTTATTTAAAGTTCATTTATTAATTATATTAAAAAATTTATGCAATGCTCTTATAAATATTGTGGTTTAGCAAATAAAGCTTAATCCGATGGTGTGGTTTCATGTCCTCTATGTTATTAAACTCGATATTGTTCATAAAGATGTAAAGATCTCGATTGGTATAAAGTGTTGTTAATTTTAGGACTATTTCACATAAATTAAATTGTAAAGGAAAATAAGTTAGATAATCAAATGTAAATGATACTTAATCTACTGTTAAATCTATTGGCAAAAATATTGATGATTTCGAAATTATAGTTAAAGATGGTAAGTCTGAATTAGGACGAGGTAGTTATGGTTAAGTCAAACTAGTTAAAGATCGCTAAAATGGATAGTTATATGCTATGAAAATAGTAATTATAAGATATATTAATTTAGTTAAATAAAAAAAGAATATTTGAGTATTGGTCAACAGAAAACTTAAAGAGAGAGATTAAAATTTAAAGAAGATTAACTCATCCTCATATTGTTAGATTGTATCATTATTTTGAAGATAAAGAGAATGTCTATTTGATTTTAGAATTAGCAGAAAATGGAAGTTTATTTGTATATGTTAGAAGAAGAAAAAGGTTACCAGAAAAAGAAGCATTTGTTTATTTCTTTTAAACTTGTTTAGGAATTGAATACCTTCATAAGAAAAATATTTTACATAGAGATTTAAAACCAGAAAATCTATTATTGGATAAATAAGGAAATATAAAAGTTTGTGATTTTGGTTGGTCAGCTGAAGCTAATCAATAGACAAAAAGAACAACATTTTGTGGTACTTTAGATTATATGGCTCCAGAAATGTTATTAAATAAACCTTATGATTTTAAATTAGATATTTGGTGTTTAGGAATTTTATTATATGAATTAATTCATGGATAAGCTCCATTTAAAGGAAAAACTAATTAAGAAAAAGGTCAAAATATCATAAATTTATAAACCATAGAATTTAATCAAAGTTGTTCTTTTGAAGTTAAAGATCTTATTAGCAATATACTTAAAATTAATCCAGATGATAGATTATCTTTGCTTTAAATATTTGAACATCCCTTTATGAAAAGAAACTACGAAAGCTATGGAATTGATTTAAATCAATATTTAAATAAAGAAGAGAAAATTGAAAACAGATCTTTGTCTCCGGTTTAGGAATAATTAAAAGCCAGGTATTATTAAAATTTATTAATATTATAGAAACTTTACATTACCATAACATAATTCTTCTCATGAATTAAATAATCCTTCCCTGTAATCTACATTTTCAATTTAATAAAAATACTCTAATGTTCAAAATTACAAAAGTATTAATTAACCAACAACTGGAACTAATACATCCATATCAACTGTATTCAAAACATTTATTTTTAGTATTCTTAAGAAGATGAATTAAAAGCTAGAGTAAGTCGAGTTTCGTAAAGGCAATAGATAGCTTAATAATAAAGAGAAATAGGATCATATAGATAAGCCAATAGTGATCTTGGGTTAATGGATAGAGTTTTTTAAGCTTTAGGATGTTTGAATAGAGACAAGTAATAATAAAATTAATAATTTTGAATTATAAATATTACTTTAAGTGCAATTCTAATTAAATTTTTTTCGTTTTAATATAATCACATAATTATATAATTATAAAATCTAAATATTAATCATTTAAAAAAGAGATTAAGAAAAGAATAATATTATTAAAAGGGAATTAAAAAAGAGTATATATTTTTAATATAATAATGGATTTTCACCAATTAATAAATGGATCATCAGTTGGTTTTACTGGTTTAGGTAATTCTGTACTATCAGGATAAGTTGAATAATTTGAAGTATCACCCTTATTTCTTGTAAAATATAAGATAATATATGTACTTTACAACTGGTTTATATTTTGGCTGCAATTTTTTTAATATTAAAAATTCCCAATCTAAGCTTTAAAACCATCTGTGAGTTTTTATGTCATTTGCTCCTCCTTTTAAATTTCCATATCTTTTTGTCAAATCTGCTACTAATAAATGTTTGACTAAGCTTTTTGCTTCTCTAAAGGATTGAATAAATATATACTTATCAAAGTTTCTTGGGAATTTGACTTTTCCTTTTAATATTTTTTAATATATTGCCATAGGATCTTCATCGTTAAATGGATCAATTCCAGCTAACATCTCATATATTAAAATGCCTAAACACCACCAATCAACTGGTTTCCCATGTCCTTTTTAAATATATATATATAAATGTATACCTTTATTAAGTAGGATTTCAGGAGCTAAGTATTCTGGTGTTCCACACAAAGTATAAGTTCTAGAATCAATAAATTTAGCAAATCCAAAATCAGTTAATTTGAGATAACCATCTGCACCAATTAGAAGATTTTCAGGTTTAAGATCTCTATAAACAATATTTTTTGTATGGAGATATTCAAACATCAAAACAACTTAAGATGCGTAAAATCTAATTTAATTGAATATATACTAAGCTTCTTCATTTTCAAGTTTGCCCTTATTTCTAAGATAAGTAAATAACTCTCCTCCTTATACATATTCTAAAAGAAAATAGAGATATCTTTCATCTTGTGTAAATCCAAGCATTTTTATCTAATTTATAATGAAATCATACTAAAAATGGATGAGTAATATTAGAAAGAATAGTATTCTCTGATATTATGTGATCTACTTACTTAAGTCTTAAAATTTCAGCTTTTTTAAGCATTTTTAGAGCTACATATTCACCATTCTATTTATGTTTTGCTAATCTCACTCTTCCAAAGGACCCTGTTCCCAAAGTTTAAAGGATTTCATAATCAGTCAATTTTACTTTTGGTGCTTTAAAGGTGCCCTAGTCCATTATATAAATTAACTATAATTTTATTTAATATATATCTAAATAATGTGAATTATTTAGGTTCTGAATTTGAATATATAAAAATTAAAAATAAGTATATAGAAGTTTAATTCATTAATTTAGGTTATTGTAAAATAATCTTCAGAAATTAAACTTATTTGATATAGTTGCATTTGATATCTAAGATACATTATTTTGATTCTATTAATAAGTAACGCTTTAATTTCTGAAGCTTCTCTAAAAATTGAAATATGAATTAATACATCTTCTTATAAAGGTATTGGAGAAGTGTATTTAGTAAAGGTTTGACTTTTTAATGTTGAAAAACCAGGCATCTAAGCGGGTGCTTAAACTTTAGTTTCATTCAAACATTTATTTAAATACTATATCATTTAATTATTGGATTCAAGTAATTTTTAACTTTCTGCCAATTTATTTTTCAAATCTTAATTAGTATTTTCTTAATCTTTATATTTCAATTCTAAACTATCTTTTTCTCTTCTCACTATAATTGATATAGATTTAATAATTACATTCATTAATTAATTTATTGTTTTAATCATTTGCATCTTATAATTATTATACAGTTTATTCTTATTAAAGAACAACTGTATTTTTTAATTTATTCTTTTCCTTTTATTTGCTTAATTCATTTTCTAATTTTTCAATTATTTGATTTCCCTTATTAACTTCATCACTCATAACTGATATTCTCTATTCAAGTTTTTCAATTTATTTCTTTTAATTATTTACTTATTCTTCTAAAATAACCTAAATAATAAATATAATTATTACATTTTATTTTTTTTCATTGTCTACTAATTATTATTTATTTTTTAAGAAATCTTCCTTATCATGTAATAATTTTTCTAATCCTTCCTTTTATATTCTCAATTCTATTATTTATCTCTCTTAAGTAAATTTAAGAGTATCTAGATCTTTATTCAATATTCTAAATTCTGAATTTTCTTTTGATAATTATTAAGATTCTTATTAAATTATTGCAAATCTATTTTTTAATTCTTTTTCTTATTGAATAAGTTAAACTTTTTATTCTGATAATTCTTAATTTATTTATTACAATGAAGTATATTTATTTTATAATTCAAAGACAATTTTTTCATATTTTTCAATTATAAATTACTTTTCTTTTTCACTTTCTCTTTTAAAATTAGTTTCCTTACTTAAAGCTTATTCTCTAAAATCATTGAATTTCTTTTATTCATCTAATTATATTTATTAAAGAACAGCATTATTATCTTCTGTAAATTTTCTAACTTCAGATTTCAAATTCTCTAACTCCAATTATTTCTCTTCTAATTATTCTGTTAATTTCTTGGTTTATTTATGCAATTATTCATTTTCCTATTTTTCTATTGCTAATTTATTAGCTAAGAAATATTTAAGTATATCATCTGTTGCACTTCTTAATTTCAATGATAAATGAGTTAATTTCTTAAATTCATTATTTTCTATTACTGCAAGTGTTGATTCTCCATTCTTTGTTTCTAAACAAACATAGAAACTAAAATATTTTTATTTAATAATATACTTCACTTTTTCATCTCTTTAACTATTTATGCATAATTATAATAAATCTGCTAATTTCATTGGAAATGTAGCAAAGTCTACATGCAAACTTTATTCATTTTTCAATGCCAAAAATTCACCTTCATTTAAATCTAATATTTGTAAAAATGAAAAGTTTGTATCATCTGTCAATTCAATTCTTAATGTTTATCCATGTGCTTATTAACTTGATTATATAATCATTTTCAAAGTTAATTATGTATTCCAATCATCTGTTAATTATTTAACTTTAACTGGTATTTATAATGTGAATAGCTCTTTTGATATCATTGTAACTTGAGCATTAACAAAACTAGCATTAACTGATTAAGGTTTATTGCTCATTTGTTCATATTTTTATTTTTAAGAAGACTGAAAATCATTCATATTAGTAGTAGATTTAGCAGGAGTCTATTGTACTCCAAATTCAATTCTCTTGAAATTTCCTCTATAGTCTTACATTTTATTTTTTATTTTAAATTTTAACTGTAAATTAATAGGAAAATTTTCATATAAATCAAAAACCGAATGCATTAATAGGTGATTTAGCAAAGTAATGTGATCTACTTTTATGCTCAGTTTTTATTAATTTTGAGAGTAATTCATTTTATTTTTAATATGGTCTAGCATAAGTAGTACTTCTATTGCTTAATGTTGGACTTCTTTATGTACTGAGTAATTCTGTCATGCAGGTTTTTAATTTCATAGTTTCTCCTCTAGTTTTAATTGAATTTTAGAATGGTATTGTACTTAATTTTATTTTTCTAGACTTAGAATCATTCATAAAATGAAACAATTTTAATTTTTATCCTTAGATATATTTTTCCTTTATTTAAGTTGTTGAATTCTTCTTTTTAAATAAAATAATCTTAGATTCTCTTGGGGTTTTACAAGAAGGAGGTCTTTCCATATTATCATATTCTTGAAATTACTTTTATAAACTTTACCAACTAAGGACATTTATTTCGAGAGTTTACGAGCAAGACTTGGACGCTTAGTACTTTTTCTTTGATTTTTTTTTAATAATTCAGCAAAGCTTGAGAGTGCAAATTCTTTTCCATTAATTTTCTTATGCATTTCAATTGTAGTTGGAAAATTTGTCATTTATTTTTGTTAATTTTATCCAAATAAAGATCCATAACAAGATTTTCTTCGATTAATGATTTCTCTATTTTTTGATCTTATCTTTTCAACTGCATTTTTGAATGGAAGTAAAATCGAAATTTTTTTTGCAGGCAATGTTCTTTCTGTCAAAGTTATAATATATGTATCTGTTAATAACTCTCTTAAAGAAGGAGGAGTAGATTTTGATCTATTTTTATTTTTCCCATATTAATTTGTGTATATATTTATATTGGAATTTTGTTTTTTCTCCTTTTGCATTAGAGGTTCATTACATATTAAAGCAGTGATTGGTATTCTTTTCCCATTAAATTCAAAAGGAGGATAATCAACTGAATTCTTAATATGAACATTAATTACCTATTGAACTTATTTTTTTCATTAACTTATAAATTTATATATTATACAAATCTAACTAACAATTTTATTTATTTAAATTCCTAAAAACAGAGAATATAATGAATTATATGATTTTCATAGACATTATTTTGTGCCCTATTTATTTATTATTTATCTGGATTACATTTTTATTATTACTATTAAATATATATACCATATTCATTATTCTCATATATCTATGTATAAATCAATACAAATATTAAAAATTTTAGCTTTAATTCTTAATCTAGATGTTAAAAACTAAATTTCAATTGATATATCCATAAATATATGATAGTATAATAGTAATCCATTAGAATAAAAAAAATGTTTATTTGTATCATCTATTTTTCTAAGAACTAATTATATAGGTAAGGTTAATTATAATTCATATATCAATATGATTTGAACACATACAATTTAACTTAAAATATGACATAATTTAAGTATTAAACATAATAGTTATTTTTATATTAACGAATATACATAACCTTAAACCTTTTCCTTTTTCAAATTTAGGATTCTGATGATATGAATAGTTTTATGTATATTTACATTTTTAATATAATTTGTTGAGTTTTACAATATTGAATTAAGATTATGAAAACAAATTGTCAGATTAAATAAAATTATGAACTTAAATGCAGATTAGATGATTACATTATATTAATTTTCTGATATAAATCACAATTAAAATTTACATTAGAAATTAATTATATCTTAATGAGATCTGTATTATGTAATTTTAAGTATAAAGATGCATTATTATTTCAACAATAGTAATTCAGAAAAACGAGTTTATAAAAACTTAATTAGAATAACAGAAGAATTAGAAATTATACTGAATGATAAGTGATAGAATATATACTTCATTTATCATCATTGAGGTTCTAGTAAACACTATTTTTAGTAATATCAATCATCATATTCAAAACTGTTTTTTCTATAGTCATTAGTTTCATTTTCTTATAAAAAAAAATCATTTGTATCAATCAAATGAGTAGTGGTTTCTTATTATTTTTTGCTCTCTTTAACAATCCTTCGAATAACACCTATCTTGCAATTCTTAAAATTTTAAAGATCAACTAACTATATTATAAAGTCTTACCTAAAGTTTCTGCCTTCTTCAATTGGTAATAGTAATCCTCCAAAGTTTTTCTAGGGACTCCTACTATCTCAGCAGCTTTATCTAAAGTAAGTTTTAATTATCTTCCATTTTCAATATAAGTTTATTAGTATAAGCTTCTACCATATATATAAATCAAATACCTCCATTATTCAACCAAATACATAGCTTCATGTACATATCTTTCCTTTATTCGTTTTACTTTATTTTAGAATTGGATTTCATTATCCATTTATTATTCAAATGTATAGATAACAAAGAAGCATAAATATAAAGTATTTTACCAATAAATTCTGTTCAATAAATTAATTTGTCTATTTGAGAATGATAAATGAATTAAATAAATTAAAATGCAAATATTGGTGCAATATTTTTTTGATTAAAATTTTAAATAAATTGACTAAAAATAAGATATCATCATTTTTTGTGAACACTTAATTTTCTATTAGAATTATCTTTTTCTATAGGTTTAGGTTAAAGCATTGTTAATAGTACTTTTGTATGTTACTCAATATTAGGATCTTCTAATTGAGCAAATTTTTTAAGTAATCTAGAAAAGATATAAAATATAAAATGATTACTTAACACTTTTAAATTTTGCTTAATCTTATTTTTATCTTGATTCATGTTATGAAACACTCTAAAGATAAATAAATTGTTTATACTTTATAGTTCAATAAATTATCACTTAAATCTTAAAGTTATGAATATATTCTTTATCGTTCTTATATTTCTTATTTATTTATTTCCATAGATGTTTTTTAAATAACTTCCTATATTTAATTTAAATCAATACATTTTAATATTATTTGAGTTAATTTTTTTCTTCAATAAATTTAGATTTCATATATAGAGTCATCATTTTATAATCATTTTATCTTTTTTATCTTTCATAATTATCTAATTTATCTTATTCTTTTAATCTTCTTAATTCCTATTTTAAAAGTATTTTATGTTCTTATTCTTATTTTCTTAATTTATTTTATTCTTCTATTTTGATAAATTTATCATTTAATTATTTTAATTTATTACTAAAGAATATAAAATATATTTACTCATGATCTTTATATAGATCATTTTAATTCTATTTAATTTTCTTCTATTTTTCTTTTTATAATTATTTTTTTTCTAATTCTGATATTAATTAAGATTAAAGTTACCCTCTAAATTCTTATTCTTTATTAATCATTTTACTAATCATAGCACTTAAATGTTCTTGAGATTAAACAACATTAATTTCCTTTTATTATTAAATTAATTATTATTCTCGATAATATTATTCCTTTATTCTTTCAACTTTAATTTATGCTTATTGTTTAGATAATTTTTCACTTTAATTTAATTTCAATTATAATTTCTCAAAGTCTTATTATAATTCCATATCTTCTAATTTATTTAGTACTTCTTTTCTTTAAATAACCATCTCTCTTCTTTATTTTATCTTTGAATCATCAATTCTAGTTCTGTACATAGTTTTTTATAATGAAGTATCTCCTCTTAATTTAAATTTGTTATTTTTTACTTGTCAATTTTAGTATCACTATCTCTTTTAAATGATTTTGGATCTGTAAATTATGGAATTTTTTATAAAGGTGTTTTCCTTCCATTACTTTAAGCTTTTATCTTTTATTTAAATGCATATTGTCTTTACAATATTTAATCTAACATTTATGAATCCTTTTATTTCCATTTCTCTATTAATTATAATCTTTTTGCATCTTCTTATAATTTAAGTTATGCTTCTCTCTATTTATTAATATGATTTAATATATTTACCATTTTTTATTTTTTATGTTTATTGTATCTATCAATCTCTTTTTCTATTCCACCTTCCAATTAATTAAGATCATAAACATCACCTGCAAATTGATCTTTAGTAGGAGATTCACTCTTTTAATGTAAGAAGGATACTGTTCTATTATAGATTGAATCAATTTATCTTCGAACTCTAAATTATATTAAGATAATTACTCTGATTAATCTAATGATTATTACAACTTAATTGTTTTAGATCTATCTAGGGATTCTATTGATGCATTATTATTTTATAGTTTTTATCTTTATCTCTAAATTATCTCTTTTCTTCTTTAAGTTATTTCAGTAAACAGTTCTATTTTATCATATTATTTATTATATACAATGAGCTTTGTTTAAATAATGTTAGTATCTAAGTTAAATTATTTCCTCATCTAAATCATTTTATTTGAAATCTGATTCTTCTCTTGTATACATAATTTTACTTACTTTAATTCTAAAACTATTGGATCAATGCCCAATTCTTAACATGCTTAAAATGTTCTTGGAGAATTAGACTTTATATTGAATTTTTAGAATCCTTATATATTTAAATGTCTTGGAAGACAACTTGCATTACTTATAGTATTCTCTCGACTTAATTTTGGCATCATTAAATAAGAAATAATAAAAATTTAATTTTTTTTATAATTCTTATAAATATTTTGGTTCCATACTAAGTTTGTAATAATAATATATTAAATCATAATTAATTTAATTTTTAGATTAAAGAATATATTTATCTTATTTAAATATATTATGATCTCTTTAATAGATATATTGAATTAAATTTTATATTTGTTATGGTTTGTATTAATTAAAGTGTTGGAATATATTTGAGTTTTTTTATAAAAATAAAATTTAATTAAATGTCACTAAGTTAACTGTCAGGAAAACAGGGAATAAATTATGCAAGTAAGATGTTTTTTTAATAAGTTCAAGAGAACTCAGACATAAAAAGTCTCCAAATGATTAATAGTCATTTGGGTTATTTGAGGATATGAACAGAAACAACTTATAATATATTGAATCATTAATCTAGAAACGAAAACCTAGTGTAGATCTAAAACATCAAAGAGCTAAATCAACACTTGATAATAAATAACATTCATATAGGCATGGTACACCTATAAATGATATGGAGGAATTGGAAGGAGAAAAACTATTTGATTAATTTTTTAAATTAAACAACTCTAAAAGTGATAGTGATTTTATGAAAGAATCTATATAAAGAGACAGTGTAAATAAGAATAATGAGAGTGATTTTCTTAAATTTGTTGAGAATGCTATAGAATATCATAAACATTCAGATGTTAGATTTTTTAGACATTCAGTTAATAAATAATCTCATTTAGAATAAAAATTAAAAGAAACTACATTATCTAACAGACTTTTGGCTAATTAATTAAATTAATATAAATAAAAAGAAATTGATCTCAAAAGTAAGATTAAAATGATGTAAAAGGAATTTTCAATTTAATATTAAAAATTAGTCTAATAAAATTCTTGGCTTGAAGAATTATTAGCTAAATAGAAAATAGATAATCAAAATTCATTATTAGCTGTTAAAAAGACAGTTGAAATGTTATAAATAAAATGTAAATGTCAAAAAGGAAATCAATTATGTGATAAAATATTAAGAGATGTTAAAAATTAAGAAAGAGTAAGATAATAATATGAATGGGAAAATGAATCTAAACCAACACATTCATCTTCTGAATTAAGTAATAATACTTAAGAAGAAGAATTAGAGGATTCAACTGATTTCAATTATTAATTATATGATAAGAATAGAAGGAAATCTATATCAAAAGTATGTCATAATTCAATATAATCATCAGAAGAATAATAGGAATAATTAGTTTAAAGTTTTATTAATGGAAAAAGTAAAAATCTAAGAGAGTTTCCTAAGGATATGTTTCTTAGAAAAAAATAAACACCAGATCCTTATTATATTGAAGAAGAGAATACCATTAATAGTAACTGAAATAAATATGATATTAAAATTATTATAAATGTTATTCTTTTTTATTTTTGAGATAATTACAGCATTGAAATATGAAGATGCAATATTGTTTCATTGGAAAGGTAATTTAACATCTGATTCAATAACAATGAAAGTTTTTACAAGACAGGAATCATTTGTTAAATTTAGGATTATTTCTTGGGATCTCAATAATATTTAAAACTTTTCATAGTATGTAAATGAATTATGAACAGACTTAATGTTAATTAAAGCAATGATTCACCAATTACACTTTAATTTCAGAATCTTTAACCTAATACATAATATTTCTATATATTTGAGTTTTATGATATTGAAAACATTACATCAGAATATCTAATGACAGTATACAATAAAGAAAAAGATTACTAATTTACAACAGAGTTTGATTAACCAATGTTTTCCTTCAAAACTTTTGGATTAATAGGATAACCATATACTTTTAATTTTAGTGCATCAGGTTGTGCAAGATCTGCTTCAATCAGTAAAATATTTCTTGATATATATTAAAATACTTATCCATAATTCTTTTTTATGTTAGGTGATTTACATTATAGAGATATAAATACTGATTCTATTGATGAATTTGATTAAGCTTATAGACAAGTTTTTGGTTCATCTACTTAAAGATATTTGTATAACAATTAAATAATTATGTAGATATTAATAAGTACCTATGGAATATCAATTTGATGATCATGATTTTGGTAAAAATGATGCTGATGGAACAAGTCCTACTAGAAATGTAGCTAATTTATTATATTGGAAATATGTTCCTCATGGTAATTTACATAATTATCTACCTCTATATAAAGATGAAGAATTGACATAATATCCATAAGAAGTTAAGCATATAGAATTAATAAATGAAGAAAATATTGGATCTTATAGATATTAAATTATTGGAAGAACCATAATAATTACTGTTGATTTAAGAACATTTTAAAATTTAGAAGTTTTAGGAAATTAATTTGGTAATTTCTCAAATGAAAGATCAATATTAGGAAAATAATAAAGATAATGGTTATTAGCAATTTTAGATAGAGTTATAATAACAGATTGGATTTAAGCAGTAATTTTTATATCTTCTGTTAATTTTCATGGAGAAATTTGGGATCTATTTCCTAATGAATAATTATTAATAGCTGATAAATTATAATATATTCAAGAGGTTTTAGAAAAATAAGTATTAATTGTTAGTAGTGATTCACATATGACTGCTATGAAAAATGGATAAAATTCTTTTATTCAAAGTTTAGGTTTAAAATACAAATATGGATTATAAGAAACAATGTGTGGATCATTAGATAAATCAGGTTCTTGTAAAACTTAACCATTAACATTTGGACCATGGTTAGGTAAGAATCATTACACTAATATTGAAATTTAAGATACATAATTAAGAACTTGCATTATTGTTAGAGCATTTGAAAAAACAAGTTAACTCTTCTTTTATAATACATGTGATGATAGATTAAAAGGTCTTGAAGGTAAAGTTAAATGTCCATTTGATGTTTTAATGAGAGTTGTTTATGTAATTGCATCCTTATTAGTTTCTTTTGGCTTTTTAATAATTATTTATATAATTGTCAAAAAATGTCATAAGAATAGCATGAAATATAGCTTAGTGATGAGAGAAAAATGACTTAAATAATAAAATTTTCATTCATTTTGTAGATTTTTCAATTATAAAAATTATATATATATATTATTCTTGAATTTATTAATGGATTAAGTGTTTATTACTCCTAGTCAAAGAAGTCCTAGAGCCTCATTTGGACCTTTTGATGTTATCAAATAAATTTATCAGAAAGATAAAATGCCATCATTTATACAATCAGAGGAAAGCTTAATAAATTGTTTAAATGAAGGACAATAAAGATAGACTAGTCCTTAAAGACATACTTCTAGAACGAGATTATAATAAACTTATATATCACGTTCTTCTATTTTGAAATTGCACTTGAAACCTAAATTTATGAAATTCATTCAATAAAAATAATTCATTACAAGATTTTTTTAGAATCTTTATTAAAGAGCTTATGTTAAATAAAGTAATAATAATTATCTGTAGGAAAATTATTTATCTATTAATCTAAAAAATAAAAACGATTGTATTTATAGTTACATAAATTTATAGAGGAATCATTGCAAAAAGACAATAGTTATGTTATATAACCGGGATCTTTCTTTTTAATTTTTTGGGATCTTGTTGGAATTAGTGTTATAGCTTTAAGTTTATGGTTATGTCCCTTTTTAGCATGTTTCTTATAGTAACATAAAGAGAGATAAGATGATTAAGAGATTTTCAAATATTTAATAGCTATAATTGCATTATATGCAGTAATGGATTTTACAATAAGTTTAAATAGAGGTTTTATTTAAAAAGGAGAAGTAATATTTTAATCTTTATATAGGTAATATATGATAGAGTGTAAATTATAAAAAACTATTTCTAATATACTTTCTTTACTGAGATATTAAATTTGATTATGTGGTCTTTATTTTACTTTGATTATTAAGTTAATGAGTTTATAACAATAATTTAAATGCTCATAATTTTTAAATAAATTAGAAAAAAGATTACTATTTAATATGAATAATTTTATTTAAGAGGAGGATTAAGTTAAATCTTAGATTTAATTAATGTAATATTAAGTGTATATTTTGTTGCTCATACAATGGCATGTTTTTGGTATTATATGGGAGAACTAACTAGTAATAAATTTGGTTACTCTTGGTTAATTAAGGAACAATTATTATATGAATCACTTTGGTTAAGATATGCTTATTCTTTGTATTGGGCAACAATGACTATGGCTACAGTTGGATATGGAGATATCACAGCATAAAATCATTATGAAGTTGTATCTTCAATTGTAATGATGTTTATTAGTAGTTGTACATTTGCATATTCAATGAATTCAATTGGATATATATTGAAATTAATTTATGATTAAAAATAAAGATATAAGTAAATATATTGATATAAAATAATAGAAAATCTCTTATTTTAATAAATTAACATATGAGAAATAATAATATTGAGCCAGAATTATAAAGTAGAATAAGAAATTATTTGCAATTTCATTTTTAAGAAGATGTTTTTGGAAGTTAAGAAGATGTATGCAAAATTATTTAGATAAAAGATAGATAAAATATATGCTTATCTCCCTTCAAGTCTTAAAACTGAACTTACTGTTGATATCAAAATGTCAATAATGAAAAAAATTAAATTACTACAATTTTTTTCATTGTAAACTTAACAATTCATAGGTTAAGAAAGTGAATTATAGACTTATCTTCCAGGTGACTTTATAAATGATTTTGATTCTTCACTGTATAAAATTTTATAAATTTAAGCTACTTTTTTCATACAGGATCTGCTACAGTGATGGAGAAATAAAGTAATTAATAAATAGAAATACTTAATGAAGGTGATACATTTGGAGAATATAGTTTTTTTACAGGTTTTAATGTAAGTTTAAAGGTTAAAGCTAATACATTATGTAAAGTTTATAAAATTGAAAGATCAAAATTTTAAGAAATACTTAAATATAATCAAAGAGATTTTGAAAGATTTCATTAAATTAAAGATGAAATTATATTTACTTAAAATTTCTAATAAATAAACTTAAAATGTAGATTTTGTCATCGATATCATCATATTAGTTTAAATTGTCCTAACAATTTCTATTAACCAGATATTGAAAGATTAATAAAATAAGATTATTTCAAATAATAATAAAGAAGAGAGAGAAATATTACAAGATAATCTCGAAAATAATTTAATACATTATTAGCTTAAGAAGAAATTGAAAATTGTGCTAAATTATTTGATGAAAATGAATCATTTAAAATACTTAGTTAAGATGATTAAAGAAATTCGTATACTTTATATGAATCTAAATTAGATCATAAAAGTTAGAAAATATCTTCATAAAAAAATATTTTAGATAAACCATCTAATTCATGCTACAATATTGATGAATGTAATAATATAGATAAGTAGCAAATGATGTTGGATGAATTTAAAAGTAGAAACTTAAATGTTACTGCAGAAATTGATTAATATTATTGTTTTACTGTGTATAAGTAAAATAATAATATAGATAATATGGTTAAAGAATATGAAAAACAATTTAAGAAATATACAAAATCTTTTCAATAAAAAATGGACCAAGCAGGTAGATATACATTTTCTTATTGGGCAAAACTTAATTCAGCTAAATTAAGATAACTTTTAGAGAAACCTCAATGATAATTTAATGTTATATCTTATTAAATATTATTATACTTCTTAATTTATTATAAAATAAATTAACCAATAAGATATATCTATTATTTTATAGAATAAAATATTTATTTTAGAATAACTTTTTAACTAAAAATATGAATAGACATATATATTATTATATATTTACAAAAAAAGTAAGGATTCTTTGATAGTATTTTGAATTTAAATGAAGATGTCTATTCTACTAACATTTATTATTTGATATCAAAAGTTTTAAGGGAAATTTCTCAAGATATTAACCCCTTTTAACTTTATAGCTTCTTTAATTTGATGCCAATTTTATCTTTCTTAATTTAATGTTTATTTACAATCAGGACACTTATCATGAAAACTTGTAGTCTAATCACAATTATTACAATATTCTGATAAACAAACATGTATTTTAAATTTTTCAGGTATTCTTTAATCATTTTTAATTTTAAATGGATCAATCTAATCTTTAGTAAAAGTTATTGTATTAAAAGAAGTATTAAATGATATTCTCATTATTAATTTTGTTTTAACAAGATTAGAATTATAAAATTCAATTAAAATATCTCCATGAATAACAATTGGATTTGGTGACATTATAAAACAATTTGTTTAATTTTCTTAAATTATTTTAAGTATTTAAGTGTCTTTAATAAGTTATTAATTTTGATATATTTTAGCAGATATTTTACTACCATCATCAATATTAAGTTTTGGAACTCCTTCAATAATAATTGAACTTAAATATTTAAGACTTGGATAAATAGGTTCTCCTTATAATAATTGATTAAAATATTCAATATAACGAATTTGACATGGTTAATTAACTCCCAACCCTTCATCATTGAATCTCGATTTTTCATAATATTATAGAACATCATTTACTGAGTTAAACATTCCACAATATAAAAGGTAACAGCAAATTAAAGTACCTGTTCTACCCTTTCCTGCCAAACAATGTACAACAACAACATTTTCTTATTTCTAATTAAAGAACTCTTGCATAGATTTACACATATTAAAAAGTAAATGTAATTGAGGAGCATGATGATTGTTCCACTGATAATTTTTTACCTGATTTTTAAATTTAGAATAATCATATGTCCTTGACGATAGATTCATAATTAAGTAATTATTACCATGTCTATTCTCTAAAAATTGTACAACCTAATAATTCTACATAAATATTACCTTATCAATAGGATTTCTGTAACAGCTTTCAAATCCATCAGCTGGGAAAGCCATTGCAATAATCCTATCACAAACATATGTCAAATCTAAGTTATAGCCTTCTGAGATGAATCTCTTTTTTTTTCCTGAAACTATTGTTCTAATATAATCCATATATAATGTATATTTTAAATATTATTCATTTAAAAATGATCTTAAACTCACTTATTAATACCCAAAACATTTTTTTTCAAAACCCCCAAATTAGAATTAAATTAACCAAAAACGTCACTAAATAATAAAATTAATAAAATATTATGACATATATCTTAATATTCTTTTCATAAAAAAGAATCACTTGAATCATTAAAAAATCAGATGGTTTATAATCATTAGAAGATTCTTTCTATTTAACTTTCTTTATAGCTTTCTCTATATTAGATGAATAATCAGGTTTGTTTGATATATTTTCCTTTTTTTATTTTTTACTATGTTTCTTTTTTACTTAAAATTGGATCCACTATAATTCTTAACTATATAGATCATTTTGATATCTCCTAAATTTGTCTTATTTCTATTTTCTTAATATTTTCTTGCATTCTATCCTTTGTAAATGTTTTTAAAAAGTTTGTTTTATAACTCTTCAGACATATTTAATTATTTTCAGTAATATATGCTTTTAAATTTCTAAATTTTTAGAAACAAAATTTCATGAATATATTATTCTTACACTTAAATAAGATCAAACTTTAAGCTGGAGGAAGATCATCTAGAAATTTTTATTTTTTTAAAAAGGTTATTATTCTCTATCATCTAGAATTATAGTATAAAATTCTTACATATTTTCATATATATTTACTTTATTTCTTTAGTAATAATAATTTTTTGTATGATATTATTGAACATCTTGAAAATATTGAAATATTCATATTACTTTTTTAATGGATTAACTTCATCTTATTTCATTCTTTCTAATATAAAATATTCTTGTATTTAATTCTTAAACATTTCCTTAATTATTTCTTTAATAAAATCTGTCTACCTTAATAATTTTACTTAAATTCATTTAAAAATATAATAACTATTCAAAATCTTGACTTTCCACTCCTTACACTATAATTTCCACTTCTACTTCCTGATTCTTATGGTGTTTCAATACTATTCATAGATCTCATACCAGAAGAGGGTTCATCACTTTGTTCCTAAGGTATTTATACAAGTTCCTTCCTTTTTATTTCTTTCCACATTTCAGGCTCATTAATGGCAATTTCAAATAGTTTTTGCTAAATATTTAATAATGAAATACCATCATTGTTTTAGTTGATACATAATTATTTATTTATTACTCATTATTTTTTATTTATTGTTATCTTACTAATTATTAAGCTTAAATTCTTTAATTTTCTGATTATAATAATCTCTATCTCCATAATTAAATATTTTAATCATCCATATTTAATTTTTCACCTCTTTTCTTTTTAGCTTCAATTTCTTTAATAAAATCAAAAAATTCTTTCATTTCCTCTATGTTATCTTCTTCTTTGTCTTCAAATTGAAAATCTAATCTAAGTTTTTACTAATTTAATTATTTCTGCATGACTCTTCTTACTTCTTCTCTTTCTTATATCCATTTATAATATTATTCTTTTGTTAATTCTACCAATTCATTAAAAGACTTTGTTTTTTCCATATTCTAAAATAGAAATGAATTAAAACCTATAGATTTTGAATGATATTTTCAGATAAATGAATATTGTCTATATATTTTAAACCTGGTTTAGCTTTTAATAATCTAATTTCATAACCATTAATTTAAGAAACTGGATTTCCTTTAAAATCAATTTTATCAAGACTTGGTAAAGTTTGAATAACTGCACATAATTCATCAATATATTCTCCAGGAACTTAATTATATCCCATTTTTAAATCCTGTAAGTATTAACAAGTACCCATTAATCTTGTAATTGAAATTAAATTATTTTTTTGCACATCTAATATTCTAAGACGTGGAGATTAATTTAATTTAGGTAGATATATAAGTTAATTTCCAGCTAAATTAAGTTATTCTAATGATGGAAGATTTTAATCAGCAATATATGTTATTTTATTAAAAGATAGATTTAATACTTTTAATCTTGGCAATTATAATTGAGGAACTTCTTTGATAAAATTAGTATTTAAATTAAGTTATTCTAAATTGGGAAGTTCTAAATTTTCTATTATTTGGATTTAATTTAATTAAAGCTCTAATAACTTAAGGAGAATCCTAGACTTATATAATTTAATTACATATGTCTAAAAACTTCTTCTATTTAACTAAGACTATTCTATTCAAGAATCATTTCCTAGATTTTATCTACTCGACAATATTGATCAATATTTTTAATGCTTACAAGATTTCTTGTATTTAAATCTATAATATAATTTTCTCCTTTCAAGATATAATTTCTCTCGAAAACTGCTTTTGTAAGTTTACTCATAAAAATTTTATATAATAAAAATATAAATTATAAAATATATTAGAGTTTCATTCTTTAGAATGCTCATAATATGCAATTCCATACATTATGGCTACAGCTGCACAAAAAGCAATAAATTAGAGAAAGGATATTTTAATATTTTCTTCTTTTAATACTGCAGGTAACATATCAACACAACTGATATAAATGAAATTACCAGCAACAAAAGCTAATACAAGTGTATCATTTTCCATAGAAGATATTCCTAATCCAATTATAGCACCTATTAAGGCACTACAATTAATTAATCCATTTGAAAATAATGCTTATGAATTTGTAAACTTATTTTCTAACAAAATACTTGTATCACCTATTTCCTATGCTGTTTCATGAATTATTATTGCTATTAATGTAGCTATTGTACTGTCAAAGTTATCATCATTGGCAGTTGCAAAGATAACTCCTAATGCTAAACCATCCATAATATTGTGAAGAAAATCTGAAACTAAATTTAAGTAACCTAAAGTTGGTTTATATTTCCAACTTTCAAAAGAGAATAATTATTATGAGATTGTAAGCTATTATATTTTATCAAAATGTAATTCTTAAATCCTTTATACTTTATCAATAATATCAGGAGAATCACCAATATTTTTATTTTCCATATTAGTATCTTATTGGGCAACATCAAAATTTTAACCTTCTGGCTAAACCTTTTAATTCATAACATAAGATTATAACACTATCATAGATTTTTCTATTAAAAAAAAGCTCAGAACTCCTAATAATAATAGTAAAGATGTCAAAAATTCTTTAGAAATATCTTCCTCTTCCTCTTCAACAATTTCTTCTTCATCTAATAATCTACCATCCTCTAATTCGTGATCATGATCTTCTTCTTCATGATGTTCATGATTTGAAAATGAATGAGGTATTAAATGTATAAAAGCATCACCTAAAATTACAAAATTATTTACCTAATAATGCTCCTATTGCAAATCCAATTAAAACTTTCATTATTTACTTTGCTGTTTCTCCTTTACTAAACTTTTTCAATATAATGATCATTATCGAAACTACAAATCCAATCATACTAACACCAAATGAGGCTAATATACCATATCCCCATCTTTCTGAGCTAGTTGGTGCACCAAATACAGTTTATATCAAACATAACAAAATTATGAAGCAGTGGTGATTCATGAGCACAAATTAAATATTATTAAAATTTGAAAATTTCTTTATTTACTATATATATATTATATTATATTACATATATATTTATATATAAACATAATATTTGTTGCGTATTTAATGATGTACTTAAAAATAAAAATGAATTTATTTAATTTTTTTCATTAAAAAAGAATGATATCTCCTCATAATTAAATACATATTAAATTAAATATTATTATTATTATTAATAAAATTACATGACTGATTTAGAAGAAAACCTCTTTTAAAAATCTGAAGTTATTAAAACTTAATTTTAAGCTCTTTAGGAGGTATTAAGATCTAGTAATAATCAAGAAAGTATAGAACTTTGTTGAAGAAATAAAAATATTAAATGACTAGTAATAATCTTTATAGATTGCTACTTTGTATTATTGTTTATTTACTTAGATAATATAATGATATACAAATTTCAAGGAAACAATTCAAAATAAAGGCCGAAAAAACAAAAGAATTAATAGCCTAAATGGAAAAAATAGCAAGAGGAAATGAATAAAAAAATGTTGCCAATAAAATTAAATAATAATATTTGAAAGAAGTTGATAGATAAAAAAGAATAATGAAGAGCTTTGTTAATTCTTCATTTGAACAAAAATTCTCAAAAATTTCAGTGATTAGATAATCAAAGGCTCATGGTTAAGAAACTCAATAAGAATAATTAAAATATTTTGTTGATTAAAATTATGTGAAATTAGTTTCTAAAGATTAGAGAGTATCTAATAATGAAAGAAGCAATTTATCTTAAGTACATGCTGAAGAAATCAATAGAATAAAAACAGTTTCAATCGATGAAGATTATATAGAAAATGATATTATTGACTTAGAAAATATGTTAATTGATGAAAGATAAAGAGAATTAGATTTAATAGAAAAAGAAGCATTTTAATTAAATTAAATTGTAAATCAAATGGATGAAATGACAGATTAATAAGGTTAAGAATTAGATATTGGATAATAAAATTTAAATTAAGTTAAAACTAATATTATTGGAGTATCTAATGAATTAGTTGAAGCTGATTAAAGTTAAAAATAATCAATGAAAAAGTATAAATATGTAATAGGTGGCCTTATTGTTGTAATTATAGTATTGATTATTGTATTTATTGTAAAATGAATTATAGAATTAAATAATAATAAAAATATATCATGTTTCTGCTGCAAAAACACCAATTAAAATAAATAATATAAGTCCTCCTAAAATTAATAAGATATTTTAAGTTTGATTTTCTGAAGGATACTATTATTATTCTCCTTAAAGTCCTTAATTATTTATATTAAGATCTTTTGAATTACAGTAATTCCATTATTTTAATTTATTTCTTATATCTTAAAGCTATTGATATTAAATATTCTTAAATTCTTATTATAATTATAAAGAATTTACACCCAATCTTTTAATAGTTTCATAAAAATACTAATATTTTAATTATTAATATTACTGGTTTTGGTTTATTGAAATTGATTCTACTAATTTATTCTAATTGCATTTTAGCTTCTTGAATTTGATTTAATTCTTATAAAAATTCATTTGCCTCTTTTATTTTTCCTTATTTTTATAAGTCTTTTAACATTTCCATTCCCTTATTCTCTGTAAATTATTTTACTTCATTTATTTCTTAAGGGACTTCTTTAGAATAATCAATTTCATAATTTAAATTAGCATTTTCGATTAAATTTATAGGATTAAATTACCTGTTATTCATTATTTCTATAGCTTATTTATATGTGCTATGAATTAAATCATCATCCTAAATTTATGATGCTTTCTTAAGATCTTCAATAGAGGCAATAAGATTATCATAACTTAAAGGAGAGAGTGATAATAAAGCCTTATAATTAAAATTAATATTATTACTTTTCCTCTTCTAAATAAAGCTTTAGCAGAATTTGGATCATAGTGTAATATATAATTTGTGATTTCTATAGTTTATTAATACAATTTAAGTTTGAGATGGGTGGCTGACATATTATTCAAAATGGCTATTTTAAGTTCTATATTACTAATATTGTGTTACTATTTAGTTCAAGCGAATCTTCTAGACTTTTCCCATTATATTGAATCAAATATAGAGTATTATTTTTGAATTCTCTGAACTCAAAAAATTAATAAAGCTCTTCATAAATTTGGCAAGCAGTCTAAAAATCATCTTTTTGATTATATATTTGAATTTACTCATATTATAAAATTGATTTCCTCTTTCCTTAATTAATTTACACACATTTATCTATATTTGAAAGGTTTATTTTCTGAGATTTTAGAAAGTATTTGACAATTTTATAAATTAAGGAGTTTTTTAATCAGCTAGGCTCTTTTTATAAGCCTTTTAATACATTTAATAATGAATACATAAATAATCAATAATCATTCTTTATCAAATTCAATGGATGGTATATAAAAATATAATATAAATTTAGAAATATTCTCTTTAGAAAAAAGATATTCTACAATTGAAGATATGATGATATAAATTCATTAGAGTTAATTAAATATTAAAGTATAGTCTCAAAATTAAGATTCAATATTGATTAACACGCTTTATTAATCCAATATTAAATAGTAGTTAGATAAGTCTTTATTCTTTTCTACAAATTTCGATTTCTTAAAAAAAGTTAACTACTAATTCGGTTCTTATGTATTTGTTAACTTTTTCTACATCCTTTAATTTCATTATAGTATTTTTAGAAAGCTTAAGCATAGCAATTAGCAATTTAGTAATATATTTTTAACCCATTAGTTAATAAATATTTAATATGAGCATTTAGTATTAAAAAGGTGTATTTTACAACATCATAGTTAAATAATATGGACTAAAACAAATACCCAAATCATTTAGTCCAATTTCTTAAAGATGCTTATATAATTTTGGAATGGAAGTCTTTAATTTAAATTTCAGTTTTGCTAAATTTTCAAATAAACCTGGAGTTCCAGATATATAATTGTTTCTATGATTCTAGATTAATTCATTAAATATTTTTTATGGTTAAGGAACTTAAAAATAAACTAAAGTTCCAGCAATGAAGTTCATTCCTTAAGCATAACCAACATCTGGATCATAATCGGCATAATTAAGTAGGAGCTGTCTTAATTTGTCTTAGTTTTATTTGACTTTAAAATATGGAATTTATTAATAAGTTCTTCCAACATCCCTATCAATCAATTCTGCATAATATGCACTGGGTTCTTGAGGGTTAGGCATTTCAAAGTCTTTTAATTAAGAGAATACATGCATTAAATTGATATGACTAAATATATATTGTTATATTACTCTTATGTATTAAGAAAAGCTGAATAAAACAAGGCTAAAGTTAGATCCTTCTACCTGTAATCATTTATAGATTTTTCTTCCATAATTTAAGCCCAATCTTCTTTTTATATAGCATTAAATGATAGGTTGTGTCTTGGTGTTTATGAGTTTGTGTTATTTTCATTTTCAGTGTCTGAATTTTTGGAAACAAGCATTTTGGTAAAAATTTTAACTAAATTAATAAAATTGTTAAAAGAGAAATGAGGAGTCTATATAAATTCTTAATGATTAAGAATTTGAGAAATACACAAATTTTATTAAGCATTTTATTTTCCATAAAAAAGTAAATAAATGACTTATTATTAGGTATTTAATATTATTGATAAGTAAAGACAATTTAAAGATTACTAAGTCAATTTAGAACTACTAAATATACTCTATACATATATAACACTTAATATAAAATTACTCATAGATTAAAAAAATAAAATTTTACTGAATCCTCATATAAATTGTATTCACATAATATTTTAGGATTTATATATTATTGGGGATGTATTTCCTTGATTAAAAATATATAATTTTTATTTAGATAAATATTTTAATTCAATTTTTACATAACCATATATATATAAATCTATTAAATATGATATTTTCAATATCATTGATTTTATTATGTAATTAAGCATATATTTATATAAAAGAGTATATAAAATATAATAGAGAGTATTTTATTTGATTGTGAACATTGGTTCTAAATAATAAAATATATAATTTTGAATTAAATTATTATTCTCATCGTTAATGAAGAAAATAAGTTCGTAGATTCAATCTCTTATGAATAGAAATAGTTTTTAAGAACCTTCATTAAGCAATGATATTAAATCTTCAAGAAGTAATCCTAAAACAGCTAAGACAGAACGACCTTAATCTAAAACTAAAAAAAATGACTTATTAGATTATTTTAAAAAAGAAAGAAATACAATTACTTAAATGGTTCACTCTGTAAGAAATACTTTATAAGGAAGCAAAAGCATTGATATTTTACATACATAAAGTTAGAAAAGTGAGCGTTAAAAAAATGGATAATTAAATGTATTTATTCTGATGAAAATTCTAGTTTATTGATTTGAATGTTTAAAATGAAGACGGTAATAATACAAAAAGGTAAATACTTAAATAAAAAAATTTATCTCTTGCTATAATTTCATTAGAAGTATACTTAATGAGTTTATTCTTTATAGAATCAACTTTTCAAATAGTCGCAAACTACTAAATAATCTTACAATCAATCCCCTTAAAATTAAATTAAATCACCGATAATAAAATAAAAAGATTAATATTTATTTGATATGCAAATAGTATAACTATTGAAATAATATAATGTAGTTAAAAAATACGAAAAGCTCCTAAGATGATTATTAACAGAATTCTTAAATAAAATAAAATAAATAGTCAATTTTATCTGATGATCCATCATATCATAGATAATCAATAGAGGATATGCTTTAAAATAAAAAACACTTTAATCATGTATAAACTTAAAAACAATTTCCTCATAAATAATGTGAAAATGAAAAATCTAAATAAATTAATTAAATTCATTTTAAAACAGAAATCTGTTCATCTTAAATTTAATCAAAATATTAAAATGCAGATGAAACATTAAATTATGATTAAGATTAATAGTTAAAGATTATATTGTATTATAAATAATAAAAGTATTGAATATTAATTATTTAGGTATCATTATTTATTTAAATATTAAACTAAAACTACTGATGATTTATTTAATTATTTAATACAATAAATAGCTTGTATTGAAAAATAATTTACAAAATTAGGAGGAGGTACAGGTTCTACAGATGGAGATTCTATTTAATAAGGTATTTTAAAGTTAATAATAATATAAGAATTAAATAAAATATGTTAGTTCCAAACAGTATCAAAGAATGTACCATATGATTATTATTTGACATTAAATGAATTGACATTAGATGTTTTTAAAGGAATTACTCTATAAATATAGCCTTTTTATTCTTAAACTATTTAAACAAAAAGAGTAGGATTAAAAGATTTTACTTTAATTAAATGTATAGGTGTTGGAGGATTCTCAAGAGTTTATATGGTAAGAAAGAAAGATAATGGCAAATTTTATGCTTTAAAACTTATTGACAAAAAATTTATATTTGAAAATTCAAAAGAAATCATTGTGTAAAATGAAAGAGATATTATGTCTAGAATGAATAATCAATTTGTTACACCATTACATTATTCATTTGAAACAAAATATTATATTGCTTTTGTATTAGAATATTGTGCTGGTGGTGAATTATTTTATCATCTAAGAAAACTTAAAAGATTAAATGAATAAGATGCTAAAATCTATTTTGCAGAAATTTGTTTAGGAATGGCTTATTTACATTCTAAAAATATTGTTTATAGAGATATAAAACCTGAGAATATTCTTTTAGATTTATAAGGTCATTTATTATTAAGTGATTTTGGATTATCAAAACCAGAGATGACACCAGATGATTTTGCTTACTCATTTTGTGGATCACCTGAATATATGGCTCCAGAAATGCTAATGAAAACAGGTCATAATTATTTGGTTGATTGTTATTGTTTAGGAGCATTACTCTATGAATTAGTTACAGGATTACCTCCATTTTATTCACATAATACATAAGATATTTATAATTCAATTTTAACTGAATAAATACAATTTCCAAATTAAATTTAAATATCTCCTCTTTTAAAAGATTTAATAAATTCATTATTACAAAAAATACCTGAAGACAGACTTGGACATTATAATGGAATAAAGGAAATTTTAAATCATAAATGGTTTTAAGATGTTGATTTTGATGCAGTTTTAAATAAAAAAGTTAAACCTCCTTATAAACCCTATCCTTTGAAATATAATTTTGATGAAGATGAATTTAATAAAGGAGATGCTGAATTTAGAAAGTAATTTCAAATTAATTTACAAAAAGAATTTTAAGTATTATATATTATAATTTTAATTTAAGAATGTTGATGATGCCAATTATTTATTAGATAATTTCTATTATTCAAGAGATTCTGTATATGCATAAGAAAAATCAAGAAGAACAAATGTAGTTAATCTGAATCAATTATAAAATTAAGCTCTTATTGCTGAACCATTTACAATAAATCAATAAACTAAAATTTAATTACCATAATCAGAATCAAATAATGAATAATTATTTTAATAAACTCTTGAAGAATCAAAACCAATTAATGGAACAAAGGGAAAAAGTGACATATAAGATAACTTAAAAAAATAAGAAATTATGACTAAATCATCATAACTTTAGCATTAAACTGCAAAATTAGGCCATACATATTCAAAAACTATGTAATAAGCATAATCATCACTTTAAGAACTTAAAGTAATTATTATAATTTATATATTCTTAGCAAATAAAATTATTAATTGATTAATCTAGAGCTTAATAAACTTCAGATAGAATTACTACTATGCCTGATTAAAATAACAAAAAAATAACAGAAAGATTTAAAACAGAGTAATTTGGTAATTTAGCATCTCCAAAAACAACTACTGCTAGTTCTTCTTTACATAAAATGAGTAATTTTTAAGCATTATTTGGATCTGAAAAACACAAGAAAAAATAATTTTGATTAATTAAAGAGTAAATAATAATTTTGATTTTTGTTAATGTAAAATTTAGAGTTTTTGTATTCCTTAATATTCAATAAATTATTATTTAACTACAATTGAGTAATTAATAAATAGTATTTATTTTTTGACAGTAAATTATTAAGTATTTACAAGATAATACAATGGAGTAGCAATAAATTAATATATATCAATTATTCTGTGCAACATTAATGTACTAATAATATCATTTTTTCTTTTATTCAACCTTTTTAATATAGAATTCTAATTCTTTTCCTTCTAAAATATAACCATCAGCTCTTCCTGATTAACCAGGTCTTGAAGTTATTCTAACCAACAATCTTTGATTAGAGAATTATTCTTAAACCAATTAATCAATCACATTTTCTTTTACTCTTTATGCAAGTTTTTTTTAAAGAGAATTTGATTTCTTAGTTTATTCAGCTGGTGCATCCTAATGTCTCAATAAAATAATTACTTTTTTATCTTTCTTTTTTGGTCCCAATTCAACATTATATTTTTTGGCATACCATAATTTGAATGGTGTAGCATCAACTTAAACAATAACTCCTCTTGTTAAAGTTTTTGTTCTCACTAATTCATTATTTGAAGGATGATAAACAACCTCAACAATTTTTGCTTTTTTAGCAACACCTTGACTTGCCCAAGAGAAATTGCCTTCAGATAAACGAAGTGCTCTAAATTTGAAATTTCCTCCTCTAACTCTAATTCTTCTTACTCTTTTTTCTCCAGATATCAATTTTGTCATTGCAGCTTATCTTCCCTTCTCAAATGCTCTCTTCTTTTTGTGAATTGGCATACGACCACCTGTAAGTCTTCTCTTATGTCGACTATCTCTTGAAATTCCCATTATTTATAATTATATTTAATATAAAAAGATTTTATTTAATTTAAAATATATTAGAATAAATTTAATAGCTTCTCAATGATTTTGTATATATAAGAATTGCATTGTATAAATTATGTCTTTTCAATAATAAATTCTATTAATTTCATTTACTTTAAAATGTTACATATTTAAAAGAATTCAATACAAATAATATCAAAATATTAGTTTAAATAACACATTTACAGGTAAAATATTTAATCTAATCTTAAATTTTTATTGTTTGGATATTTTATTAAGCAGAATTAAAATTTCAATTTTTCTATTATTAATGTTCAAAAATATATTATATATTAAACCAAAATTTATTTAGAATCAGAATTAAAACACAACTATAAAATTTTTGATGTTTTGTATAATTTACAAAACAAATTTAAATTAAATCATAAACATTTCTTGCCTCTAATCTCATACTTCTCTTGCAGTTTTTATTTAGTGTTTTTCTCTAAAATATTTATAATATTTTTACTTTAATATGTCAAATAAATGATACACTTATTTCAAACTCATAGGTTATTAAATTTCAAAATCAAAATAATTTAAAGGCATTTATAAATTCATCTTAGGCATTTTAACTTTTATTTCATTTAAATTAAGACTTCCTTTTCTTTATCTAATCTATACTTCTTATTTATTAGTAGGAGTGGTTGTATTTTCTTAAGTAAATTATATAAGAGATTCTCTATCTGCTTTAATAGAGACCATTCTTTAATGTTTGTCAACTTGTTAATAGCTTACATCATAATAAGGGAGACTTGGCAGTTTTTATTAATGAATTTCTCTATCATTAGTTGAACCAAATGTAATTTATCTTGTGTGTCGATTTTAAAATTTTTTAGGTCTTTTTATACATAAAGTCTAATTTTTCACAATAAAATTTTTAAACTCTAACTATTTTTGCAAACCTTTATTGTTGTTTGTTATTAATTAGTGTAAAGACATGTATAATAAATTTATTAATGAATGAAATTTTGGATAGATGATTTGTTAAAAAAATAACAGAAATTTTATAATCATTTGTAATAAGTCATTTTGACTCGACCCAAGAATTGATGATAAATAGATGCTATAATAAATGGTGCAATTAACAACAAAATAATTTAATTGCGCAATTTATTTAATCATCATTTAAAATTACGTCATTTTATATGTCATAAATTCAACATTTTTCTTATATTTAAATGCGGTTCATGAAATATATGAACAATTATAATATAATATTGATATTATACATACTACAGCAAATAAACTTTTAATAATGCTTCTATCTAAGTATATATTTTTGAGTAGAACTTTGATTACTTAATAAAGATGAAATTTAAATAATTTAACTATTTGATTTAGATAATTTCTATCTTAGGTAAGATTTCTAGAAAATGAATAGAAGGAGAAAAAATAATATTGAAAGAAATAAGATAATTAAATTGAAATTTATTGTAAATATTCAATATTATAATAATCCATCAATGACCCACTTATTTCTATCTTCTTGGAATGGATGAGTTCTTATTGGAAAGGTTTAATTATTTTAAGGTTCATCTTAAACTGCAAATAAGTATTGATTAGGGTTAGTTAATGATCTAATAGTCCAAAGACCGGATTCTTCTACTTATTCAATTAACCATATATTTCTGAGATCTTTAATTGGATGAAATCTAACATCATAATCATTAAATTGATTTAGTTCCTTTTTATTATCAACAAATAAGTAAAATGAAGGGAATAAAAATGATCTAATAGCAAAAGCATCACCAGTCACTCTATCAAGTATAAATTTAGAATTTTAATTAATATTTTATTAAACATTGACACTAAAATCATCTGTAAATTATTAATGAGAATCTCCTATAGTAATAAAATTTTATGGTAAATGTGCAGGATTAAATGTTACAATAATTTATTGATGTTTTAAAGGATATGGAGTTGTAAAATTTGGTTAAGTGACAATATACCAATGATTGTTTTCATTTTCTTTATTTTAAGTACGTACATCTAAATCTTTACCATGATTATTAGATTTATCTGAAGCTACAAATAAAAAATGATCTGGATTTGTCTCTGATCTTATAGTGAATACACTCCATCCATGACATTAAATAATCCAATTATTTCTTGCTTCTTGAAATTAATGTGTTCTAACATCAAAATCATCTTAAAATTTTCTTGTATCATCATTTGAGCAAAATAAGTAATGATTTGGTTTAGCTGCTGATTTAATTATATAAACATTCTCTTTGACTTATTGAATAATAAAATAAGTATCATTAGATTTTTCTTGTACACATCTAACATCAAAATCATCTTTAAGAGCCCTAGAATTATTTGTACATGCTTCTAGATATCTAGTTGGTGCAGCCACTGGTCTAAAAGAAACAAGTAATGGAGAAGATCCAAGTTCCATAGATAATTTTTATTTATTTTGATTAATAAAGTCAACCAAAATCCATTCAATTATAACAGTACAATAATGTAGTATACTATTACTATAATGAAAAACATCAACTATGCATAAAAGATGTAGAATTGATTACTATATATTTGATAGTAATGATTTATAGAAAATGGTAACTAAATATAAATTTTTCTTCAAATTCATATATTAGACTTAAGAATTGAAAAATAAGAAGTTTTAGACCTCCTTTTCTCTATTTGTATTGTGAAATAAAAATACATTAAGAAATAATGGTATAAAGAGTGTTTTACATTTTATAAATGGATAAACAAAAAAAAGATATTTTGTAAATGAATGAGGATTTTAAAAGAAAATAGTTCTAATGTTGAAGAATAAGAAGAAAATTTTAGAAAACATATGATATTTAATATCTTATATGATATACTCATCCATTGAATCCATCAATAGCCCATCTATTTCTATCTTCTACAAATGGATGTGTTCTAACACTGAATTCATGACCATTTCCTTCATCTTGAAGTCCAAATAAGAAATGATTGGGATTAGTAGCTGATTTAATGGTCCAATATCCTGGTCCTGCAGGTTCAATAATCCAATTATTTCTTGGTTCTTTATGAGTGTGGAATCTGGCATCAAAGTCTCCCCATTAGTTATAGGCTTAACCATTAGCACAGAACAAATAGTATAATGGACTGGCAGCTGATCTGATTGTGAATACATTTCCTTAAACTCTATCCAAGAAAAATTAGGTCTTATCTGTCTTTGCTCCTCTAGCTTTGACTGCAAAATCAGATTAGAATTATTAATGTGGTTCTGCAAATGTCAAGAAGTGTTATGGTAAAAGAACTGGTCTTAATGAAACAACAGGTGGTTGATGTAAAAGAGGATATGGATGGACAATGTTTGGTACTGTGACAATGAACCAAAGATTTCTTTCTTCATGATGAGCATGAGTTCTAACATCTAATTCACCTTGATGAGCATTTGATCCATCATCAGCAGCAAAGAGGTAGAAATTTGGATTTGTTTCAGATCTGATTGTGAATGTACTCCATCCAACATTTTCAATGATCCAATTATTTCTTGGTTCAACAAAGTGATGAGTTCTAACATCAAAATCATTTCCGAATTTTCTAGCATTGTCATTTGAGCAGAAAACGAAATGATCTGGATGTGTAGCTGGCTTAATTCTATAGACTGCACCATTGACGTGTTCTAATAAGAAATAAGTGCTTTCAGAAGCTTAGTTGGCAATTCTGACATCAAAATCTTCTCCAAGGGCTCTTGATTTGTTTGTGGCTGTTGCTAAGAATCTACTTGGGACTGTGAATGGTCTTATGGATACTACAGCTGGAATTTGTGGAGTTTACATTTTAATTGATTAAAATTTATTTAAAAGAAAATCTTCTTAAATACCGACATTTTAATTATGGAATGATTAATAATTCTATATATTCCTTCTTATGATTAATATTATGTATTCATAAAATTTATGTGAAAGCAGATTCTAAAATTTTAATTTTTTTTTTATTTTTTTTTTCTTTAATCTTCGAATTACTTCTTATAATTTCTCCATTCCTTACAACTATTAACACTTATTTGTTTAAACTATCAATGGCCTCAAAATTTAATGATTAGTAAATATTGTAAATGTATACAATACATACTTAAGAGATCAATTGAAATAAGGCCCCAGATCATTATATTAAGAAATATGAAGTGAAATATCAAACTAACTAATACTTTGGGTGTTTTGAGTTTATCGTGTGAACAATAAGTTAATATATATTGCACATTATTTTGCTAATAAAGATTTTCTAAACTCTTAAAATGATATCAAAAGATTTCCAAGAATTAAAATTCTTCACGATTGTCACAATTTATTCTAAGATAACTTAATAATATAAAAATAATGAATCCATTACACAATTATAGGAAAAAATTAAATTAGAGATTCAGAAAAATTTCTACAAAAATGATATTCATTGAACTTCTTTTACTTATATGAACAACTGTTTATTGTAAGAGACCCATTTTTTATTAAGATTTATTAACTTATGCAAAATATAAATAATAAAAAATATTAAGAATAATAAATTAATTAGTAATAATATCCCAAAAACGAATATTGATATCATATTAAAGAGACTTTATAATAGGATCATAAAAATTAGTTATTTATTTTGTATATAAAGTAAATATAAACATTATTAAAATATAATTTTATAACATTTCAACAAAATCTCTATTAATCCAAAATTTTTATAATCCATATTTAATGTTTTTTTAAACTAATATATTTCTTGTAATTTCTTGGCTTATTTATATTTAAAACAAATAAAACGGATNTTTTCTAGCATTGTCATTTGAGCAGAAAACGAAATGATCTGGATGTGTAGCTGGCTTAATTCTATAGACTGCACCATTGACGTGTTCTAATAAGAAATAAGTGCTTTCAGAAGCTTAGTTGGCAATTCTGACATCAAAATCTTCTCCAAGGGCTCTTGATTTGTTTGTGGCTGTTGCTAAGAATCTACTTGGGACTGTGAATGGTCTTATGGATACTACAGCTGGAATTTGTGGAGTTTACATTTTAATTGATTAAAATTTATTTAAAAGAAAATCTTCTTAAATACCGACATTTTAATTATGGAATGATTAATAATTCTATATATTCCTTCTTATGATTAATATTATGTATTCATAAAATTTATGTGAAAGCAGATTCTAAAATTTTAATTTTTTTTTTATTTTTTTTTTCTTTAATCTTCGAATTACTTCTTATAATTTCTCCATTCCTTACAACTATTAACACTTATTTGTTTAAACTATCAATGGCCTCAAAATTTAATGATTAGTAAATATTGTAAATGTATACAATACATACTTAAGAGATCAATTGAAATAAGGCCCCAGATCATTATATTAAGAAATATGAAGTGAAATATCAAACTAACTAATACTTTGGGTGTTTTGAGTTTATCGTGTGAACAATAAGTTAATATATATTGCACATTATTTTGCTAATAAAGATTTTCTAAACTCTTAAAATGATATCAAAAGATTTCCAAGAATTAAAATTCTTCACGATTGTCACAATTTATTCTAAGATAACTTAATAATATAAAAATAATGAATCCATTACACAATTATAGGAAAAAATTAAATTAGAGATTCAGAAAAATTTCTACAAAAATGATATTCATTGAACTTCTTTTACTTATATGAACAACTGTTTATTGTAAGAGACCCATTTTTTATTAAGATTTATTAACTTATGCAAAATATAAATAATAAAAAATATTAAGAATAATAAATTAATTAGTAATAATATCCCAAAAACGAATATTGATATCATATTAAAGAGACTTTATAATAGGATCATAAAAATTAGTTATTTATTTTGTATATAAAGTAAATATAAACATTATTAAAATATAATTTTATAACATTTCAACAAAATCTCTATTAATCCAAAATTTTTATAATCCATATTTAATGTTTTTTTAAACTAATATATTTCTTGTAATTTCTTGGCTTATTTATATTTAAAACAAATAAAACGGATTATTATTAAAATGCTTATCATTTATAGTATTTTGATATGAAATAAATAATCCTTTATATAATAGACCTTATTCTTCTTTTTCATGAATATATTACTTCTTTGTATTTTCTTATTCCTTATAATATAAAAATTTTCGATTAAGAAATATACATATTTATAATAATCAAATAACTTTCAATCGTATTCTAATAACTACTATCTTTAAATAATTTGAAGATCATCTAAATAATTCTTTTCAAAAATTACCTTCTAAAAGGATACCTTAGTTATTGATTATAATTCAATTTTCATTAGGTTTTCATTGATAAAACTGATGATATGAAAAAAATATAACTTAATCTTGAATTCAGTTTGATTTATAAATCAATAAAATTGGAAATAAAACAGAACTTAATCCTTCAGAATTGATTCATCTTTTTGATATATGTGTATGCTAAAACTATCATCACATTATTAATTTTCTCTTTAAATACAAGAATAATACCTTTCTGATTCATTCAAACTTAAAGATTTCTATTAAAATCAGGTTTCCTTCCATACTAATTTAAAAGGCTTATGTATTCAAGTTTAAGGACTACTAAAGCCTAATTAAATTTATATCTGTTATAAGGTGAGTTTTATCCTCTAAATATATAAATTAAAAATCCTGAATAGTTTTTGATCTATTAAACCTTAAAAAGTATCTTAATAATTAGAAGATATTAATATTGGATAATTAATATATAATTAATTAAAATAAAGCTTTGAAAATAGATGGCTTTTATTATCTCATTTATAGATATTCAAGTAATATTAATCAAATAAATGAATCAATTATTTAACATAAATATAGATATATATAAACCTTCAATATTGTTATTCAATTTTCTTTTTAATTTGATATTTTCTATTTTCTCTAAATTCGAAAAGTAATTAAAAATAAAAGGAAGCATAGAATTCTAATTTTGAATAATTTCAAATTAATTATTATGATATTGTTATAAATTATAAGAAATCATTCTAATGAGTCAATTCAAAATAACAAGATAGTTTGAATGATTAAGACATCTTTTTAAATTTTTAATGTTATTTAATATTTAAAATATTATCTATTTTTTGCCGTCTAATATGATATTATTAAACTCTAAAGTATTGAGGTTTTAAATTTCAAAAAAGAATAAATTCAAGATCATAATTTTGGATAAGTATATTTTAATTAATGAATTCAAAACTTTTAGGTTATAAAATAGATTTTTATAAAATATAAATTATATACAATTACTCATTATTCATTATTTAAATTTATTATAATTACTTGTTAAACATAATCTTTGACTTAACTTAATTAAAGAATATAATTCTTAATACGAACTATTAAATCATATTATAAAAACACAAATATAATTCTAAATAATTTATTAATCTTGAATTCATTATAAATTAAATAAGATTTATTTGAAAGGATGATTGATCATTTCAATTAAAATTGGTTTCTAGAAAATCTGATTATGTATATTTTGATCAATTTTAGAGAGCATAATACAAAAAACAAACCATTATTATTAAAATTATAGGGATTAGTTTTAATTATTCTTTTTGCATTGACAATTTTATTATTTAATCTCAGAATAGCTAACAGTTCCAAATTATTACCATCTTAAACCAGTTTAGAGACTATTATTGCTTATCGAATTCCAGTAAGACAATAAAGATTCTAATATTTAGCCAAGCCATATTAGAGATTTTACCAAATGAAACGGAATTTAATTAAATATTAATACTCTTTTAGTACTTAATTATTGAATATAGATATATAAGGGAATTAATATTAGGTATAGTTCACCTATTTTGAAAAGTATTTTATTATTTATTAATTTTATACTGAACTATGATTCTGAATGAAATTTCTTTAATATATTATAATAAACATAATATTAAAGTATGAATTTGATAACAGAATTTTAATGAAATATTGGACTAAATTTTCTTGATTTCATCAATTACTCTACTGAACAGATATAATTTAAGATATATAAGAATATTTATAGTATTTAGATTATCTGTATATCATAAATATGATAAATCAATATTTTTTTCATTTATTTTTCATTTCTTGAAAGATGATTTCATTTAATAGAAACTTTAATTATTTACACATGAATTAGTCATTTTATTAACAAGTTTCTTGATTTTATCCCTCTAAGTAAGTTGGGACTTGGATTAATTTTCAATTGAAATATCAGTTTGTTAAATGATCTTAATCTTTTTAATTGAGTTTGTAAATGTAAGACTTTAAGTTTCTAATCGAGGAGAAAGTTGAATGTAATAATCATTCTTTAAATTTTGAGTTTTAATATTTTTTGAAGTATCCTATTTAAGAATAGATAAATTATTAAAAGATCTTGTCATTTAATTGATTGGTTTAAGATTAGTTGATTTTTTGATAGTCGAGGACATCGTTATTATTTAAATAGAGGTTAAGCAATAAATTTAATAATATTTTAATTTAGTAACAATTTGTTAATGATTAAAACAAGAACAAAACCTGTTTGTAAAACTCACTTTAATTTATCATCTAAACAAATAAGCAGATATAGAAAGTATATACTGAATTTAGTTAATCGAAAATGGATGAAATAAGTAGATGATGTTTCAACGGATAAATAAAAAATTAGATTTACTGAGAATAAAGTACATCATTTTGTTCCATCAGATACAATGATAAAGAAAGTGATAAGATTTGATTGTTATCCAAAGAAAGGAATTCTGAAAACTAAATGAATTTGTGATATTATATTTACTGTATTTTTTAAACAAAATTTATGAATAAAACGATTACATAAAAATCAATCATAACTTCTACGTTGACCTTAATTTTTCCAACGAGGTGGTGTAGGTGGTCTCTTCTTTAATGCTTCTTCATCCTCAATCCAATTGTGAGCATTCAGATTTTGAGGATATATTAATTTTGGTACAATCTCTAAATTTCTTTTAAGAATAAGCACTGCACCTGCATTCTTATGTCTACCACAATAATCAGTTGCACTAAATACTGTTAATAATTAACCTCCTAATTATAATATTAATAATATATTACCAGCAAATCTTTCAAAACCATCCATTACACATTCATGAGCACGTATAATAAGAGAAAGATTATTTTTAATAAGAAAATTTATAACTCTATCTGGTCCAAATTTTACTATATTTCCAGTACCTGCAGGATCTCTTATAATATTTGGTTATATTCCAAAATCTTAATCTGTATCAGTTGGATCTGACCATAAAATATCAACCACTAATTATTATTCTGGTGTTGTAACTTCATGAATTACTTCTAAAGGTCTTTATAAATTTTCTATTTCTGCTACATAATTTAATTAACTCCCTATTCCTCCATGAAGACAAATTATCTTATCTTCAACTATTGCTGCCAATGGTAACCATTCAAATAATCGATTAACTCTTGCAAATACTGAATCTTCATCATTAGGATCTTCACCTAATCTCTATGCACATTCCTCTGAAAATCCAAATCCATTATTTATCCATTTATCTTCATGATTTCCTCTAATCAAATGAATTGATTCTGGAAATCTTACTTTTAGAGCCAATAACAAACAAATAGTTTCTAAAGAATGATTACCTCTATCTACAAAATCTCCGAGAAATAGATAATCAAATGCTTCTATATCGCTATCCTTACCATCTACAAATGGAGATCCCCACAAATCAAAGAATCTCATAAGATCTGAATATTATCCATGAATATCTCCAAAAATCTTTATTGGAGCTTTACATCTTAAAACCATAGGTTATTCTTTTAATATAGCTTCTGCTTAATCACATAACATAAGTATATGTTAAGCTTAAAATAAAAATTTAGCATTTTCAGAGATATTAATAAAAGTCTTAGGTTATAATAATGTGCTTATGAATAAATGAGCAATATTATTTTCTTATGCAGATTAAGGCAATCTTGGTTTTCTATTAGGAGCTTTAGAATCACGTGTTTCTTCAGCCACTACAGCTTAATTGATAAATTTAAATTAAGATTTATCAGCTTAATTTTAAGCAAATGGTTTTTATTGTTTTTGAGTATTTTAATTAGTTTGGCCTGGTTTTTTTTGAATTAATGAATTATTTAAAGGAGAAGCTTAAGTATCTGGGGATATCGGAGTCATTTAAGGTGATAGTGATTGAGGTGATACACTTAATTAAGATAAAATAATACTTTCTTTGAGCTTATTAATATTAAGCTAATTTATTAGTTAATGTTTCACTTGGTAATAGCAATCTATTTAAATTGATTTTAGAAATAATATCAGTTGGAATATTAGGTGAATCTAATTCAAATCCTCCATAAACAAATATACTAGTATCTACTAACCATGATGAATGTCTAAATCTCTAAATACTATTAAATTTAGACCATTCTGATGTTTCAGTATCATAAACATCTATTGTCAATGTTTCCCCAACATTTCCTGTTCTACCACCAATAACAACAAGCATGCTATAAACAAACAATGTAGTATGTTGATATCTACCAACAGGTTATTCTTTATCAATTTTATATGGAGCTTTCACCCAATCCCATCTTCCATCTCTATGTCTTCTTAATCCCCATGCATCATTTAATGCTTATTAATCATTTGATCTTCCACCAAATGCTACAACCATTCCATTAGCACTTCCATTAGTGCAAATACTAGCAGAATGATATACTCTTGCTAATGGCTATTCTGATTTACATTCTAATCTAGCCCAAGTAATAGGACTCTTCTCTACATTTACACACCCTTAAAATTAAATGTATTATTAATACAGCAATCATTGACTGGCTCTTATCCAGTATTTCCTCCAAAAACTATTAAAAATGGTTTAGTAAAGGTTAGTGTATGTCCATACCTTCTACCTGGTGTAGTTCCTACAACTGGTACTACAGTCCATTAACCTAAATCATCATTTGATCTCAAATCTAATAAATAAAGATCATCTGATGCCAAACTACCACCTAATATAAATAATCTATATATATATTACCTCCTGTTGCTCCTCCATAAATTACTATTTAATTTATATCTACACATACTGCTGAATGTGCTGCTCGAGGAGATGGTGCTGTACCCTAAACTACTCTTTTCTTTATTTTAAATACCTTCAACTCTCTTCCATTATTTACTTTACATATCGAACGAGAACGTATCTCCTGTAATACTATATTTTCCTGTGTCTCCAGTTGCCCCTTTCATTTAATTATTCTCTTTTACCTCCAAATAATATAGCTTTTCCCTTTGCAATATATGTTATAGTATGTCCAAATCTAGCTTATGGCAATTATCCAAAAGCCTCAACCTTTTCAAAATTATTCATTTATTTATTATATTTCAAATTTTTAAAATATACAATACCCTAAAATATCATTTATTTTAGATATCATAACAGAATTTTATAATGGATCCAAACAATCCCATTTCCCTTAATATTATCCACCTCAATAATTATTATAATAAAGAAGAAAGCTTAATTTTATTCACATTCCTAAGAGAATTTCGAGCATGGATCCTGGAGCTTGCGAATTTAGACTTGTGGGAATATTTAATTTTGACAATAAATACTCATTTGTGTTCACCCAAGAATCTAAATAGTCTTCCTTTATTATTTATATTACTTGAATCACGCGACGATTACTTTTTCTATTATTATTCTATTTCAATTACCTGATCTTTTTATGCTATTTCATCATGCAAAGGTAATTTTTAAATTTTTATTTTTATTAATGAATTAGTTAGATGACAATCCACTTAAATTATTTATTTAATAATTTTATGTCAAATGAAGCAGTAGCTGGTTTTATAGCCATAAAAACTCTATAGAATAGACCATTGCGTTATTTTGATGCAAATTTCAATGAATTTAGAGATAAAAATATGACAATGTATATATAGAAGAAATATGCTGATCTAAAAAGTTTTATTAATTAATATTATATATTATAGAAAGAACAGGAGTATTAGAACTTCCAATATAAACATTTTCAAGCACATAATTATAAATTAAACCAAAAGCTAATGATGGATTAAAAGAAGTGAAAGCAAATTATGAATTAGATGAAAAAGTTATAGAAATTATGTAAAAAGTCATAGATCAAGAAGAATTAGAAGGCATTTTATAATAATGTTAAGGATAAACAACAACAAATAAATAAAAAAATTGGAAGAGAAAAGCAATATCAGTACCTTAGAAATTAGCTCTACTTATGAATGATCAAATTGAATAAGCAGATTTAGATGTTCTATTTAATCAATATTAAAGATAAAATCTAAAATCTTCTGTAAGTTTCATTTAAATTATTTTATTTTAGTTGGATGAACTAAAAATGTCAGTCAAAGATCCAAAATTAATCTATAAAAAATTAGGTAAAGAAGGATTTTAAAAAGTTGAATTTAATGATTAAGAATAAGTTAACTTTTTTATGAAGAAATTATGTGAAGAATAAAAATTAGATGCATGTTCAGTTTTAGAAATCAGAAACGGTATTAATATTTATGTTATTTTAGAGAATATTAAATTTAAAGAGGATGCTTGTGATGAAATGGAAAGATGGAGGAATATTGTATAAAAACGTATTACATAAGAATAAATGTAAAAGATTTTAATTGATGAAGAAATGAAATAAAATAAATAATTAGTTCAAATATTTAAAGATACAAGAATTGATTAATTCGATCCTGACTTTTTTAAAAAGAAAGTTAAAAGTAAAACCATGAAAAGAGTTAATGAAGCATAAGATAGTCAATATCATAAATTTTTTGTTTAAACAGATACAAATAAAGCTACATTTGGAAAAGATGATTTTCTTAGAAAGAAATTTAATTATACAACACCTAAATCAAAAGTTGAGAATACACTTAGATCCACAAGACCTACTACTAGTGTTAGTAGATCACATAGAGTCTTACATAGATCTGATATCGAATTTAATAAATTTATTAAGTAATGTAATATTGTAGAACATACTTTTTAATAAAGTAATACTAAATTAAATGAGAGATTTCAATAAATGGATAAAATGATGGATAAAGCATGTTAATATTTAGAAGATGATAAACCATAAGAAGAAAAAGAACCAAATTAAGATTTTGAAAGATTTAAAAAATAACGTCTTTTCAAAAAGAAATTTGTTACTTATTTAATTGATAAAGTAGAAAAATAGTCAGATCTATTAAGTTAAAAGATTAAAACTGTATAATCAAAAAAATTGATTGAAAAAGTTCTCTCTGAAGATTTATGATTAACATTTTTATTATATTTATTAATAAAACTAATCAAAAGTTTAGTTTAATATGCTTCTATAATAAGAGTATATCCTCTTTAAGTAAATGACGTAAACAAAACCTGAAATATTCTTAATCATTTTTTTATAAATTTATGAAAAACTCTTTAAGAGTATCCTAAAATATATATTAATAAATATAATTACCACAAGATTGATATTTAAACATGGATCTTTTAAATAAGTTAAATCTTCTTCAGTTGTTTCATCACATTCTTCTCCAACTTCTTAATTAAAATCTAAGAATTCACTCATATATAATGTTGATCCTGTCTCTAAATCTGCTAATCCTTTATCTTTCTTTTCTTTTGGATCTAATAACTAAAATAATAAATATCTTAAAAAATACAGCAAATCTATCAGCAATATCTTAATCTTCATCATCTTTAATTTTTTCTAAATCTACATCAACTTAATCTTAATATCTTTTATCATTAAAATCATCATCATCATTATCAACTTCCATACGATCATCTTCTAATTATTAATCAATATTTTCTTATTTTGAAGGTATAATTTCATTATCTAAACATCTTATAAGTAAAGATAAGATTTTGAATGGTGCATATACATCTTTTATTTTATTATATATTACCACTATTAATATTCTGATGACTAGGATTATAACCAATAACTAATAAGTTTTCTAGAGTTTTATCTTTAACTAAGAATAATTTCATTAAAGCTGAAAATGTAGCATTTTTAGTTCCCTTTCCTCTAAATAAAGGTTATTGTAATAACCATTTATCTATTAAAACTTTAAGAGCCATTCTATTATCAATACTCCAAGAGGTTAAAAATGCTATTGATTCTTTTGGTTTTTCAATTATCATTCTAGCATATACTAAAACTAAGGATTAAACAGTAGATGGCATTCTAGATCTGTATATTTTAAACACAACTGCTTTTAATAAATTCAGATCTGGATTTCCATTTAAAAGATTATTAATTGTAATCATAACTAAATTGCCTGCAAATAATGAAGCTGATTCATTTGCTGAATTTTAAGGTACTTCTAATAATTTTAAATTAACTTTCATAACATCTTAAACTAAATTCCTATATTTATATTTATATATATATATTACATCTTCAAAATTTAACCTGTTTCTATAATAATAAAATTCTTGAGACATTAACTAGTATGAACTTATAATTATGGATCTTCATTAATCAAAATTAAATTAACCATTGAAGGTAATAAATTAATAAATGCATCTTATGCTTTACTATCTGAACAAAATTTGATAAATGTTGATGTAATATTCATAATTGCACTCATTAATGAAATATCACTTTATTTTATTTTACTCTTATCTTATATTTTATGAACATCTTCATAAAAAACTTAAAAACAATCTAAAATGAATGGACAAAACACCTTTATATATAAATAATTAAAATTACTTCAAAAATATGAGGGTATGCTTCCTTACATTAACATATTCTCACTATTAATTCATTAAATGGTTTTATAACACATTATTCTGAATAGAAAACACTAAAAAACTATAATAACACTTTAGATCCATTCTTTGCTAAAGTTGTAGCTAAAGTAGGTGAGAATTTAACTAAATGGATTGTAGATTCTAAAATAGAAATCATTTAATCTTGAGTTGCCTCTTATAATACAGACAATATTGATTCCATAAACTCTGATTTATATTCAAATGGAATATTATATTTGTGAATTTTTGAAGCATAACTAATATATATTAATATTTCTTACTTTCCTAATGCTTTAACTGAAATGATTCTAAGTGTTATTGGATATTTTGAATTTAAATATACTATAACTGATTCAAAAAGGGGTACAAATAATTCTTTGAATTAATGACTAATTAAATCTGAATATCTTGTAGTACTCCATATTGCTCTAGCTTATAAACTATGTGAATCTAATAATAATAAATATTATTAAATTTTTACTTTATTTTTCTAATTCATATAGAATATTCTACATACACTTTTTAATATCAAAAGTACTTTAATGTTTTTATTAAAAAACAATTATGTCTTCTGAAAAAGTACCCAATAATAAATAACCAGTTTCTTTTCTTTTTTATATAAAAGATTTAAGATAATGATTATTATTGATAGTAATAATAGAACCTTTCATAAATTACATTACACTATCTTGATCAAAATCTTTAGATTATTATCCTTTTAATTCTTAGAAATTTAATTTAGATATAATTGATTGAGCTAAATCTATGAATTCTTTTTCATCTCTATTAAGTATTAATTTTTCTCCTACAATAAGTATTTATTAAATAAATTAATCACCATATTTCTCAATCATATCATTTATTAATTTCAAAGCTAAAGTTCTTACACTCTTTTAAAGTAATTCTTCTTCATCATTCAATATAAAATAACTAGGATCTTTAATCCATTATTTCTCTTATTCTTTAGTAGCAGTCAAAAATGTTGAAAGAGTATTCAATAATGGGAATGTTCCAAATTTTATTAAATTATAAAGAGCTGGTTTTGTAACTAAGATTGTAATCAACTCTATAGAATATGCACATAATCCTTCAATATGATTCTCATAATCATCATCTTCATTAAGATATTTATACTCAATATCTAATAATAATATATTATTTGTAAATATACCATTTCTTAAATTTATTATTCTTTAACTACTAAATGGCAATTCTTTTGCTTCTTCCATAAATAATGAATCAATATGTTCTACATCTATCTAATATACTATATGTCCAATGCATAATTGTGTTATGGAATTGAAAAATTTCCAAATTGGAATTAAAGACAGAGCCAGTGATTTTCTACTATAAACTCCAAAATCTCTAAAAATTATTATTAGAATTTTCAAAACTAATTTCTTAATAAAAATATGTGATTTTGGTGATGTTTATAAGGCTGATAAAAATAATGACTATATTTATATAAATATATATATGATACCATCCATATTTAGAATGTATTATCTAAACATTTATTTATTAAAGAATTATCAGTTCCATCAGCAAATGATATTGATCTTAATACCAAATACACCATTAATAATATTTTCTCTCTTAACATCTCATTTAATTCTGGCTATGCAAATATTCCAAATCCCTTCTCAAGTACAAAAGGCACAATCTCTTTTAATAAATTCTAATGCTCTCCATTTGTCTCACTCAATTTACCAAACAATTATAAGAACAGTTCTAAACTAGATTCAACTGCATTCATATCGTCCATCCAATTTAACAGCTCCATCAATGGACTTGGCCATATATGACTTGGATCTAATACTATTATGGATACTATTATTGATGACTTATAAGTATTAATTATTGATTACAATCAATTCTATGATAGGCATGTTAGAGACATTCATAACTAACCCATTTAAAAGAAGTTCACGTATTATTTTACGAGATGGTTATATCAACTCCCATTATTCGATCAAAATATTCCTAAACAATATTCCAATATTGATTCTTATTTCAACTGGATAATCAGGAGATACTAAGATTTTTGTGCTCTCAACCATAAAATTGGAATAAGGAGTATGCAAGATGTCATATGCTTTCTCCAAATTTTCAAGTGCTTAGGCATATATCTATAATGTGATTTCAGGTGTAGCTTCTGCCATTTTAAATTTTTTTTGTATTTTTTATTTTATATAATATTTATTCAAATTCTATCCTCTAACTGTTTATTTCTACATATTATCTATTCTCTGATTAATTGAATACTTAATTAATCTTCTAAATTCAAATTTATACCATACTTGCTATTATATTGTATTATCAACAATTTTCCATTTTTGAATCATTTAATATTCTTTATTACTTAACGATGCAACAATTTAATATTATTGATTTATTTAATATATAACTACTATAATGATCCATACATACTTTTTTAATTAAAAATAAATTACTATTAAAGAAACTGAATTCATTTTTATAATTTTTACATTATTTTAATTTAATTATTATACTCATCTTATCAACAAAAAAATTGAAACATCAAGAAATCAATCAATATTTTGAATAATATACAGATATCATTATTATATTTAAAATTATCTATTGACAATTCAATAGTGTTAGGATATTCTTAATGAGTTAATTAAAGACATTCTATTTAGATTCAGATTATTTAAATAATATTCAAATAATTCTTATTGAATTAGAATAATTTAATGTTTGAAAAATAAATTTATCAAGATAGCAATTATAATATAATTATATTTGAGAATATAAATTGATTGAGTGATTGCATCTCTCATTTCATTTAAACCTTTATTGAATGTTATTTAGTCCATCAAAAAAGATAAAAAACCAATAAATGCATATAATTAATATTTGATAGCTATATTATAATATATTCTTATTATAATTTTTGAAACAATAACTTATAAGTATTTATTCTTTTTAGATTGATGTGATGTGTATATTAATTAATTCTTTATAATATAGACTTCTTATTAATTAATTAATCAATATTATTTGAGTTCATTTAGATATTCAATAGATTCTTAGAATATACTAGTAATGACAATTATTAATATTTTAATAAATGAATTTAATTGTACTTTTTATATTCTGTGTCATATTGTGTATTGCATCTAGTTTAATGCCAATGCCAAAAGCAATATCAAAAGGGGATTAGGTTGTCAAAATTGAGAATAAATGTTCAATTAAATATTAAGCAAATGAAAATTAATATCCAGATTTCATTATGGAATTACTTGAACATTTTCATACTTTAATGACTCCAAAATAATGTAATTTCAAAGAATCTTTTGGTTTTACAAATGATTTGGGTGTAATGAAGATTTTCATGCATATTGAGTCTTTAGAATAATTATATGGGATAGATACTACTTAATAAGAATAATATAGGTTATAAATTGATGATCAATTAAATATTTAAATTCAAGTTAATAATCATTGGGGTTTAGTTAGGGCCTTAAATACCTTAAATCAATTAAGTGATAAAGGAGAGATTAATCATCTTCCATTAATTATAGAGGATGAACCTACTTACAGTTATAGAGGTATTTTGATTGACAGTGCTAGACATTTTCTATCGGTATAATTGATAGAGAGGACTGTTGATTCTCTAGTAATGAACTCAATGAATACAATCCATTGGCATATAACAGATGATGAAAGTTTTCCTTTACTTTTAACAGAATATCCTGAAATTACACATTCAACTAAATATTCAGAAAATTCATTTTATACAATTAATGATACTACAAGAATAGTAGAATATGCTTCAAAGAGAGGAGTCTAAATAATTCCAAGTTTTGATAGTCCTGGACATTCAATGAGTTGGGGAATGACTAAAGAATTAGCTGATATTATGATGATGTGTGGAAGTACAATAAAATAATATGGTGTATTGGATCCAACATTAGAAAAGACTTATCAAGTTCTTGAATCAATATTAAGAGATTTTTATCAAATGTTTAAAAAGGTCAAGTTTGTTAATTTTGCAGGTGATGAAGTTAGTAAGACTTGTTGGGATCAAAGACCTGAAATTAAACAATTTATGTAAGAAAACAATATTAATGATTATTATGAATTATAATCATATTATAGAAGAAGATAAAAGTAATTATGGAAAGAAGTCATTAAAGCTGAACAAGATATTATTTATCTATATAGAAAAGAAGACAATTTACCACTTGATAAAGAGGACATTATTCATTGGTGGGGATATACTGATCAATTACCTGATGTTGCTGATAAACCTAATAGAATTATTTTAATGGATTATTTTCCATTATTTATTGATGCTGGATTTGGTAATGCTTTTGGAAATCCTTATTCTGTCTATCATACTTGGAAGGAGATTTATAAATGGACTCCATCACTTCCAGAAGGATCATTAAATATTATAATTGGTGGAGAAGTTCCAATGTGGGGAGAAACCAATAATTAAAATACACATTTCAATAAATTATATATGAGAACATCTGTCATTGCAGAAACGTAATCTAATATTAAATTTTATTAGTCTATGGAATCCAAAAATAAAGGAGACTGAAATATTTGCATCTTTTGTTAAACGTCTTATTGAAATGGAAGATAGAATGACAAAATAAGGTTTTGCTGTTACTCCTGTTACTCATGGATATTGTAGAAAAAATACAGAGCTTTGTTTTCCAATTTTAAATGAAAATGAAGAATAAATAATAACTGAATGAATTCCATAATTATATTTAATAAATGAAATTTATCATTGTAATTACAATCTTAATTGTTGGTACTTATTAACTTATGCCAATGCCCAAATAATATATTAAAGGATCTAAGAGTATCAAAATTATTAATTAATGTGGAATACAATTTACAAATGCTTAACAATATCCAGAACATGTAATTGAATTATTGCGTCATTATCATTAATTAATGACATCAAAAAATTAATGTAATTTTGAAATGTCATTGAATTTTAATCTTAAAAATTAAGGTGCTTTGAAATTTCATATATCCCTTCAAAATGATGAATAATTATATTGGGTTAATAAAACTTAATAAGAAGCTTATATTTTAAAAATTGATGAATATTTAAACATTTAAATTGATGCTCATAATCATTGGGGTTTAGCAAGAGCATTAGACACAGTGCATTAATTAACTGAAAATGATAAAATTGAATTTGTATCTATCTCTCTAATTATAATAGCTTCCACTTATAATAGAAGATGAACCAGCCTATACTTATAGAGGAGTGATGGTTGATACAGCTAGACATTTTTTGCCTCTTAAGACTCTCGAAAGAACTATTGATGCTTTGGCTATCAATAAAATGAATGTAATGCATTGGCATATCACTGATGATGAAAGTTTTCCTTTACTTCTAACAAATTATAGTCGTATAACACATACATCTAAATATTCTGAAAATGAATATTATACAAAATCAGATGTTTCCTATTTGATAGAATATGCATCAATTAGAGGAGTACAAATTATACCTGAAATTGATTCACCAGCCCATGTATAATCTTGGGGAAGAAATATTAGTGATTTAGAAAATATTATTTTAAATTGTGGAAGCTCTGTCAAATAATATGGTCAATTTGATCCAACTTTAGATTTAACTTATGAAGTGGTTAAATCTGTTTTATAAGATTTATCAGATATGTTTAGCAAAGTTCAGTTTGTTCATTTTGGTGGTGATGAAGCTATCAAGAGTTGTTATAATTAAAGACCCTCAATTTAAGAATTTATGAATAAAAATGGTATTGCAGATTATATTGAATTGTAAACTTATTATAGATAACGATAAAAAAATATATGGAAAAATGAAATTAAATCTAAAAAGAGAATTGCTTATTGGTATAATAAAGATGATAAATTACCAGCTGAAGATGATGATATAATACATTGGTGGGGTTCTACTGAAGAACTTGAATTAGTATCAAATAGAACTAATGATTTTATACTTAGTGATTATCATCCTTTGTATTTAGATATTGGTGTTGGAAATGCTTTTGGAAATCCTTATTAAACTTATTAAACATGGAAAGATATTTATAAATGGACTCCAAAAGCTCCTGAAGGATTTAAAGGTAAAATAATAGGAGGAGAAGCACCTTTATGGGGAGAAACCAATAATGAAAATACACATTTCTAAAGATTATTTATAAGATCATCAATCTTAGGAGATACGTATATATTATAAATTAATATAGTTTATGGAATCCTTTTTCAAAGTAATCAGAAAAATTTTATGAATTTGCTGATAGACTTGGGTAAATGGAAGATCGAATGAACAAATATGGATTTCCAGTTTCACCTTTCACTCATGATTATTGTAAAAGACATACCAAAATTTGTTTTCCTATCTTATATACAGAATAAGAGTAAAGTGTTGAACAATAGCATAAATTTAAAGAATTATGAGTTTAAATATATTTTTTAATAAATTTAAGGAATGGGTTGTTGTACTTATAAAGGATAAAATAGGAATAAAGAAAAGGTTTTTTGTGAACCAAATATATCAGATACTCAAAATTATCGATAATCTTAGGACTAATCACTCTAACCTAAATATCAAGAATAAACTATGGAAAAAGTAACTTGTGAAATATAGATTGTTTAAAAAAATAATTTAAATCATCTGATTACTTTGAAAGAGAATCAATATACTGTTTACAATAAGGATGATCTTAATGTTGTAGATGATCAATTTTTTTAAGATAAACATTAACAAAAACCTTAAGAAGTTGAAAAAGCTAATTCTGATGACGATTATTGATTTCATTCAATTAATCTATTTATTTACATTAAATATTCTAGCATTTTTAATTTATTATTATCAAAATTTTAATTTGTAATTTACAGCAACTTTTCACTAAAAGTTTACTAAATTCACTCTGAAATTCATTTGAAATCTATCTTTACTCTTAATTTTCTTAATTTAATTATCAATTTTCAGAATGCCTCGTTGTCCTACAGATATTGTATACTCTGAAAAATATAAAGATGCAGAATTTGAGTATAGACATGTTATACTACCTCATGAATTATACAAAAAAATATAAAAAATAGGAAGACTTCTTACTGAACATGAATGGAGAAGTCTTGGTGTAAAAGGATCTCCTGGATGGGTTCATTATGATTATTACAAACCAGAACCACATATTCTAATGCTTAGAAAAAAATTTAATTGATATATAGATCCTATTATATATAAATATATATATATATANTTTATGGGGAGAAACCAATAATGAAAATACACATTTCTAAAGATTATTTATAAGATCATCAATCTTAGGAGATACGTATATATTATAAATTAATATAGTTTATGGAATCCTTTTTCAAAGTAATCAGAAAAATTTTATGAATTTGCTGATAGACTTGGGTAAATGGAAGATCGAATGAACAAATATGGATTTCCAGTTTCACCTTTCACTCATGATTATTGTAAAAGACATACCAAAATTTGTTTTCCTATCTTATATACAGAATAAGAGTAAAGTGTTGAACAATAGCATAAATTTAAAGAATTATGAGTTTAAATATATTTTTTAATAAATTTAAGGAATGGGTTGTTGTACTTATAAAGGATAAAATAGGAATAAAGAAAAGGTTTTTTGTGAACCAAATATATCAGATACTCAAAATTATCGATAATCTTAGGACTAATCACTCTAACCTAAATATCAAGAATAAACTATGGAAAAAGTAACTTGTGAAATATAGATTGTTTAAAAAAATAATTTAAATCATCTGATTACTTTGAAAGAGAATCAATATACTGTTTACAATAAGGATGATCTTAATGTTGTAGATGATCAATTTTTTTAAGATAAACATTAACAAAAACCTTAAGAAGTTGAAAAAGCTAATTCTGATGACGATTATTGATTTCATTCAATTAATCTATTTATTTACATTAAATATTCTAGCATTTTTAATTTATTATTATCAAAATTTTAATTTGTAATTTACAGCAACTTTTCACTAAAAGTTTACTAAATTCACTCTGAAATTCATTTGAAATCTATCTTTACTCTTAATTTTCTTAATTTAATTATCAATTTTCAGAATGCCTCGTTGTCCTACAGATATTGTATACTCTGAAAAATATAAAGATGCAGAATTTGAGTATAGACATGTTATACTACCTCATGAATTATACAAAAAAATATAAAAAATAGGAAGACTTCTTACTGAACATGAATGGAGAAGTCTTGGTGTAAAAGGATCTCCTGGATGGGTTCATTATGATTATTACAAACCAGAACCACATATTCTAATGCTTAGAAAAAAATTTAATTGATATATAGATCCTATTATATATAAATATATATATATATATTTTAATTAGATATATTTATTATAATCTAGTATTTTATTATTCTATTCTATTATCTTATCACCATATTTATACAATATTATATTTTAAATTAATGATATTTAAATTAATGAATGATTTATATTTTAAAAAACTAAACTTTAAAGATTTTAAGAACACATGAATATCTTTTGCATATTTAATAATATAATACATTTTATATAATTAAATACCACATTTAAATCTTATTGCAATAAAATAAAGATTAAATTAAATAACTTTTTAAACTTTAAAGTATTATAATTTAATTTAAAATGTTTAGGACAAATATAAATTAGATTTCTATTTTAGATAGATTGATTTATGATCTAATTTATTTTCCCTAAAACTTTTGATTTATAAACCCTCCAAATTTTTAAATTTAATTTTTATTCATTCAGATGAAATCATAAAATACATATTTTTTAATTTATTTTAGGATTCTTAATATATCCTCAGTATTAATTTAATTGTAATAGATAATGTTACTTAAATAGATTCATCTGTTAATACTCTTAAATGAATTAAAATACTAATTCTGATTTATAATTTTCATTTATGTACTAAATAATTATAAAAGAAATTTGATTGCTCAATATAATCTTAAATCCTCTTTATGAATAGCATTTCAATAATTAATTAATTATTATTAAATCTTGCTTTTAAATTCAATTATATAATTATTTCCTCAAAATTTAAATAAAATATGTATCTTGTATTAACTAAGATAATCTATGAGAGAAATAATTAATTATAGGATAAAGATGTAAATATGAAGTTATTTACCATATTATATTTAAAATATAATTCTCTTGATAAGTTTGGATAATGAAAAAAGTACATAAAATATCTATTACTTTTAAATAAATTCAGAAGTTCATAGTTATGATGAAATAATTCAAAAGCATTCATATTGTGTTTATAGTATAAATATCAGTTTTATTTAAAAAGTCTTTTGAAGTAAAAATATTTAATTTAAAAAGTACTTTAAATTTAAGTCTAATAAATTAACAAAAAGTATTTATAATTAAGATAACATTAGAAACCTTTAGATTTACAAGAATTTAACTAGGCATAGACAATTTCCAAATGAAATGAATTTATCAAATGTAATTTGATTAAAAATAAATTAAATAATAATTTAACAATCTTTAAATATTTAATGCAGACAGTAAATTTATTATGTGATATAGAACTAAAATCAATATTAATAGAAATAAGAAGAATTTACAAATTAATGGTCACCTTTTAAAATATTAAAACTAAAATAGATTTATTTGATTATAGCTTAGAAGATTAGCAACATTAGATAATTCGTTATTACATACAAATGCTTAAATCAAATAAATTTAAATAAATTACTTTATAATATTGGCCATAATTTAATTTGAAAAATAGAATTCAATAACTATATTTATGATGAAAATGGAATGATGAAGAATAAAATCATTTTATTGCTTTAGATTTATTAAGAATCAAAAATTAGGATGAATTAAACTAAAAGATCATAAGATACTTAAAAATTAGAATATAATAATTTTATGTTAATAATTATAAAAGAAATTGGAAAATGGATTGAATTACATGAAGATTTGATTTCTGATTTAAAGAAGTTATAATGATGTTGAAAATTAATGTTAATTATTACTTATTATGAATAATATTATAATTTTCAACATATATTAGCTTCTTTAAATAAAGAGGTGCAAATTTGATGAGTTTTCTTTTTTCTGTGATACTTAATATTAAATTCAAAGATTAATATCTTTTTTAATAGGCAATCAAAAGATTAAAATCAAAAAATTTAGAATACACAAAATGAATTCCTTTCTAACTTGATTCTAATTTATGGGGATATTCTTTGAATGTTTCGCAGATATTCAATGATTTATAATCTGATTTCTAATAAATTCTTTTGATCAACATATCTTAATATTTTTAAATAAGTTAATTATTAATATTTTAATTTAACTCCAAAACAGTTTATTCTAATAGGTAAAGAGCTAATTAATTATAAAAAAAGATATCAAGGTAATTTAGAATTAAAAAATTATTAAATCAATATTAAAATACATCATAATTTCTATTATTAATTAATTATGTGATCAAATGTAAGATAATTGATATATTTTTATCATTTAATAAATTATCTACAATTCATGATGAAAATAATAAAACCTAAATTAATTTAGGTTTCTATCATTAACATATAAGAATCAGAGGTTGATCAGTAACTAAATTTCTATAAATGAATTAATTGATTTAACAAATTTTAATAACAAAAAAATTATATTAGCCAAATTTAAAGATGATTATTAATTTTTAAAGGTTTTTGGAATACAATTCATCCGATATTTCAATAAAACCGTTCAGGCCATCTTTTTATAGTTAAATGAATATCGTTATATTCAAATTTAGTTTAAATTTATACCAAAGCATAAGTATAAATTCTTTGTTCATTTTAAATTTATATTGAACTTTTATTAACAGTTGAATAAAGAATTTAGTAGTTATGTAGTTACATAGATTGAATATAAGATATAAAATTAAAAAGTATGTTGCATAAGAGTGATTTTTTTTTTAATTATAATATTTTTCAATTCTTAAAGAAAACATTACAAATATCTTTAAGTTTAATAACTCACTTGCCCTATATATCTAATTTTAACATCTAAATTATAAAGAATATTTATGTTAATAAGAATGATTGAATTGATTTAAATATATTGTAGAATTAAATATTTAAGAAGAAGAAGTTAAGGTAAGTGTTAATTAAATTAAATTTAGATAAGATTATTTAAAAGGATATAATATATTAATAATAATGAATATTATGAATACTAATCAATAACTTCTTTTCTTTTTCTATTATTTTTTTGTTTTTTTTGAACAATTAAATCCAACAAATTCAGATGCTTATGATTCTTCTTAGTTTATTTTATAATCCCATGAATCTTCATTTAATGGATTAATTTATGGAGAAACTTCAAATTATTATTAATTAAATGATTCTTCAAATTTAACATCAAATTATGGTGTTTAAAACCATTGATAATCATCTTGACAAAATGCACTTGTTTAACAATTATTATTATTCTCTTCAGATTTTGTTTATGTAGGAATTTGAGATTAATTTAGATTTGATTAATTTGAAGTATTTTCAGTATTCTTTTCATTTGTTTCAGCATTTCTTTTTTCTTACATTTCTAAGAATTTTTATTTTTATAAAGTGTTTAACATACCTTTCTTATATAAAATTTCATTAACTTAATATTTGATATCATAGTTTCTAATAAACTCATCTTACCAAGCTTTAGAAGCTTTAAAATATTTATCATTAAATAAAGATATTGCTTAGTCTTTCAATTAAGTTCTTCTTATTCTTTTTCCTTATTTAGCACTTTATTCAATTATCCAAACACATAATTTTTTTTCTGCTTCTAGATTCAATTTTTTTCTTCCACAACCAGGTTTTCGATTAATACCTTCATTATACCATCTTCTAAGATTTTTAATTGATGTTTTATATTATGCACTTAGTGTAGAAAGTGTGTCAATAGTATTATTATATTAAAGAACTTTCATTATTTTTTACTTATCTTCAAACGTAAGTATTCTGTATTTTTTTGATGATTACTCTAATTTTGACTTTTTCTAATTGCTCTCTTATGAAGACATCCAAATATTTATATTAATTATGATAAACCGCTCTTAGTTTTGATTCCTAAATTGCATCAAAAAAGCATGGGAATATTTATATCTAATTCTAATCAATTTAATAGGTTGGTCAAGTTAGTGATAATAATCCTAAAGAAATCAATTAATATCCCTCTTATCATTGTTTTAGAATGTTTTTGAGGGATTAGGACATTCATTTTATGGAAAAAGATAGATTTACAAGCTTCATATTTTAATAAATATTTTAATAGGTGAAAAATGTTTGAAAATAATGCAATGAACAAAAACCCATATTTCATGGTATTTAATGATTATGATGTTATATTATATTATTTAAGTATTGAAAATTCACCTTTTATAAAATTTTTAGTAATATGATGTGTTTATGTAAATGCATGATGTTTTTTTATTGTTTTTCTTTAAAATGGGGATTTTAAAGAAATTATTATTTTATTTAATATATTTGATGATCTTTTTATAAATGATTTATATAAAAATCAAGTTATTATTTTAATGAAAATCAAGTTGAGAAAATAATATACATATTAATATATTTAATTTATCATTGTATTATGGTTTGGAATGTTTAAATTTTATTATTAAGAAAACTAAGATATAATGCCCATTTTAATGCAAATTAAATCAGATTTATGGAAATATTGAATATAATATGTAGAATAATAAATAAAATCAAGCATGCCCTAAATCTCTTAGAAGTAAATTTTAAATGTATTCTTAGCTAAGGAAAGTACATTAACTAAGCATTCAGAGGCATTTAGTATTGGAGAATCCAGAATACTAGATCCAAAAGATAATTTAGAATTGCAAGTTCTTCGATATCCACATACTCATATGTTTTAAAATCCCAGTGTTCAACTTATGCCAAGCTTTCCAAATTTCTTATTTAGTAATTAATACAATACAACAATTGCTGATCAATTATTACATTCTTAAATGATGCCTTAAAGCAATGCTTTCTAGGCTATGCCTTTAAAAAGTCTGGCTGCTGAAGGAATGAGAATAGTTTGTGAAATTGATATTTTAATGTTGAGACACTATTATCAATTAAGAGAATAGGTAAAAAGTTCTTTAAATATTTAGATTTTTAACAAACACAATTAATCAACATCAAAAAGAATGGATAACAACTCAAATCAAATCGATTGGATTAAAGGTAGATTCCAATATCGATTTAAAGAAAGGATCAGTAAAATGATGTGCAAATTAGTAGATGAAGTTAAATCACTTTTAAATAATAAGACTGAGGATGATCAATAAATAAATATTGAAAAATTAAGATTCTCACCAGAGGAACTAATTTAACTTGATAAAGAACTTAAAGAAAAAAGAGAAGATTCATCTGAATACTTAGATCCTTATGAAGTATGTAGAAGAATTGCTAAACTGATAGAGATGTATTTTAGAAGTTCTGATTAATGATTTTTATGTTCCCACAATTTATATTTATTTTTAATATTAATTATTTTTATTCAGCTATTAAGATGGAACAACTGATTGAATAATATAAAGAATTAGAAAAACGCAATAATGAAGAATTAGAACATGATAAATCAATAACACATTTATTATATNTAAAAATCAAGTTATTATTTTAATGAAAATCAAGTTGAGAAAATAATATACATATTAATATATTTAATTTATCATTGTATTATGGTTTGGAATGTTTAAATTTTATTATTAAGAAAACTAAGATATAATGCCCATTTTAATGCAAATTAAATCAGATTTATGGAAATATTGAATATAATATGTAGAATAATAAATAAAATCAAGCATGCCCTAAATCTCTTAGAAGTAAATTTTAAATGTATTCTTAGCTAAGGAAAGTACATTAACTAAGCATTCAGAGGCATTTAGTATTGGAGAATCCAGAATACTAGATCCAAAAGATAATTTAGAATTGCAAGTTCTTCGATATCCACATACTCATATGTTTTAAAATCCCAGTGTTCAACTTATGCCAAGCTTTCCAAATTTCTTATTTAGTAATTAATACAATACAACAATTGCTGATCAATTATTACATTCTTAAATGATGCCTTAAAGCAATGCTTTCTAGGCTATGCCTTTAAAAAGTCTGGCTGCTGAAGGAATGAGAATAGTTTGTGAAATTGATATTTTAATGTTGAGACACTATTATCAATTAAGAGAATAGGTAAAAAGTTCTTTAAATATTTAGATTTTTAACAAACACAATTAATCAACATCAAAAAGAATGGATAACAACTCAAATCAAATCGATTGGATTAAAGGTAGATTCCAATATCGATTTAAAGAAAGGATCAGTAAAATGATGTGCAAATTAGTAGATGAAGTTAAATCACTTTTAAATAATAAGACTGAGGATGATCAATAAATAAATATTGAAAAATTAAGATTCTCACCAGAGGAACTAATTTAACTTGATAAAGAACTTAAAGAAAAAAGAGAAGATTCATCTGAATACTTAGATCCTTATGAAGTATGTAGAAGAATTGCTAAACTGATAGAGATGTATTTTAGAAGTTCTGATTAATGATTTTTATGTTCCCACAATTTATATTTATTTTTAATATTAATTATTTTTATTCAGCTATTAAGATGGAACAACTGATTGAATAATATAAAGAATTAGAAAAACGCAATAATGAAGAATTAGAACATGATAAATCAATAACACATTTATTATATATAGAAGGATTTAAATGGGATGATTTAGATAAAATAAAAAAGATTAATAAAATATCACAATCTAAAATAGAAAAAAGAATTACTCTAGTATAAGATGTAAAAGTTATTATTATATATAGTTTGGTTTATTAAGAAAAGAAATAGAACCTTATACAAAAACTAATCAACATTTTTAGATTTTATTAAAAGATATTGATATGCATATAAATTCCATTATGTTCGAAATAGATAAATTAGAATAATTAAAATAGAAATCATAAAGATTCTTACGACTTCAAAGTTAACCCAATATCAAACCAGAAACTGCACCTACTGATGCTATGGCTTAAACAGGAGGATTATTATCAAGTACTAGTGATGGTCAAACAAGAATGTATTAAAGTAGTTTTTAATTTTACCGAGCTTAAAGAGATTAATAAATTTAATCACATAATTAAAAATGGATAGAAAAATAATATACAATATAAAAAAAGTTAATTGAGAGTGAAAAAGAATTTTAGAAATTTAGATATGAAATTGATACAAAATAAAAAAAAGCTGAGATGAACCTTTAAGAATTTTAATAATGGTAATCAAAAGTATTAAAAGAGTAAGAAGAGGAGAATTCAAAAAAATTATATTAGCATAAAGAAAGAGTGTTAAAAGATTAAGTTTAAAGATAAGCTATTTTAGAACAAAAAATGTCTAGAAAAGAATTATAATTATAAAAATAGATATCATTATTAAAAGATTTTCATGAATAATAAAAATAATAGAAAGAAGAGCATTTTCTAAAGATTTTATAAAAATCTATGGGAGCATTAAATGATAAAGATAAATTTAATTTATAATAAAAAGAATTAATTGAAAAGAAAGAATAATAAAATTTACATAAATTGAAGTACATTGAAGAATCTAAGTAATGGACGAAGTAATAGTTATAGAGATAGAATGAATTAAAATAAAAAAAAATTGATAGAGCTAACGTAAAGTTCTTTAATATTTTAAGTAAATTCTAGTTTCTTAAGATCTTTAAAGAAGAGAAAAATTTGAAAATAAAGAAAAGAAGAAACTTGCTTATATGGATAAATATAAAAAGTTATTTGATGAGTATTAGAATCATATTAATAAAGAGAAAGAAGATAAAATTCATTAATTTTAAATAGTATATATATAAAGTTTATATAGTTTAGAATAAAGCAATAGATGATGCTAGCAAAGAATAATTAATTAAATATTAATTTGAAAGAAAATCTCAAAGTTAAGCTGAAGCTTAAAGATTAAGGGAAAGAAGAATAAGAGTTTATTAAGAAGAGAAGGCTGGGGAACATTTAATGAAATAATTAGAGATTAATTAAAGATTAAATCAAATATAATAAGAATTAGAAATGAAGAGAAGAATGTAAGAATTAATGGAAGAAGAATAAAAATAAAGAAAGTTAATGATAGAGTAATTAATTTGATTTTATTATAGAAATGATGAAAGACAAACTATAAAGGAAAGAGAAAAAAATGTTAGAAAGTTAGAAATTGAAAAAGAATAAAAAGAAAAAGAGATGAAAAAGCTCAAATATTCTAAATTTTGATTAAATATATTGTTAAAAAAAATTAATAAAATTTGATTTTTTATTTTTGAATTTAATGAATAACCAACTAAACAATCTCAACTGCTAGTTTTGCAAAATTAATCAAAATAAGTTTATCTAGAAAGAAATACATTAGAAGTATTTTGATAGATATGAAATTTTAGATATTTTGAGTAGTTCAATTTTTATTTTGCAAAGCCCATAACAGAAATTTTAGCAAATGTTCCTGTAGATCATGTAATTCTATTTAAAGACTAATTATATTTACATGATGAAAATGAATATATGAAGCGATTTTATTAAAGAGATGAACAAGACCCAAGAATTAAATTACTAAGCGATTTTTACTATGAGTAAAATAAAGTAACTAATATATGTTAATTAATCTTTTTTTAAGATCCCATAGCCCAATTTATGTAAAGTTAATGCTCATAAATTTATGGAGAAAAGAATAAATAAATTGCTAAAATTACAATAAAAAGCATAAAATAATTAGAATCAACAACCAATTACTAAAAAAATGATTCCAGATCATATTTTTAGTGAAAACTATGTTGAATCTGTATCTGAGTAGTATCGACATACTTATTTAGTTCCTATCCCAAGGAACAAATTTCATGGGACACCAAATCACATAACATCTATGAGATTTCACAAAGCCAAGCATAGTAGTCACAACCATAAAATAATAAAATCCCATTATAATAACCTATACTTAATATATCTGGTGATCAAAATAAATTATTTAATTGTGAAAATGATTAGGATATAGAGACTATTATTTGTGAAGTCAATATATAAACATCTCGTTAATTGTCATCCATTACTAAAATCCCTCTCAAAAAGAAACTTCCATCTAGTGCAAATAAAAAGAAAAATCAATCAATTTAATAGCCTTAATAACCTAAAATACCTATTCCACCTTTGAAACTTTAAGAAAGTGCTAAATCTTCAACTACAACCCTTCCAAATAATAAATCAACAACAATTTAATCTTTAATGAAAAAATATGATTAAATATTATAAAAACGTTTTTAAGTGAAGGAAATATTAACAGAACGTAATGAAACTCGTTGTGCTGCTGGTTTTGGTTCCAGTTGTGGAATAGGTACAAATAGAGGAGATGTTGGATCATCAAAAAAATAAATTACAGATGAAATGTTACTTAAATTAATATCTAATATGAAGAAATCAAAAAATAAATCTGACAATTATCAATTTCATGCTTCATATAAAAGTGTGATACCTCATCCATAAATAGGTCCAGCCTAATCATGTACATTTGAAAAAGAAAACGAAAAAAAGAAAAAATATTAAGTTTATTTAGTAATTTATTATATTTAATAGGTAAGCCAAAATAAATTAAAAAAAATCCTTCTTAAATGTCATCACCAACAACAGTATAAAAGTATTTTAATAATAATATATTAGTACATGTTCTCCTTCAATGCTTCTTAGATCCCTTTCAAATCCTTCAATGGCTCCTTCTCCAATGAGAAGATTAGAAATTAAAGTTAATTTAAATAAACTTATATAATAATAAGAATAAGAAATAGGATATTGGACACAGAGATGTAAAGTACGTTGAAACTTACTCTATCAATTAATTTTAAATTTAATTATTTTTATATAAATTTGACTTCTTTACTTCCTATCATTACTTAAGTTTGTAGAATATTAATTATATATTCAGATATCAATCCAAATTAAATCTTAGTATTATAATATTAATAAACTAGATAATATATTTTATATATTATTTAATGTAATAGGATATAGGATTGATTATAATATATAAATTAATAATAGATAAGCTTAATTTACATTATAAATAGACTATTAATCCTATCACTAAAATTAATATAAATATTTATAATATTTTATATAATAAATTAATTTTAGACCTAAATTGTAATTCATTAAGACTAATCTAAAAAGTTTATTAACTAACATTTTTAAATGTAATGGATAATTAATAAATAAAATTGTTACTTTTAACAACTAAAATATTTATTTATTGATATCAATCTTTATCACTCTTTGGCATATTCCTATTTTAAATCCCAGCACTCCAAAAATGTATATACTTTAGGATTGAATAATTGGTATAAATGAAAATATGCCTGATTCATTGCTAAATGCCATAATCCATGCCAAAGTCTCAAATAATCTTTATATTCATCCAATCCAAAATAAAATGCAACAAATCCAATAACTAAATAAAATAATCCTTTATGAAGGTAATCTTTATTTACAATTTAACCTCTCTTTCTATAAAATGTCTATTTGATTATAAACATTATTAGACTTATTAAGATTGGAATTACAGTAGCCCAAACATTCCATGCATGTGATTCTTATATTATTACAACAATAATAAAATTGATCCATTAAATAGATTTTCTTGTTGTTCTACTATTTTGCATTAAGTAATTGAATAATTCCATCTATATTTTAGATCATTTTTTATACCAATCCACAAATTGATGCAATATTGTCTAATTGATGCCAATCTACTTCTTTAAGAATGATTGGCTCAACTCCTATACTTTCAGACAAATGATACATGAATGAGGACACAAACAATAACACAGTTAGAAATAATGTATGTGCATTCTTAATTTTGTATGTGTAAATGATTTAAGGTATCATTACTCCATTCGAAACTGCAGTAATAATGACCATTAAAAACATTTCAAAAGGAGTGTGTAAATACTTATTTGTTTTTCCTGTATCAATCATAAATAAATACAAAAATTAATAATAATATATGTTTATTTATTATAAATGATAAATTTAATTAAGAATAATATATGGATTATCTAAACTTTACTATCATATTATTGTAATTCATAATTATATAAAATAAATATAAAAATTATTTTATACTAATTATTTAATAAATCAAATTCAATCCAAAATATGGATAGATATTTAATTAAGATTAATCAAATTCATATCAAAAATAAAACTAATCTTCTATGGATAATATAAAAATTAAAGTCTGATAATTAATTTGATCAATTTCATAAATTTAATCACTAAAATTATTCCAAATCAATTAATTAACTACTTCCTTATTGTTAAATTAATTAATTTCATATATCCTCAATATTTTTTAAATTATAATTAAGTAATATTTTATTCAATATCAATTCAAATTTACTTTTAATAAATAATCTAAATTAGGTTGATTCACATTATAACTTAAATTAAATTAATTAATTAAATAATATCAATCAAAATAAATATCTCTTACCATTCAATATAATGAATCTAAATTAGGAATTTTATAAGTACCCAAATAGATAATCTATTAAAAATTAACATTATTAAATTTCTAAATTTTAAATGTGTATTTTAAATACACAAATTAACAGAAATCCTGATTGATTCTAAATGAAAATTAGTTAATTCTTTTTATATAGAAATGTAATTTATATTTAATAAACTTCCTACATATAAAATTAAATTCACAGATAAGTAATTCTTAAAAAAAAATAAAACCTAAACAAAGGCTATTTTGTAAGAAAAATCAATAATGATTATTTTGATTAGTCATAGATTAAATTTTTCTTTAGATGAAATAAATATGAAATAATTAATAATCTTGAAATGTTCATTTAATATCTTCATAATTTAACTCAAGATTTTAATGTAAAAAATTCGTTTTATTCTCAAAATCTTTGACAATTAATATCAATAATATAGATTCTTTTCGAAAATTACAATATTACTATTATTTTAATTATAGGTATATAAAATGTATTTATAAAGTATAAATTTTTTTAATTAAAACTGGATATAAATCTTAAAAAATAATGATTTTGAATCCTATTTTTCAGTTTATTGTAATTTAAATCTTATTTTTATACATAAAAGTACTCCTTAAACATTGAAGAAAAAAATACTTAAAATATATTTCATATTAGATAATTTGAAATTATAGATTATATAAATTATCCAGTTAGGATAGTAATTATATCTATCATTATTTTTTAAAAAAAGCATGAATTTATAGATACACTATTAGTTCAAATATATTGATATACTTAAAAGTATAGTAAATACATGATATTTAATTGAATTGTTCTTAAAAATTATTTAAAGAATGAATAATACCTTTTAATTTATAAGATATTTTAATTATAAGTGTTTGATTTTCAAACAAGTTAATTTTAATTTTGCAAAGAAATTAAATCTTAAATTATATACTATATCAAAATCAATTATTCAACAATAAGGATAACAAATTTCCTGATGGTACGCTTACTTTACTATTGAGTCCTCCTCCTCCTCCCAATAATTATAAATAAAAGGAAAAGTCGTTTAAATGATTGCTTTTAATTTCTTTCTGTATATTAGATTAATTAGCAGTTAAACTTGTAGTGAATATTGATTATCCTTTATTTGATTTTGATTCTGGAATTTATTTGATTGAAGGTTTTAAGCTATTATTCTAAAATGAATTCTATTCTAAATTATTTTAATCAAATTTAGAATATTATTATTTTTTAAAACTAAACTCTTCTTTAAGGAGTCTGGGTATCTCTGTATGTTCTTTTGCTCCAATATTCTAAAATGTAATATTTTAATTCCTAATATCTTAAATTTATTATCCAAAACTAGGTTATACTTAAAATGAATTTTAATTATGTAATAAATTCATATTAATTTAATTATTTGANTACCCAAATAGATAATCTATTAAAAATTAACATTATTAAATTTCTAAATTTTAAATGTGTATTTTAAATACACAAATTAACAGAAATCCTGATTGATTCTAAATGAAAATTAGTTAATTCTTTTTATATAGAAATGTAATTTATATTTAATAAACTTCCTACATATAAAATTAAATTCACAGATAAGTAATTCTTAAAAAAAAATAAAACCTAAACAAAGGCTATTTTGTAAGAAAAATCAATAATGATTATTTTGATTAGTCATAGATTAAATTTTTCTTTAGATGAAATAAATATGAAATAATTAATAATCTTGAAATGTTCATTTAATATCTTCATAATTTAACTCAAGATTTTAATGTAAAAAATTCGTTTTATTCTCAAAATCTTTGACAATTAATATCAATAATATAGATTCTTTTCGAAAATTACAATATTACTATTATTTTAATTATAGGTATATAAAATGTATTTATAAAGTATAAATTTTTTTAATTAAAACTGGATATAAATCTTAAAAAATAATGATTTTGAATCCTATTTTTCAGTTTATTGTAATTTAAATCTTATTTTTATACATAAAAGTACTCCTTAAACATTGAAGAAAAAAATACTTAAAATATATTTCATATTAGATAATTTGAAATTATAGATTATATAAATTATCCAGTTAGGATAGTAATTATATCTATCATTATTTTTTAAAAAAAGCATGAATTTATAGATACACTATTAGTTCAAATATATTGATATACTTAAAAGTATAGTAAATACATGATATTTAATTGAATTGTTCTTAAAAATTATTTAAAGAATGAATAATACCTTTTAATTTATAAGATATTTTAATTATAAGTGTTTGATTTTCAAACAAGTTAATTTTAATTTTGCAAAGAAATTAAATCTTAAATTATATACTATATCAAAATCAATTATTCAACAATAAGGATAACAAATTTCCTGATGGTACGCTTACTTTACTATTGAGTCCTCCTCCTCCTCCCAATAATTATAAATAAAAGGAAAAGTCGTTTAAATGATTGCTTTTAATTTCTTTCTGTATATTAGATTAATTAGCAGTTAAACTTGTAGTGAATATTGATTATCCTTTATTTGATTTTGATTCTGGAATTTATTTGATTGAAGGTTTTAAGCTATTATTCTAAAATGAATTCTATTCTAAATTATTTTAATCAAATTTAGAATATTATTATTTTTTAAAACTAAACTCTTCTTTAAGGAGTCTGGGTATCTCTGTATGTTCTTTTGCTCCAATATTCTAAAATGTAATATTTTAATTCCTAATATCTTAAATTTATTATCCAAAACTAGGTTATACTTAAAATGAATTTTAATTATGTAATAAATTCATATTAATTTAATTATTTGAGATTTCTTAATAAAATGGATTATATATTTGGTTTGATTATTAAATATTATTGACTGAATATATAGGTTGAGAATTAGATGTAAAAGTATTGGCAAAATTTTAACAATTAAATTTATTTTAATATTATTATTATTACTATGTTTAATTAAGAACATCAATTTACAAATTTGGAATTTCATATTTATTTTAATATGAATCTTAAACGAAATGAGATGATTATTAAGAAGTGATTACTTAATTATTTTAAGGAAAGAAAGGTAATACTGTTTCTTAGTGATTTTGATTATAAAAATTTGAATATGCATCATAATTATGATATTTATCTTAAAATTAACCTAATGTATTATTTCCTTAAATTATAATTTATTATTCAGAATATTTATCCATTTAATTAAATTCAGAATATTGATTAACTCTCTTTATTTCATCTTCTTAAGAATTGATTTCATATTTCTAATGATAGTTTTAATCATCTTCTGCTTATTTCTCTTAATATTAATCTTTAGTATTTGTAAAAGTAAAATTACTTGTCTCTTTGTCTACTAAATCAGAACTAATTAATTCTTTAACATGATTATTAACATCATGATAATTATATTTCTAATCTTCATTAATTTAATTTGCATTTTGGCTCGTGAATGAAAAATCCTGATTTTATTTGTTTTTCTGTAAATCATCTTTATTTTTACCAGAAACTATTGAATCAAATGTCTAGACATTATCTATATAATCCTGTTCTTAAAATCTTTCATATTCCACTTGTTCTAATACAGTCTAAATTCTTTCATATTAATTTGTTTCATTCTATTCTTGAGTTTCTTATAAATCAATTTTTTGAGGACTCTTTATAATAACCTCTTAATTTTCATTTAATTTCCTTTTCTTATAGGGATATAGAGTCATAATAAGAGAATTAGATTAATCTTCTATTAATTTTACCAAACAGCTTTATCTCCTTCTAGCATTATACTTTTTTACTAGCTAATAGATATTCCATCCAAATAATCCTAAAAAAGTGGCTGCCAAAGGAATTTCCATAATTAAGAAAAATAATAATATTCCCTTTAAATTTTATCATTATAAATCTCAACATTTGCATTTCCAAAAATTAAAATGAGATAAATCAACAAATTCACTATTTTAATTAATCTATCTAATATTATGATAATATATAATTACTTTTAAAATCATTAATAAATATTATTGTAAAATAGTAGAAGTTTATAATAATTTCTTTTACTTCATTAATTTATTAAAAGAATTTATTGAGTTTTATAAAATATAAAAGAGATTTAATAATAGTTAAATCAAAATACTAATTAATTTTCAAGTTAATCAAAATGATGATCTAATTTATCATTTTATTTTGATAAATAATAAAGAACAGTTGATTATACATTTCTTAATTATTCCATTTATTATGTTTTCAATTTTAATGATACTTTACTATTTGTACATAAGCTTTTTTATTAATTATCTTATCCTTTTTATTTCATATAAATCTTATTTGGACGAGGAGTATTTGGATCTTTAAAAGTAAACTTATCCAAACTTAATTTAGAATCATTTTCTTCTCTTGGTATAATTTTTAATTTTATTTTAGGTATTTTATTTGTTATTTCTTTTTCTAAAGTTGGTGTTCTATTATAAGTATGAACATAAAAATTAAAGTTATTTTTATTATTCAATTCTTATAAAACATCTTTCAATTATGATTTCTTCGGTTTCATATATGGTTATAAAATTTTACGATCTGGTATATGAAAGTTATTCATAGCTTTTAAAGAAACAGGTTTTAGTAAATCTAATGATTTAATTTTAGGTAAGCTATAATTATTACTTAAATTGTCAAAGTTTAAATGTGCTTATAACATATTTTAATTATCAAAATTCATACTTTATAAACTGCTATTTTTATTATTAGTCATTAAATTAAAGAACTTTTAATTATAAAAATAATCAATCTTTTAAGATAAATTCTTAATACTTTTACTAATACATTAACATTAAAGAACAAGAAAACAAAAAAAAAACTTAATTCATTTCAAAGTACTTTTATATTATTCTCAAAATAAGGTGATATCTATGATTATATATACTTAATGATTTATATCAATTAATTTTATGGAATAAGAGTTAACACAATTTATTTGTGTTTATTTAATGATTGTTGAGAAAGAAATTCTTAATTCCATATAATTTATNTAATACAGTCTAAATTCTTTCATATTAATTTGTTTCATTCTATTCTTGAGTTTCTTATAAATCAATTTTTTGAGGACTCTTTATAATAACCTCTTAATTTTCATTTAATTTCCTTTTCTTATAGGGATATAGAGTCATAATAAGAGAATTAGATTAATCTTCTATTAATTTTACCAAACAGCTTTATCTCCTTCTAGCATTATACTTTTTTACTAGCTAATAGATATTCCATCCAAATAATCCTAAAAAAGTGGCTGCCAAAGGAATTTCCATAATTAAGAAAAATAATAATATTCCCTTTAAATTTTATCATTATAAATCTCAACATTTGCATTTCCAAAAATTAAAATGAGATAAATCAACAAATTCACTATTTTAATTAATCTATCTAATATTATGATAATATATAATTACTTTTAAAATCATTAATAAATATTATTGTAAAATAGTAGAAGTTTATAATAATTTCTTTTACTTCATTAATTTATTAAAAGAATTTATTGAGTTTTATAAAATATAAAAGAGATTTAATAATAGTTAAATCAAAATACTAATTAATTTTCAAGTTAATCAAAATGATGATCTAATTTATCATTTTATTTTGATAAATAATAAAGAACAGTTGATTATACATTTCTTAATTATTCCATTTATTATGTTTTCAATTTTAATGATACTTTACTATTTGTACATAAGCTTTTTTATTAATTATCTTATCCTTTTTATTTCATATAAATCTTATTTGGACGAGGAGTATTTGGATCTTTAAAAGTAAACTTATCCAAACTTAATTTAGAATCATTTTCTTCTCTTGGTATAATTTTTAATTTTATTTTAGGTATTTTATTTGTTATTTCTTTTTCTAAAGTTGGTGTTCTATTATAAGTATGAACATAAAAATTAAAGTTATTTTTATTATTCAATTCTTATAAAACATCTTTCAATTATGATTTCTTCGGTTTCATATATGGTTATAAAATTTTACGATCTGGTATATGAAAGTTATTCATAGCTTTTAAAGAAACAGGTTTTAGTAAATCTAATGATTTAATTTTAGGTAAGCTATAATTATTACTTAAATTGTCAAAGTTTAAATGTGCTTATAACATATTTTAATTATCAAAATTCATACTTTATAAACTGCTATTTTTATTATTAGTCATTAAATTAAAGAACTTTTAATTATAAAAATAATCAATCTTTTAAGATAAATTCTTAATACTTTTACTAATACATTAACATTAAAGAACAAGAAAACAAAAAAAAAACTTAATTCATTTCAAAGTACTTTTATATTATTCTCAAAATAAGGTGATATCTATGATTATATATACTTAATGATTTATATCAATTAATTTTATGGAATAAGAGTTAACACAATTTATT